TCGTGGAGTTGTTTTTCAAGCACTCGGCACTGGATTCCAATCCCAGAGCAAAAGGCATCAAGCATCAAGCAGCCACCAAACCCATCTTTCACAGTCACTTTCAGGCAATTCCACGAGCAGCTCCGCCTGTTGAGTCAACAGACATAGCCACTCAAGGAAGTGTTTTCAGGCACTCGGCAGTGTAGCCACCACGAGCTTGCCCATGTGCCCGTCCTTCCCACGGAACGACGGGCACCGGTGCAGGACGAGGTATCATCTCGTCCTGCACCATGAAACTTCCATGCAGACTTGAAATGCACGTCATGCATGTCGATTCAGTCTGCAGCAGGAACCTCTTCGCCTTGAACTTCGCCTCATCCTCTCGACCATGCACGTTGCCCAGAAGCAGTGTCACCACTCTCATCTTCCAATGCGGTTGCCTGTGGACGAGAACGAGAATGACAATCTGTCTGAAACTCACGTTCGGCCGAAATCCCGCCTGGCCGAATGTGCAACCAGCAGACCAAGCCAGGGTCAGGCATCACAGAAAACAGGTGTCATCAGGTAGCAAGGGTCCAGTGCACCAAGCCAGCATCACGGCCATCAGGCATGTCGACGGGGGAGGCCGGCCGACGAAGACCTAGGACCTAGGATAGAACAGAATTCAGAAGACAGTAGAAGCCAACAGCAATGCAGACTGAATCTCAGGCTCTTTGGTTAAGACTAAGACTGTTCATACAGCAAGCAGAATAACACCGGTGCTGCTTCTTCTGGTCATCGCTTCAGACAGGTCTGACAGTCGCAAACCAACTTCAGCAGGCACATTCGACTGGGCAGCTCCGGAAGGTCATGTGCAAAATCAATATCAAAAATAAAATCTCAGGCACCACTGAGTCGGTGCGACATCCATATGGTCTGGGCCGACGATGAAGCTCCTTTCGGAATAGCTGAAAGCACATACGATCAGACTAAGAACAACAGCCAGGCGTCCCACCTCCTCTCACAGATGAGTCTGGCTCAGGCAGTGAGGCCAGATCCAGGTACAGCAAGCCAGTCTGCAGCAGATGCCTGATGAGTTCGTTCGAACATGTCAATCTGCGGACCTCGCCACTGTCTGCCTTTTGGTAGAAGTGTCATCTAGCAATGGCCAATGGCTACGAATTTGATTGGTTTGTAGTTCTATTTTGTCTGTCTGACTGACTGCAGTTTGAACCTGCCTGAGGCCTTCCTCTACGGCAAGAGAGGCAGACATTGGTCAACGAGCTCGGCAACCTGTCTGACCATATTCGACGCCTGAGTGAGAGGAAGAATACCGTCCTGGCTGAGTTGGGCAAGATTGAGCGTGCACCGAATGGCCTGATCAGATCGGTACCCCAGCAGCCGTGCCTCCGACCAAGAAGATGAAGGCGTCGCCGAAGCCTGTGCAGCCTGTGCAGGCTGGGAAGTGCCCGAGTCCAAACATGTTTCTGTGATTCTTTCCGGGTGAAGGACTATGACCTGTCCCCGTCAGACAGCACCCACTTCATCACGGCGAGTTTCTCACGCTCAGGAAACCAGACGTCGTTGACGAAAGGCCCCCACGTGGTCTCAGGCATGTACGAGTTCTTAAGAACCTGGGCTGTTGCCTGGCAATGTTCGATAGAACTTCCAGACATGGGATTCCCGTTCAGGCAAGCGAGGGGTAACAACCAGCCACACCTGTCATGTCTTCACCTCGAAAACGCCGGCAGGCAAGGAGGTGTACTCAGTCACAACCCTTTCATTGAAAATGTGCTGCTTGCTCAGGCAACCGGACTTGCGCTTGCACACGCCGCAGACATGAGAACCGTTGCATTGTATAGGCAGTGTCTTTCAACCGGTGCGAAACAGTTGCGGACAAGCATCCAAGCTTGAAAGCCATTTGGGCATTCAGGCAATTGACCCAAAACACTCGCCAAAAGCAGTCTTCCAAGTTCAGAGGGTCAAAGGCATCCTCATGCATTCTCTTCCTCGCATGAACGGACTTGGGCTCTCCGTCCACAATCAAGGTATTCCCCAACCTAACAGACAGGCTGAATGGACATTCACATCAGCGAATCAAGCATCGCGCACCCAAGAAGCAATACGCTCACTGAAACCACCAAAGTTGAATTCTACTATTCCATTCGTCATCCCATCAACTCCGAACGTGTTCCCCAAACCAAAGTTGTCAAGAACAACAACTGACATGACCAAAGTGCTCGGGCTAAAGCTGGCTTGTGTTGTAGACTTGGCTTTGGGGTTCGAAAGTCTTCGTGGTCCTTCCACAGTCGCAGCTGACACGGGCAAAGTTGCCTGGCCACGGGAGGACGAAGCCTCTTCATTAGGCTCTGCAAGCCAAGTTTCGGCCTTCGCCGAAGGAGCCACTGATACGAAGTAAAGTCCGAAGACCGACCCCAGGGATCCCATGAAGAGTCCCAGGACCAAGTGTCCCAAGACCAAAGTTGATCATCCCAAGTCTGATCCCAACTGTTGTTGTCGTTGTAAAGTTCAGTAACCGCGTTACTCGCCCATTCGGTCCACTCGGACCAATCATCAGACTCACCACAGCAAGTCCAATCACCTTGGTCGTCGTGCGGGTAAAATTGGTCTTCACCTTCCACAGCCGAAATACGGTACGTGGGACAGCTACTTGCAAAAGCGTCCTGTTTTTCCGCACGACCAGCAAACCGAAGTGCTACTGGAAGTGCCTTTTCCTTGTCCTTCTCCTCTTCCTTTTCCTTTCATCATATAGTTCCAGTGTTGATTCCCTGATCCTCCTGGTCCTTATCCTTGTGACTTCGACAAGTCCTTTCCTTTCCCTTGTCCTTTTCCTTTCTCTCCTTCTCCACTTCCTTTTCCTTTCCACAAGGCTGCTGCTAGAGCGCCAATGTCCATGGGAGCCGAAGCTGCATTCGCCGAAGTTTGTGCATCTGGTTTCATCAAAAGTCTTGATCCGTGGTACTCATGGATAACTTCTCCGACCTGCGCATAAGTCTGTGAATTCCTGGCATTCAAACGAAGATGCTGTTGCAAAGCTCCCGCTGTCTTGTTCAAGAAAGTGGTTGCCAGCACACCATCGGGCAAAGGTTGGCTCGACTGTCGTTCGTACCTAAGGTCTTGATGGTTTCCCACACGTTCAAGTCTTGCTCAAAGGTTGCGGGGTTGAACTTCACGTCCAACAGCTGCGTCAAAAGTGAAGTGCTTCGCGTGGATCCTGGCAGGGGCAACTTCTTGCAAAGTCTCCTCCGAGCCTCGAAAAGCGGTCTGTTTGGCATCAACATCACCGGTGTCATAAGTCACCTGTCTCATCAAGAGACCCTTGTTCTGTAAGTTCAGCTGCATCCACCAAAGTCACAGCTCCTGTCTCGAACATGGAGATGCAAGCTTTAAAGTTCCACGACCACTCTTCCCAGTCTGCTGGGTTGCCTGAGAAAGTCTCTGGCAAGGGAAGCCGAAGCTTTCCTGCAAAGTCACGTTCACCTCCTATGAATGCACAACAAACTACCTGATGCACAAGCTCACTCAACTACGAGGCCAAAGTAACCCTGAAAGCTCAGCAGGGCGTTTCTCTCTGCAAGGCAAAGTGATCTTGAGCCACGGATGTGGCGAAGTCGAGGGCAGAGGATAACGTGTTATTTTCGCACGACTTACACAAACATCAGAACATGCATACATACATAAAAACGGTAATATTACAGTGTTATATCTGAACGTACCCCCAGCCTGAGCGAGCACCCTTGCGCGGTGGCGGAGAAAGATGTCGTCCTGGACAAGCTAAGAACCAAATCAGCACGGCGGTTAGGGCTTTAGTGCTCACCAGAGATGTAACATGTAGTTCTGTGCTAGTCTAGAAAGCAATATTAGGGTTTTAGGGTTCGGGGTTCAGGGTTGAGGGTTCTTCAAGCTCCTGCTATTCATGGAGACAATCCAGCATTATCCAGGAGGCCCCAAGGCGTTTCGCGTGAGTCATGTCAAAACTGCTACGTGGGTCTACAAAACACCGTCTACTGTTGTCCTGATTCTTGACCCAAAACCCTTATAAGCCATAAACGGTTCCTAGGAGTCTGGTCTATGTTGCGTTATGACGCCGCGAATGTCTGATGTTAGGGATTTCATGGACCTCAAAATGTAGGCGTGCAGGGATAGGGATCTCGTGAGAATCCCTGACATGACGACGCCGACTGGGGAATCTCACACCTGCCCTCATCATATCTGTAGAGCCCCTCGAGGATCGAAAAAAGATGTTCAAGAACACCCCCGCCGGAGTAGGGTGGTTTAGGGTCTCGGGCTGAGGGTTTTGGATTCGGGTTAGGGGTTTGGCCTTGGGGAACACCGGTTTCGGGCACCAAGCTTTGGGGGGGGGCATGGGATCTCTGAAGCACCTGCCGCTGCACCTGGCTGCTACTACTTGACAAACAGAGACCCACACAGCCACAGAGACAAATGCGTTAGACTTTGGGTTTCAAGGTCCTCTGGAGTCCTCTCGGACTCTTGGAGTCAAAACAATAAAGCTCTCCAGGTTGCGGGCCTCTGATGTGATCTCAATTGAGTAAGTGTTATTATGACTTTCTGAGGTCGCTGCGGGCGGCTGCCACGACGTGCTACAGGTCTAGAGTCATTATCCTCGGCATGTCTTGCAAGGATTGAACGTCGATTTGAACCCGGTTTTGAGGGCGGCTTCAGCACTGTACAGCCAAGGGCTTCAGGGTCCGTGGTACCAGCCGTGCCATGTAGACTTCACCGAGGCAGGAGCGCCAGGTCTTCGTTGTTGGTCCGTTGGTCATTGCCACCATGAGGTTGGTATGACTCGAAATTATGTTGTTCGTAGGGCTTCGAGGGTTGTGTTGGGATGGGTTTCCACAAGCTGCGAATCGAAGCCATGTGAAACCAGCACCACAGGCTAAGTGGCATGTCTTGGGTCAAGGATAGGTGGAGCTTGTTGCGCATGGGCTGGGAAGCAGGCTACATGCTTGCAGTCCAAGGCACAGAATTGGCGGCATGGCCATAGCGACCAGCGCCGCTTAAAGTACCTGGGCGCATTCTGCATTCTCTTCTGTCGCCTGTACATTAGTACGACAAGGTATAAGACGAAGCGGAAACCATGAATCAACTTGACAGTAGCTTGCGTCTCTTCCGATCTAAGTCTAAGAAGCCGTTACAAATTCTGAAGGAAAACAAAGCCCAGGCACTTGCAAACAAGGTCCTGCGTGTTGCGGCTAAGGCAGGCTTGGGTTTAGAGTGGAGGCTGCCCACTGTGTCTCGATTGCATACTTTGGAAAGATTCCACCGTACTCACATGCAATTTTGCGCCTGTAGCGAAGGGGTCCTCTAAGAACCTTAGAATGCCCAAACCAAGGATCTCAGACTCGCTTTTTCCCACCTGTTAGCTTCTAATGGTTTCATGGGCTCGAGACTCAAACATGAAACCTGATCCGGTACCCTGTATGTACACCAAATCCTGAACCCTGAAAACCGTACCTTAAAATCCTAAACCCTGACCCTGATTTAATCCTAAACCCTAAACCCTCAATCCTAAACATTAAACCCTAAATCCTACATGCTAAACCTGAAACCCTTTCAACCCTATTTCGACTTTAGATTCAGGCAACGGCCTGGCGTGATGACACCAACTGCATGTCTCTGAATGTGCTCCATCCTGTCCGCATCGGAGCCTGACAAAGTGCAGCTGCGTTCAGAGGACGGGACCACAGAGGCAATACAGAGGTATGAATCATTGGAGTATTCCCGTATGGTCACGAGAACTGTATGTGGCGTCAGTTTAATTGCGAACCTAGATGCTAACATAAACTTAGTGCTGTGCAAGGTACTGTCAGGTCAGGCACCGCAGTGCGGTGTATTGTGATGTGTTAAGATTCTTGTGTGAATAATGCCATGTTCTGATCTGGTATGTCTGCTATGTTATGATATGCGATCCGATGCAAGGCGAGGCAGTGTACCGGAATGCAGGAACCGGTGTTTGTTTTGCTGTAGCTGCTTTATGTTGTTTTTTGTTGTTTGTGCGCGGACCCAGAAAGCCAGCAAGTGACTGAACCCCGGCCCCCGCAGCGACAGCAAAAAAAAAAGTGCCCCCACACCGACAGCTAAAACAAAGGCCCTCGCACAGCGACAGCAAAAAAGCAAACGCGCCCCTGCAGCGCGGACCTAGGAATCCAGTGAGTGAGTGAACCCCTGCATCACAAGACCCTGCTGGACTTTAAGTCCGAAGCACGGACTCTCAACCCACAAACCCCCAAAGCAAAGCTGTACCCTTAATTCCCTTAGCCCCAATTCCACCAAGACTTAAAACCCAAGCTTTAACGGCATTCGAACCCGCAACCCCTAAACCAGTGAAGCCATTGCCCCCGCAACCCAGACAGCACACGGACAGGATCGGGGGACTTGGTGAAGGAGGTATAACTAGCCGTACAAGGTATAAGCAAGTAGCCTACCTTGCGGGCCCTTCCTTGCGAGTCTACTTCTAACGCACTTGCTAATCCTAATCCCTAAACCCTTAACCGCAAACCCTAAACCCTCAACCCAAGACCATAAACCCTCAGACCCGAACAAGGGATTCGGGAGTTGGCTTCAAAGGTTTGGGGTTTAAGGTTCAGCTTAATGTGTGTGCATTATTTGCATGTGCCAGCCGCCCCTCAAACCTTATCTGTACCCCTGTTCTTCCAATTGCTTCACCAGTGAGTACTTGATCGTAAATCTACAAGATAAGGCTTTTGTGCCAGATAAGGCATTAGCATCGAAAGTCCGTATCAGCCTTATCTGGTAGAAACAAGCTTCAATGCCTTGCTGGGAGACTGGACTTCCTACTCGCCGGGACGAGCACAATTCCAAACCCCAAGTCTGACGACAACAAGGGAATGCCGACACAGATCAAGATGATGGTAACAGCTGGACTCCTGACCTGGGTACCCCTGGGGCAGGGACGGCGAGTCTTGCTGCTTCCTCTTCCTGCAACAAGGAAGCTCAAAGGTCAAAGAAATCTGCTTCTTCGTTGTTGCTGCTCTCGAAACACTTACGGCTGCAATGACTATTAGGTCAGCAGCACGAAGAAATCAGCGTCACTGATACTGACCCCAGTTAGCCTCGAAGTAACACTCCTTCATCCTCCCACCTGCCTAGTCCATAGTCAATCTGAAACCAATAACCCGGAACTATCTTCCCTGCACCTGTTCATCCGCGGAACGGACTGGACAGTTTGGTGTACTGTGAGACCGTTGCGGGTGCTTCAGTTTCAACTTCCGCGTCTGCCTCTGCATCTACAGCGACTGGGATAGAGTTAGGTGTTTCAACCTCTCGGTTAAGGATCAACTGTGGTTTGGAGCCAGTTGAGATAGTCTTCGGCAACTGTTTTTGCGTTTGTCGCTGGCTTTGGCGGCTCGTTTGGCTTTTAAAACCTGCCTGGGGAAGCAAACAACTACTGTTCTTAGGATAAGGCCGTACCTTGAATTCCTAACCCTGTGATGTTCGGTAACATTCACATGACTTACGCAGTGCAACTGCCAGACATGAAGAGCAATAACGTTCCTTGACGTTCTCCCGTAACATATCCAGAAACCGAGTCTAGTCATCAAGGCACCTTAAAGCACCATGGCCTACCTTGTCTGTAGAGTCTCACTATACGCAACAAAAGTGAACTATGGGCGCATTGGAAACAAGTACGTCAAGGTTCTCGCTCAACCATCTATGCACCCCCTAAACCCTGCACATGAAAACCCTAACCCCTACTGCTGCTGTAGTAGTACTAGCATTAGTATTAGTATTAGTATTAGTATTAGCATTAGTATTCGTATTCGTATCAGTATCAGTATCAGTATCAGTATTAGTATTAGTATTAGTATTAGTATTAGTAGTAGTAGTAGTAGTAGTAGTAGTAGTAGTAGTAGCAGCAGCAATGGCAGTAGAAGCAGCAGCAGGAGGGGTGGTGGGAGAAGTAGAAGTAGTAGTAGTAGTTGTTGTTGTTGATATTATTAGTAGTAGTAGTAGTAGTAGTCGTCGTCGTCGTTACCGTAGTCGCAATAGTGGTGGCAGTTACAGTGGCAGTAGTAGCTAGTACTAGTAGCAGCAGCATGATTATTACTAGCCGCAGTCGTTGTCGGAGTAAGAATAGGCGTAAGAGTGGGAATAGGAGTAGGAGTCGGAGTGGGACTAGGAGGAGGTAGTAGTAGAAGTAGCAGTAGGAGCAGCAGTAGTAGGAGCCGCAGCAGCAGGAGTAGTAGTAGCAGCAGTTATCACTGATAGTCACGAGCATGATCATGATGAAGATGAGTTTGAGGATGAGGATGAGAGTGATGACAACGCTGCCATGGTCAGGATTCCGATGATGAGAATGGCGTTTGTCGTGGCTGTAGGAATGATTGCAAAACCTGTGTGTGCGTGACATGCCTTATACCTACAATAACTACAAATCATCTGCAGCCTGAAGCACGCGGGGGAGACTGCGCGGCGTAGACGGCGTGCAACTCTTGAGCACGACATCAGCAGATATGCAAGCATATTCGAAGCGTTGCTGTGCAAAAAAATGACGGGGATGCCTGCCCTGTTGCATGCTGCTCCAACACCGTTCGAGACGTCCTTCATCTACAGCACAGAAACGAAGCCCCACCTTACCTTGTCTCAACCTTCCCACCATCCCTCCCAGGGAGCTGTTCCTTACAGGCCGACAGAGCCAAGCCGCGAAGCCTCAACATCCGAATCCTCAAAATGAGGCCATAGTGCCACGCGTTTGTGATAATAAAACAGTCACTCAAGCGCTGGCGGGCACGTTGCCGGGATGCCGATGAAGTTCGCTGAGTCCCGACACACCAGTTCGCCCACAAAGCACTGCATGCTTGAAATGAAGGGGAAAGTGCGATTATGGAAGGTCCAAAAACAAGGCCAAAACTGGGCTTAGGATGCTGTCAAGCACTGCTGCGATCGAAGCTTGCACACACTTGGCCGGCTATGTACCGCAAGCGGCGCCTGCAGACTAGTAGCCTTAGCTTCAGCAAGCCTGCTCCCGAAACCCGAATTAACCGAATCTGGCTACTAAGTTCCAACTTGACAGTTCAGTGACATCCACCATCCCTTGAATCATCATTTTCTCATTTCGTGGCAGCGAGGCCAAGGACAGTGCGGAGTCCGTATCAGCGACAGGGTGATTGGGGAGACGCAGGAAACGCGAGGAGAGGGCAAAGATGAAACAGCCGATGCCCTCTCTTGTGTACACGTGCATCGGGGAATCGACTTGTCAATCAATTCTTAGTGCCTTCGAAAAGCCAGATAGACGTTCATCGGAAGTTTCCTCCGTCCCATCACCAACCTCTACGGTCTTGCATACTGACACAGGTCTGTGGGAGGTCTTCGACCCTATGCTTGTTCCCGGAGTTGTTCAGCGCAAATCAGAATGCTAGCCTGCGATGGGCGACAACAGTTTAACCCGACTCATTGTCTGGGAGGGAGAACCATGAGGTAAGACGGATAGGGGCTGACATCTTGTTGCGGAGTCTACGGTAGTTGCACCTTGAGCCCTCGAAGCTTGCTGACCGCACAAACCCGAGTCGTGGGGATCGTTGCAGTTCGTTGTGCACATCCAGCTCCTGCTGCCCGTCTGAGGTTCAGGGTTCGGGCTTTCAGGCCCGGGCCTCTTTCAGAACAAGTTCCACCATCTCGAGGCAGCTCACGAGCCTTTGGCTTCCTTCCACTGTAGAACCACGACCCCACAAAAATTGGCTTATTGCCGAGCTCTCTCGCCGCAGGCACTGGCCCCAGAAATCTTCATGCGCATGTCTGAATGTCCGCAAATGCTGTCACCCTGGGTTTACAACTGGGAAAGGGCAGGGCAGGCATCGAAACGAGTATGGAGCTTAGTGCTGGAAGTCACGCTGGGGCGGGTTGCTTCTTCCGGAATTTATGCGCAAGGTTCAGAAGGGCGATCTTCAAACCAAAGCCATATAGCGAACCCCTGGAGTATCTAGGAGAAAAGAATGCAGACCCAAGCAGCCACGGCACCGTCACTGTCACTCCGAAACCGACTCGTTATGAGACTTCTGTGTCGTGGAGCGGAACCCTTGCCCGTGCTGGTGTTGCATGTACCATATGTACCCAGTGCCCGCGTCGGTTCAGAGGCCAGGCCCGGGGGTCATTGCCCCAGGCCCTTTCCGTGTGCGAGTCGCGAGTTGCGTTCTGAACCTCTGGCAGCTGGTGGAGGCTTCAGGCGCCGGGATACTCATGAAGGCTTTGAAGGTAATTGTTGCAGATTGAGACTACAGAAAGGGTCGCATCTGTGTGTCTCTTTTGCACTGCAACAAGTCGGCCCAACTGATCCGCACGAACGGACACAAATTCGCAAGTATCAACCATCAAGCCGCAGTCCATATGCGAGAGCTCTGAAAATTCAAACCAGACGAGGGCAGTACCCACACGACCAATGAACTTGCAGGACCCAAAGGGTCTCTCTCGCCAGCTAAGCTTCGCGCCGCGTGCCCGTCCGGCTGCGTACCGCAGCCTCACAAGCGTCGGGGCGCCAAGTCCCCAGAGCGAGAACAATAAATCCACCCCGTAAAAGGATTCGGAACGAGTGCAGCCCTCTGCATCATTGATGCGCACGCGAACTTCTAAAGAGCATGAGAGCAGCCCTCAAGGCTGTGAGCCCGAAGACCGTCCGAGTTGATTCATTGTTCAGAACACTGTCCCTTGCAGGAACCCTCGAGACGAACCAGCGGCGGTGAAGCTGATTTGCGATACCCGCAGCAGAAGAGCAAGTGCCGTGTGTGCAGGCTCTGTGCAAACTAACTATGCATGCTCGACGAAGTCGGAGACTTCTCAACCCACATATCATCAACGCATCGTGCCTCAGTAAATGGCGTCTTTCAGGCACAGGACACCGACCTCGAGTCGCAAGCTTATGAGACATGAAACCCGGCCGTCAAGCACACTCTGCTAGCACAGCGCTAGCGGAATGTTACGAGCATGTGCTGCATGTGTACCAAGGAGGCAACAGGCTGTTCCGCAAGCCATCACCAGCCAACCGCGACTGTGCTCACCCGGCCTCGCCCAAGGCAGCAGTGGCTGCGGTCAAGGCGCTGACCAGGACGGTGAGGCGGGCCTCAGCTTCGAGCAAACCCTGCAGCCACCCAAGGCAGCACCGCAAAGCTCAGCGTAGGAGTCCAAAGGAGTATCACAACCTCTCGAAAAACCGTCGTCACGCAATGGACTCCACTTCTTGACGCAAAGGCGAAGGAATGGCAAGCACTGTCCTTTAGCTGTGAAGCTGACCGTATGGTGGTTTAGTTGAGTTTTGCTTTGGCAAGTGTTGCGCCTCCCTAAGTAGATTCCGCTCCAATCCTGGTAGCTGTCCATGATTCATGATCCAACTGCTCGCTGCGATCATTCGCTACAATTACGACACCCATCCACCCCACCCAGTCCCGAAGCTCCGGAAGCCTGCAGGCTTCCGACAACGCTCTCGACCTAAGCTGGCGCTACGATGACAACATGGCATTGGCTTAGGCTTCCTCCATTTCATATCATTTCATGTGAGACGTCTGGTCGAGTGCATCTCTTCGGTGTAATTACTGCGCAACGCTTCTGCAACATTTTGGATGGCACAAGTGTCTGAGAAGCTCGAAACCATACACAGCCCGAGAAGATGCCTCCACAAGACATCTGAACCCTTCTGCATCAACTCCAGGACCTTGCAGCGCAACCTTCTAGAAACGATCAGGCTACGGACCTTCGATCGGAAGAGAGAGAGAGAGAGATAACAAAAAACAAAAAAATGTGCGACACAACCACCTGCCCCCAAAGTGCAAATTCACAAAGGCTTAAAAACACACAACTCACATGCCCCGAACCGTTGATTGCTGAGCCCTTTGGAGCCAACCAAGCCGACTGCATCTTTGGTTCGGGATTTTCAAGACTTCGCTCAGGAGGCAGAGGGCGAACAGAGATGCCGGTTGCATTCGAGGTGCAGCACTGCGATCCATTCTTCCCTCGCGCTCCATAGAATCCATGTACTCATTGATGTCTTTGTAGAACGTGTTGACGTCGTCCAGCCTGGTCCAGGACGCACAGCTGCCGCGAACCAATGCAAGTAACATATTCAGCGCATGAGCTTCGGCAGGCATGCCTGCCATCTCGGACACCAGCCGAACCTTAAGATGCAACCGAGCGGCGTGCGCATGCCTTCAAGGTTGGCGAGGCCTTCGATGTCTGCCTCATTGTTGACACCAAGCTCTGACTGCCATGGAAAATTGGGCAGGGGGCCTAACCTGGTGGTTGGAGAGGTGGGTCCGGCACATCAGCCTAGGGCCTAGGCATTGCAGCAGATTGTAGCTGCAAAGGGTCGATCCCTGCACTTTACCTGTCTTGCCAGTGTTGCGCGGCCAGTGGCCAGCGACACTGCGCAACCATGCAGCGGATAACTCAGGCAAGTGACAACTTCTGCTACTTGCTGCTGCTCCTATCAAAACCATAACATGTCCCTTGGCCGTAGAGACCCCACACGGCACGCCGGCTCAAGTGGATATCAAGCCACTCCGGAGCTCTCCACCTTCTGCTCCTGTGCCGCGCGGCTTGCAGCTTTCAGGATTGTCAGCAGCTTTCAGGATTTTTCAACTCAGGCTGGCAAATACCTAGCTTCTGAAGAGACCAGTTTCACATTCTCGACTCAGTCGTGGAAGGTAACCAGAGTGACCGATAGCGATTGTGAAGGCATGCTCCGAGTAGGTGGTAAGGAAGAAAGGGCCTGGGACGGCACAGGTCCGACGGCAGCTCAACTAGATATCATGTGGGCCGATTCCTTCCAAATTCCGCCCCATGTTAAAGCGTTGCAACTGTTGGAGTCGGAGCAGAAAAGCTCGACCGCAGAAGAATGTCATGTCAGAAGCTCATGACCCTCAAACTGGTCTGCAGCAGTCTCCAGAACATCCCCTCACCACTAAGGGACTGGCACAAACAGCGGCACTCGCCGCATCCCCCGAAAAGAGGCCCTCATGTAGGCCATCATGTGCCCAACCACACTGCTCGAAGCATGTCCCGTAGTCCCAAACTTTCAAAACGTGAAACCTACACCTCGCACCTGGTCGTGCTTCAGAATGGCTTTCACGACTTCGAAAACCTGGGCGTGAGCTGAGGCTAGACAGGTTGAGGGGCCTAGGAACACAGCAACATTGAGTTTGGACGGCACGTCTGATGGGTGGTCACGAGAACATGTAGTGTTGAAACAACCCAAGCTAAACACTTCACATTTGGAGGCCTGAGGTCGGAAGGATTCGCAAACTGTGAAGCAGTGACGCAACTGCCACAACGATTAACGCCAACGCGCTGCAAATGGCCACACAGAAATGCCTGCAAGCAATTCTCTCTGTCTTGACTGTCGAAAGGTTCACTGCATGCCCTCTCGTTTCTTTGCCCAGCAGCTTTCGCGAATGTGTCCAACATATCATCTTCAAGGCTCCTTAAAGCAGGCATGGTAACGGCGGGGATGGATGTGGGCATCTTGTCTACCCAGTGCCGATAGTGAATTTTCTGAAAGGCGTGGCATTCATGAATGCGCAACTACTCCAAGTTCCGGAACATTGGCATGGCGAACAACCTGATACCAGGGGTGGCTCTATCCCACATCAGGCGTTAACAATACACGCCGAGTGTAGACGCAGTGTCCGAGAAGTTACACATCAATGGCGAGGATACGCATCAGGGTACGCAACCCGTGTGGACACTAATTGTAGTCATCAAGTCGCATAAGCTCAATGGTGATGATATGTCGCGGACGCTGAGGTTTCAAGCACTTGTCATTGCAATCTAGAGCACATCTTGGCCCCGATTTCTATGCTCGAAACCCCAATGTGGACGCTGTTTGTAGTCAAGTCGCTTAAGTTCAATTACCAGGATACGTCGCGAACGCTGGGGTGTTAACCATTTTTCATTGCAATATAGAGTAGATTGGTAGATGCCAAACCACAGTCTGAGTGCTGTTTGTAGTCTCCAAGGCGCGTAAGCTCAATCGTCAGGTGCTGTGAGGATATGTCGCGGATGCTGGGCTTCAGATAATTTAACCTTCAATCTACAGTACGGTTTGGCCCCCGATTCTCAACACTTCAGGCAAGAGATCTGGAAATTTAGGTTACTGCCGTGATACCCTGTAGCGATACTTTCGCGAAACCCTAGATTTCAACGTGAAGGCCATGGGTACACCCGCATGCGAAAGTCTGCTCTTCTGTTTGTTTCAGATCGAAGACCCTGAGAACCGCGGTGAGAGCGAGACACGGACGCACAACACATCGACGACAACACAACAACAACTGGCAAGACAGCAATGAAACCAACTCCAAGTGGAACTACAGATGCGCACTGCGAATTGCATTCGCGGCTACAAGATCAGACATGCTCTGAGAACTGCATTCCGCCCAGTGTGGACGCAGATCGATGTCACCACGACGACGACAACATCGACGACAGCACAACAACAACCCCCACGTAGACTCTAGACGCTGGCAAGACAGCCAAGAAACCAACTCCGCTGGAACAGCAGATGCTCACTGCGAAATGCGTTCCCCCAGTGTATAGACGCCGATCGATGCCACCAGAACCAAGTCTGCTCCAACATCAGACATGTGCGGAGAACTGCCTTCCGCCCAAGCGACCCCTTGTAACACGTGTATTGCCCACACCAACCATCCCGAAAATCTGAGCCTCATCCTGTGGGGCTATCGGGACTGGCTTGGACATGAACTTCAACCGAGGCCGCAGCGCTATCCGAAATACGTTGACGGACCGAAAAAACTGAGATCCCGCCAAGACGTAAGCACGGAAGATTGCTCGCACAAGGCGATTAATTTGCATGCGTAGATCCCAGGGATTCCAGCTGGACATTGAATCTCGCTTTCACTCTTTTGAGGAATCGGGCGAGACGACAGGCCTCTCGCTGAGACCCTATGGGTGCTGTCAGTGGGTGGTGATCGAATTTTCAGGGGCGAGAGTACTGGTGCACCGCAGACATGACCCCATCAAACAATTCTCATCCAGGAGACCGGAAGCTTAGCTGTTTCTCCATGATTTGGTGAATGTAGGGCGCATTGTTAGTCCTCAGCGTAGCATGGCAGATAGACAGCGGCAGGGAGTCCAACTAGTTCGATGCAATCCATTTACACGACTGCATTTACCGTGCGTGCGCACTGGGTCCTGCTAGCACCCTCATCAAAGATAGTTGAATATTAACCGAATCATCTTTGTTGGTTCATTCAACTTCGACAGCCTGTGGAGCGGGACCAATGGCCGCGCGAATAGACAGACTTCCTGCGTAGCTGTTGGATGGCGCAGCTCTCCTGCGCACCTCTACACTTCAGCGAACACAATCCTCGCTTCACGATCTGCACACCCAAACCCAAATCTTGATCTGGCGAAGGCGCTCATGGACGATCTTCTTCACGGCCGACCTTCCATTTGCTGTGTGGGAATGGGACAATTCACAGTCTGGATGTTACATCAGCGGAGGACTGTCACGACCCAGGATGGCTCAGTCACGATTCTCACGATTCATTGAACTAATGATTCGTAACCGATCCGGCTGCATGCTGGCATAGGCCCTGTCACCAGTTTCTTGTGTAACAAGCGCGGTGGTGGCTTGTCTTGTCAACAAGTACAGCTTGTACCCAAGCAAGGGTGAGGAATCAAAAAAAAACTAAATAAGGATCAAAAAATTATATGGGAGGATCAAAAAACACATCATCTAAAATACAGCAATTCCTGTGGCAGAGGTATCAAAAAATATTTAAAAGAAGCATCAAACAAATATGTTCAAATACAGCAATTCCTGAGATTTCCGAGGGAAAACACTCTTTTCCTACGGGTTCTCTTTCATTTCCTTAGGATTTGCTTGTTTTTCCTCGGGAAAACACGATTTTCCTACGGATTCCGTGCTAGTTCCTTAAGTTTTCCTTGGTTTTTATCTCGCTCGTGTCATTTCTTCAGGTTTTCAGAAGGAAAACATACGTTACCTTGTTCATTCCTCGGGAAAATCAAATTTTCGTTACAACTTCGCATTAAGGACGGATTTCGTGTTGTAATTTAATGCTGGTAGTGTTGTTGTTGTTGCCGTTGTGGTTGTAGTTGTAGAATGTTGTAGTTGTGGTTGTAGTAGTAGCAGTAGTAGTAGCAGTAGTAGTAGTAGAAGTAGAAGTAGAAGTAGAAGTAGAAGTAGAAGTAGAAGTAGAAGTAGAAGTAGAAGTAGAAGTAGAAGTAGTAGTAGGAGCAGTAGTATCAGTAGTAGTAGTAGTAGTACTAGTAGTAGTAGTAGTAGTAGTAGTAGTAGAAGTAAAAGTAGTAGTAGTAGTAGTAGAAGTAGAAGTAGTAGTAGTAGTAGTAGTAGTAGTAGTAGTAGTAGTAGTAGCGGTCCCAAATATGTCTAGAACACGCCTTCTCATTTGGCATTTCCTGTTCATAATATATTTAAAACACGCTCCTTCATTTGGCGATTCCGGTTCTGGCTCAGCATGTATCTACAAGCGCGGAGCCCCCCCCATTTGCAAACACAATGCTCGTGTGATGGGTTTCAAAAAAAGCCATATGCGTCAAAGCAACCCTGCACGGCTTAAAACAGCGGTGGAGTTGGGGGGGGGGGCGCAGCTGCACCCATTTGCAGACACAGCGCTCGCATGATGAGCTTCGAAAACACTAACTGAGTTGAATCAAGCTTGCACGGCTCGAAAAGCGCGGCGGTGGGTCTTTCGTTCTTCCGTGCCTGTTCGTGTCTCTTCTTCCGTTAGCACTCTAACATAATATAACATAGAAAACCATAAGAACGATATAAGATGGTTCGACATCACACTAATAGCGTGACAGTTTCTGACAGAACATAACATTGCTTCTCACAGCATATAATAACATAGTAAAAAGACAACATTACAATACAACACAATATAGCATAGAACCAAACAACATCTTAGTTTATAATGTAGCACATCGTAACATAGTACAATTTAGTGTGTATATATACAACATAATACTTAGTATATTATATAACATTAGGTTACATTATGTTATGGTATTACTATATTATGGTATATTCGATTCGACTATGTATGTAGTATCCTATTGCTTATACCTTTCTTTCCGTGATTCTTTCATGTTCTGTCTCTTTCGTCTTTTCCAATTTTGCTTGTTTCTTCTGGATTTCGTTCTTTACTTCGCTCGTTCATTCCTTTTCTTTCTTTGTGTGGCTCTTTTTTATTCATGTCATACTCCCTTCCTTCCCTCCTTTCTTTCTTGCTTTCGTTTTTTAATTCGATCGTTATTTCTTTCGTTCTTTCGTTCTCTCGTTCGTTCTTTCTTTCTTTCTGTCTTCCTTTCGTTCTTTCTTTCTTTCTTTCTTTCGTTCTCTCTCTCTCTCTCTCTGCCGGGAGTAGGGGCGGATCAGAGCCCCCGGGCTCTCTCTCTCTTGCTTGCTTGCTTGCGGGGCGGCCCTGCTTCCTTCCTGCCTTCCTGCCCTTTCTGTTGTTTCTTTTCTTCCTTCCTTCCTGCCGTCTCTGGTGCTTTATTTTTTTGATCCTTATCTAACTTTTGATCCTTATTTAATTGTTGATCCTTATTCTTCTTATTTTTAACCCTATCCCCCCAAGCAAGCAGTGCTGGAGTACACGAAGTGAAGCAACCAGAAGTGGAGCACTTATCTCTATTGTCTACTGTTGCCATCGCTAGTGCAGCCCAGTCCTAGCCCCCGCCCGAGCCAGGCCTCGTGTGAAGGCTTTAGTTTAACTTGCAGGCCGCTCGAAATCCACAGAAATCCCTGTCCGTGCCTGCCACCTGTGCCAGTAGCGGAAGGATCCATCACGTCAAGTCCCTCCTCGGCCAGGGTCTTTGGGGTTTGGCTCTGGTTAGCGTTCCGCATCGAAGGTGATGGGAACCAAACGTGACAATCGTGCCCACTGCACAAACCAAGTTCGCCCCAAGCTCCCTTCGCCCAACTTACGTAGCCCCAGACGGCCGAAGAGATGCGTGCACTGTACAACAACCAGCTGCAACCTGCTGTCCGTCCGAATTAAGTCGGTTGCGTTCACGAATACCGCTTTGTGCGAACGTCCACATGCCGTCTGCCTTGACCGATATAGGAGAGGTGTTGACCGCAGTTGAACGGCTCCCAGCGCTTCTGGAAATACAAGCTCACATTATCACTTGTGGCAAATACACCCTTGCAAACAGTGGGGTGTCCTTGTCTTGTTGCCTGTTGGCACTTTGGCACAGCATGCTACGGAAGAAACCTGAATCCTGTTTGCTTGACAGGCAAGGCGGGTGCCAAGAGCATGTTACCAAAGGCTAGGTCGCGCGATTAGGCTTCAGCTATATTCTTGTGGAGGCCTTACCTAAGCGTTCCTTGGGCCTCCGTCAAAGCCACTTACGTAAGCGCTCATGTGAGGCCTGAAGCTCCTGGATCGGTCCGATTTCGGTCTACAATTCTACACTCAAACTTCGGCCTTCTCAGAAGCTGGGATCAAGGGCCCAACAAAGGGCCAACAGGGCACCCTGCAGCCAGGAAGCGAGATCGGTGAGTTGGGTCTGCTGGTGGCTCTCGGCCGCTTGGCGCGCCGAGGACTTCTCCGTCTCCACCTGGCCACATCCGGCAACAGCAATTCGTAATCATGACAGCACCGTCGAGACTGATCTTCGAATTTGCGGACATGTGTGCAACAGCCGATGCAGGTATCATTCATGTGTCCAGTCTGCTGGCGTTCGTAACCTTCCGGCTTTCGCATGCGAACGCCGGCCCCAGTGCTTTGGCTGCTTGAGCCACAAATTGATCAAATAGTATGGACTGCAGCCCCAGCCGCGGACGGATCACAGAATTTCGCAGCCGCACACACTGCAAAAGAGCGATACACGACCGCAACTTCGTGTGTCGACTCGGGAAGTGGTCCGCTTCCTACTTGTCGTCCGGGTCACTGTGTCGTTTCGCGTCAAGCATCATCAAGCTTCGGGCATCTTTGGTTGTCCCGTGCCAACTGTTGTCGGAGCTTCACTCATGTTGACTCCTTCCCGACCCAAACCCTCCACCGTAGAATGATGGGAAGAGTTCTTAAAGTCGACACACCGACAGCTAACTGTTCTCGGATGTTGATGCGACGAGGGATAGATGGTCGCTTCCAACATCAAGATCCTCAAACTTGAGCTTGAATACTTCTGACGGCAGTGCTGCTTGACCCGAGCTGAATACGAGTTCGACCACCCAGACCAGCACCTATGCAGGAAGAAAATGTAAAGATGAAAAGGCAGAGCTGGCACCTTCTCGGTCTTCCACTCCTGTGCGGCGAAGCTTTGAAGCACTAGAAGCACCAAGACGATACGATGGTCAAGCTCTGTCCCATCCATGCCGCACATGTACCGGCAGAAGAACATGCATGCTTGCATTAGTGCCATTCTCGTAAAGACGTGCCCAAATGTGCTGGGTTCGCACCTTGGCAGTGATGACCAATACTCCCAACCTGACAAGACAAGATGCAACAAGAGTCATCAGAGGGCTCTCAAGTTGGAGACAGATTTCCGAACCTGAACCTGTCTTCGGTTCCAGGGGTTACATAGACGACTTGGAGCAGCAACAAAGAATTAACAAGGGATTACATGCCACATGTCTTGTTCTCTCCGTCTGGCTTCGTCGTGGCAGTGTTCGTGGGCGCATGCTAAGAGCCCAGGTGCGGAAAGCTTACACTTGACCTCACTTAATGTGCAGAAGACCCATGTACGCCATTTCGATCATCGACCTCACGCAATCACCTCCAAGTCCTTCTACCACCGCCTTACTGTGGCAAGTTGGTAATTTACCAAAGATTAAGCTTCTCAGCATTAGCCAGCTGATGCTGATAGAAGCTTTCGGCGGAAACCGAAGCCGTATTCGGTCCAAATGGCTGCGAGATGCCCGTGTCCAAGTTGTCCAGGACTTGTCCATAGAGGGTGTGCCTGGGCAGATTGCGAAACGCTCCTGGCCAGCACTTAATGCCTGCTTGGCTCTTGGATTGGGACGCACTTTCATGTACGAGTGCTGCACTCCTGTCTGGCTGGCTCTGGATGCTCCCTGGTTCCTCCAGACTCCAGGTTGTGATTGGTAATTCAGCACGGTTGAAACCGGCGCAACCAATAGATGTGCGACAGATCCCGGTGAAAGTAGCTGGCATCCTGTAAATCCAATTAGCGCTGTGCAACACTGAGTCAGGAGTCAATTATGGTTTTCGCGGTCGGCGTGTGACTCACAACATCTTGAGATACTGTAGCTACTCGCCACAACAAACGTCTCATCAGGCCTCGGTACAGCACTGAGTGGGCCGCGTTCAGCACAGGTCAGTCTCTGAGTCCAAGCTTGCATCTACTGCACATCTGCCGATGTACGCTTGCAAATGCAACTCGCGAGCTGTTGGGATGACCAGAGACCACGCAAAGTGTGTACAAGTCCACCAGGGCTTGCCAACATCATGATCTGAACAAGATCTACGCAGGCAGGCCGAGGAGCTTGAAAGGCAAACGCGGTCCTGGAACAACCTGCCATTGTCAACAAAACGTGCGCCGTGATCGCAACACACGCGAAAGCCAAAGCCACAAAAGTCACAAAGCCCGACTTCTCTTCACCAAATCCGAGTTCGCCCTGAAAGCTCCGAAACGAGCACAGCTGCCTCCAGAGCTGGGGAGCTTTCCGCGTGCAGAGCTCTGGCATTGTTGAGCATGTCACGAGCCTACCCGAAGAACTCTGACGGAGTCGCAGGCTTCAGGTTTCTGAGCCGGAAGAAACCATCTCCTAAGTGAAAACCCCTCTCATTAACGGACTTTTGTTTGTGGCGACAGTCGCGTAAGAAACACGACGGCGCAAGCCCATGCAAGCACCAGCAATGACAGAGATGTTCACTTGCCAACTTTAACACTTACCTATAATCTCCATTGTAGTTCCTTTTTTTGGGTTACTTTATAGGATCCCTAATATATAATTGGTTAAACTATAAAAAAAGGAACTACAATGGAGCCTATAGGTAAGACTTAAGTTACACGGCTGAGAACCTTCGCATGGTTCTCTGACATCTGGTCATACCTTGCAAAGCTGAAGCAAAAACATTCTAGGGCGGGTCCATTCAAGCATCGACTCTTGTGGTGATGCAGATACGTTAGATTCGAAGTTTGGAGCATAGGTTGGCGTGTCTCACATTGGCGAAGCGACACCTTCGGCTGTAGATTTACACCAAGGCTCTGATGAGCCTGAGCGAAAAACCACCACAAGGATCTCGTCTTGCCATCGGCCACCGACGCGGACATGCTTGAAACTCTATCACGGGGCCATCTGCGAAGCATTACCCCTGTTTGACCGGGCCACTTGCCCGCAAAGAAGAGCATGTATGAATTTTGGATGGTGTCCAACAGGTCCTGACACTGTTGGAGATTCTTGATTATCGATGAAAGGCGAACAACACTTCCCGCGACCAACGTGAAAACCACAGAAATGCAGCCCGCCGTGTGTTCAAAGACAGCTACACTATCGGGGGATGGAGGACTGCTGGCCGGATTCTCCTTGATCATATATCTACTTCAGAATCCTGCACCTCCAAAACTCAAGCGTCTTGGGTCCCAAGAAAGACTGATGCCCTGCGCTGCTGCATTCAATGTGGTGTGGGTTTGCAGACGAACTGTGGCCGGTTGGCCCAGGAAGCTTCCTAGCTGAGTCCACACTGTCCATGGCCCAAGCAAGGTAACCAGGCCCCTTGGCCGAACTCTGCGTCAGCACTCTACATCCGTGTCATCCGTGTAATGTCATGAAGCACGTCGGATTTGCGCCTATGACAATCCATGGGCTGCACAACCGCAGACGTCCTCGAGCTGCTTGACTGCCAGGTCTCTCGGTGCTTTGTCCAGGAGCACGGTCTCTATCAGCATGCGGATCTGCAAACTCAAGAGGCTGGCACGGAATGCGGCCACTGCTTATGCTCGCCAACACGGCCGAGAGACGAGAACAGCAACCGTGACTTGCGCGATGGTCTGGTAGTGGCCGTGCATGTCATAAGAGAACCTTGGCAGCAGGGTGTGTCGAGGGCAGGGAACCTCACTATATTGAAGTCCGTCAGAGAAGGCCGCAGCCCAGCTAAACGTCACTGTGGCTTTCCCAGCGGAAAGACAAGGGCGAACCATCAGTGCCCAACCACAGTCGGCAGGAGCTCCAGTGGCTTAGCTATGACAGCTATGAATCATGAATGCAGACAGCCAAAGGGGCATATTTAAATCAAGCCTTATGAACCCAAGACACTCCCCGCCGGTGCAGGCCTGCATCAACCTGAGCGAGGTCCTAAAAGTGGTTCGCTCTCTGGCAACATTCGTCGATTGAGCCAACTGTTAGCCGGCATTGTGCAGATTGACTAGTCTCGGCAGGCGTGCAGCAGTTGTCAAGCTGTTTCTACGGTGTCGACTTTCACGTGTCTATAGGCTACCTTCAGCAATCAGTTGTTTCGGGTGCACAGGCCCAGCACAGGCCAAACAGGCCCATCCCGAGCTCAGAACGGGGACCAAAACGGCCCCAAGTGCTCGGCGCGAAAGCGTATCTGCCGTACCTTGGGCCAAGATGCGGGTACGCGCCGAAACCGCAGAGGGCGCAGCCCACGAAGCTCCAGGTCACGGATGCATAGTACACATAGGAGAACCTCACGGCACTGCGGAGACGGCGGGTTTTTAACATCCTATCTGGATGCTTACATATATGAGCATTATATTATGAAGTACAGAAGAAAAGATTTCGTCAGGCTGTCATCTAGTCCATTGCTTTCCGGGTGGATTGCTGCTGCGGCGCCCAAAGAAGTACAGCCACACCAGGATCACCTGCGTAGCTGTCCTCCAGGACCGACGGGACGGCAGATTTCAGGGTCGAGGATCGAGCTCGGTGTCAGGCAAGGTTTGAAAACAGCTGGTGTGAAGGAGGTCCACCGCAAGCATGACACGATGGCACCACGACAGCAACTGATCTGTCCGAAGCTGGGCAGAAGCAGATGGTGCCTTGCGCTGATCGGTGCAAGATGAGTTGGAAAGGGGCATGAACAAGCCCTGGGCCCTGCCCGGCCTCACACTCAGCGTTCCGGTCCCGAAGACATCAGTGATTCCCTTTGCTGAGCCCTCCCAGGGGTCCTCATCCATGACGCACACGGGAAAGAGAAAACGATCGCCAGAACCTCAGGTAAATATTTCGTGCACCCTCCGGACATGCCCATGCAGCTTTGATCCCAATATTCAGCCAGCAAGCAGCCTGAGTCAAAAGCATCTAACTGTTCAGCATCCACCCATTGAGCCAGTCTGACAACTCAACCTTACTGCTTACACTTTCACAAGTATTGGCTTGCGGACCGAACAACCTTCTGAAAAGCGAAATGCCCACCGTTGAAAATGCTGTGCTTGTTTTAATTTTCGGGTGGTAGGGCGGGAGTGTGGGGAGGGAAGTGTGTGGGGGTGCGGGAGCCAGGACCCTGCCTATGGCATAACGGCCTAACCCCAAAGTGCCAAAGGAATTTCTTGACCGCGCTTGGCATGTGTTTCTTGGGGCGTTGTTGACGGCGCTTCCACAGATCACTCCCGACACCCATACTTGGTGCAAACCGCAGCCTGATGCAAATTAGGGGCATCCTCTACAGAAGCCTCAACATCAAACACTATCAGATCAATGTCAACACATCAGACGCCGCTCTAATTGTGACCCCGAAGTCAAATCGCCCATGAATCCTCACAACTCCAGAGCTGACCCGGTTCATATCCTTAAGCGAGCAAAACTCCCCTCGAGGCACCAAGACTGGAATGATGTTGCCCAGGACAATTCCGATCAATCGCTCAATGTTTCCTCTGGCGCTTTGGTTTGGAGCTTTACTTCTGCGCATCTCCCCAGCGCAAGGTCCAATACCACGTGTAATATCTAAATGACCCGTCCTTTGAACGTCGAGCCGTAGGTGGAGGTGATGATCAGCGCCAGCGTACCAGGCATCCTGGTAAACGCATTGCAGAAATTTGCAGAACCCAACTCCATGCACGAGAAATGCAAACAAATATGGACAACCTGTGCCACATGCGGCGACACAGCCCAACGCCAAGATCGTGCCAAGCTTCAGGGCAGAGTACGGCACAAAGAGTCCTTTTTTCTCGGCGAACATGGCGATCCTCAGTAATGGGCACTGCAGTCACTTAACAGAAGAGGCTGCAGCTGTCGACAACCAGACGTGGATCTGATGCGGCTTAGTACGAGTCTAACAATTCCCAGTGCAGAAATGCTCGCAACCACACCTGGCACTGCAAAACTCAGGTCGCCAGCTTTGGCCCATGACCGCGGGTGCCAATCATCCCTGCAAGGACAAGAGTCAAGAACGTAACGAAGACCGGGAGGAAGTTGACGATGGCAAACTTCAAATGCTCCTGCTCGTGCACTGACAAGCAAATCCCAAGCCCCGCACCTCAAACCGATGCAATATCGCAGGCTGTTTCCAATAGTTCCACCGCTCCGTTTCCCGTTTCAATTTGGTGCATGTCGCGACGAGGACGACCACTACAAGAACAAGAAAAAAATCTCACAACAAGAACAAGAGCACGAAAACAAGAACAAGACAAGAAGACGAACGAGAAGAAGAAGAAGACGAAGAAGAAGAAGAAGAGTCGGAGGCACAGCAACAACAACCAACAACAACAACAACAACAACAACAACAACAACAACAACAACAACAACAACAACAACAACAACAACAACAACAACAACAACAACAACAACAACAACAACAACAACAACAACAACAACACAAACAACAACAACAACAACAACAACAACAACAACACCAACAACAACAACAACAACAACAACAACAACAACAACAACAACAACAACAACAACAACAACAACAACAACAACAACAACAACAACAACAACAACAACAGCAGCAGCAACAAACCACAATAAACAAATAAGACACACAAGCGGCAGCAGCAGCAACCACCACCACCACTACACCCACAACCACCACCACCACAGCCACAACCATAACCACAAGAAGAAGCAGAAGAGCAGCCACAGTCACAACAACAACGAGAACAGCAAGAATAAGAAAAAGGAACACACCAAAATCGAAACGACAACGACAACGGCGACAATGATCGCCCAAGATAAAGTTTGGATGTGATGATGGTGTGTCCTTGTCCATGAGTAAGTCCAGAGAAAAGAGGTCGGTGAAAGTGCTTCCCAAGGACTTCAAGAAGGCGCAGCACCTCGGCTAGCTTCCCACGGCTGTTGCGGCATTTGTATAGTGTTGAGGCAGTCGGGCGGCAAAGACGTCTCCAAACTTTGACAAAGGAAACCGGCACGGCAGCTACCGTGGCCGTTGTCACGTTCCTGGTCGTCCTGTGGTGGTGGTCGCGGTACGGTTTCGGGGGCCGGAATGTCCCCGTCGAAGAGGGAGACTCGGCAAAGCTGCCTGGTGTCTTTTGACGCCAGAAAGTCCAGGCTAGCCTGCCACATGAATTGGCACGACGGCCGAGGTGATTCCCGCCGCCACTAGCCGGTAGCCGGAAGATTGAAGAGGTTTGCAGAGGTCGAGGAGCACAGGCAAATGGCTTACGACTTTGACAGGTGATCCTCCCGGCATGGTTTCCGAAAGGAATCGACCTATCTGCAGCGAGACTCCCAAGAGAACATGCTGAAGCCAGAATGCAATCCAAAACGAAAAGCGTCTCTGAGAGTCACTGAAACTGAAGCTCGGCACTGGTTGGCACTCTTCTCTTCGGCGGTGCGGGGAAGCTCTTCCTGTTCAGGATGTCTTCCGATCCGGAGGGCCCGGGTTTGGCTAACTTCAGTGTCACTGTCAGGGGCGTTTGGGGTCAAGACGTGAAGGCTGACGGGTCTGTCGATGTGAACCTTCCAAGTGGTTGGGTGGCTCACTACAGAAGACCAGGACAGTCACTCGGACAACTGACTGTTACAGTGGGCACGACGCCTGGCAAAGCTCTTGGTACCATTGCATTTTCGGCACGAGCTCTTGAAACTAAGTGACTAAGCAGTCGCTTCGGATCGTTCGGGTGCTGATACAAGTATCATTCTCTGCTTTTGGTTTCGTGTACACCTGAACCCTCGTTGTCGGTGGCATGGCTCCCTTAAGGCCGAGACTTCGGACCTCGGAGGCTCAGTTCAGACAGGCTGGCGCCCGGCTTGTGCATCCCTTACAAGACTATGCTCATTCATACCCCGGCACGGCAAAGTCGGTGACAGCTCGAGCGTAGGCGCAGAAGCCGTAGAGGAAGGCATTCCTGAATAGGTTCGAAGTTTTGGGCTTGAGACCTTAGCCTTGCTATCGCCTCGTTCAGAATAGGCCGCACGCAGCAGTTTGACTACTGGATTTGTTCCATCCTGAGTACCGAACAATACCGACTCGCAAGCACGTGACGATCTAAGGCCTTGCTGAGTCACGGCTTCAACCCCTTGTCGAACGGCTGCTTCCAGTGTTTCATGTTACCCGTGTGTATCATGTTTCATCACGGCATACTGAAGCATCAACGTTTTCCGTAGAGGAAGAAAGAACTAACGCCAAAACGCAGAAGGCATCCGGTCAGAACTGTGCTCCCGACGATGATCCAGTGGTAAATTGCTGTGGCGAGGGCTCACTATGTTTGCCTGTACCCGTGTTCTCGGTTTCGGTTTCGAAGTACTAGCAGGAGACACCACCAGCAGGAAATTGGGCGCGACACAGTGATTGAAACTTGGATTACGAGCTCCGCAGACCAAGCTGACACCCAATCAAGTTTCTCAACATGCTCACGGATCCCGGATCGAGTAGGCTCAGGATTTAGCCTTGCAGGTTTACAGTCATCAGATCTCACCAGTTTCGCTTGGTCTTGCAAAACCGAGCATCTCATTCGCCAGATCGTCTGAAACGAACTTCTGGTCCTCAAGGCATGCTGTGGGGATTTAGGGACGATCAGCCGGTCGAGTGAATCCTTGCCAGAGGGCTACCATGACGTATCGAGACTCAGCATCGAAGCAAGACCGGCATAATCATACCTATCGCACCAGCGGGGGGAACAGCAGTCTGAGCGCTCCTTCATCGTCTCCCCATACGCTTTTGCCAGTTTGGCCTGCTTGTCCCTTAGCAGTTGACATGTAATGAGCCGGCAGACTCGCGTGAAGGACCCGTCCGGGATTTGACCCTTCCCCGCGATGCATCTTCGGTTGCTTGGGGCAGATTCTCGAGATTCCAAATTGCATTAACGCTACCTGCACATACCTGCACATGGAATCCTGCCCGGTGGGGACCAGGAACCTGCAACGTCTGCCTCGGATCCGTGTGATGAAGCTCGGGGAGCCTAAGACTGGCTGAGGCCTGCACTTGACATCTGACGTAAGTTCGGAGATTTTCCTCTTCTCTTCACTGTCAATGTGGCCTCAGACACGGCAATCCACATTCTGGTCATCAGCAGCACTACGGGATCCTTCGCATTTCTTGATTGATGAGAATTCAACACCCTTGTTTGGCTGAATGCACCCACACGAGGTACATGTTGTCACTCAGAAAATACAACAAGAGATGGTGCCAAGACTCTTGCAATTCTGACGATGTTCAGCTTTGGTACGGGACTATGGTTTGCTTCCTCGACTGCCAATGACAGGTCGAAAAAGTCGTTCTTCCTCCCGGTGCTTAAAGGATGCATCTCTGCTTCTATCTGCTTCTAGATCTGTTGCTGGGCTTAGTCCTCCTTCCCAGTCCAGTTTCAACACGCTCAGGAGGCAGGGTGCTACCCGCCTCTCCCTTGCGAGGGCCCTCATGTCCGACTACCATCAACTGCTGTGAGAAGCCTGGGTCCACCTGCCTGAACAAGACCCAGAAGCACTTGATACGACTAAACCCCAAGCCACTGACAGGGCACTCAGGCACCCAACCGTTGCTCTGACACTCTAGACGTTCGCATGTCAAGCGAACGCATCTCACAGCAAGAAACCCGGAAGTCTATTTCCCAGAGCTCTATAGACTCCGTAACCGTTGCGGCCCACAATCTGATTGAAACAGGTGGCCGTCTTTACAGCAGGTGCAAACAAGCTGGAACAGCGTTGCAACCTGAGACTGCATGGTATTGAGCACTTGCATAACCAAGCTGATGTCCGTGACTCGACCAAAATCAGACAGCGAGATCTTGCACCGGATCGGACCCCCGCTTGACTGCAATACCACCTGTTTACATGCCCGTCACTCTACTCACAAGGCCTTTCAGGATTTGGAAGCATGCCCAAGACCGAAAGCATGGCAAACCGTCATTGTGGACTCGTGAATCCGCAATGCACTGAGAAACACTCTCGTTCAGCTCCTTGGTCTCTGCCTTCATGCCTGCTGCGAACTTGTCATGGTTACCGCCAAACCTCAACTGCAGGATGAGGTTCCGACAGCTGGGCATGCTGGTCTCTGTCGCATGGGCCCGCTTCGCTTGCTCCGGCCACTCTAGAAGACTTACCGCCCGAACATAAGGATTCTAGCTCGGGCAAGCTCCAAGACCGCAGCCCGAAGTTCCAACTGTAGACAGACTTGCTGTCAACGTAGCTTCAACGGGGGGGTGTGTGTGTGTGGAGTTCACGCATCGCTAGGTGCATTGGCAGGGCATTGAACAACGAAACAACATGAAACAACCATCTGCTCTGAGCCACTCTTCACGCAGCATGGCGGCCTTGGAGATCTTGACGACATTCTGGACCTGCTGCCGCTGAACAAAAACAATAGCCCTGAAGGCCCTTTGAGCAAATGTCTGGATTGCAGAAAGGCCCAAAGGGATTGCAACCCAGCTTTTCTCGAAGTGAAGGACTACAAGGAGCCCAAATGCGCCTTGCGCCCAACGCCGTTGAAAAGCCGGAACAGCTCGCGAGCCACACCTCCAGTGCAGACTGGGTCCGTGGGCGACTGTAGCACCGACGCAGGCATGGAAAAATTGACACCCGAAGTCCTCACAACTTCTGCCGTGGATCACGATTGGACTTGGCGCCTCTCAATTTACACAAAGCTCCTGGTCCAAATCTGGAGATTACTCCGCTGGCGCACCCTTTTGGCCAGCGTCGAAGTGCTCGAACCAAGCGCCGTTCAAGCTCTCCTGTCAAACTGTACATGCTGTTTTCCGACTGAATACCTTGGACATGAACACTCTGCGGTCACATTCGACAGACTGGCTGAAACTGCACGCTGACTCCTGACCATTAACCCCGCCTCCACTCGATCGAAGGCGCCTTTTATGGCGTCCATGCGAGAAGCCACCTGCCAGTGCTTAGAATTCACTTTGAAGCGGCTAGAGCACGAACTGTTTTGTCAGTTGTGCGATTCGGAGTGGCTAACTTAAAGCCAGCACCGGGCTGGATGATTACCCGAGTCTGTGCGTATGTGCTTGAAAAATCCTGAACATGTCATCCGTTGCACGCAGGGAGGCTCTGTAGAGCCTGCCCGACTCACGCGGCCGACGGGGCTCGACTCGCACAGCACAACCAAGTGCACATCCATACATCCGTACATCCGTGCATGCACAAATGCAGAAATCCATACATGCATACATACATCCACACATCGTTGCATGCATACATACATACATGCTTGTATGTATATATAGAGAGATATACATATATATATGTATGTATATATATACATATATATATATATATATATACATACATATATATGTGAAGATATGTGATACATGGTACACAGGTGTCAGATCTGAAGCTGTAGATTTTCACACACATATATATATATATATATACATACATACAGCTACATCTTAATTTGTTCATTTGCATATACGTATTTACATACACACATATGTATATATATATATATATATATAGATATGTATACATGTATACATGTATGTATGTATGTATGTATGTCAATATGTCTGTATGTATGTAATTATGTATGCATGTGTAGGTATATGTGTATTTTATGTGTGCTTGTATGTACGTATGTATGTATGTATGTGTCCAAGTATACAAGTATGTAAGTATGTGTATATGTACATACGTACATATGTATATGAGTACGTGTTCTGCTTGTTTGCCAATCATGCATAAAAATGAACTTAAGGTGACGCTGCGTGTCCTCACCGTTGCTTGCTAAAACATAGCTCCACACCCCTCGTCGTGCCACCCCGCCCTCCCCTGTCCCCTTCCAGCAAAAACAACGTCTGGCAGTTTAGTAAGGCGAGTTCTCTTCTATCCAGCAAGTCCACCCAGCGACGTACCCCCCCCCGTAGCTCACTCGGGCTCCTTAAACACCAACACTCTAATTCTGAAGCCCTGCCTCGTTTTATTGTACAAGAGAACCAGAGAGCTCGCCCAAGTTTAACTCTAGCTGTAAACTTCGTTCCGGAACCCAGCCTTTCGATACCCAAGTATGAAAAGCACAACTGCAGATGCCTGTATTTTGGGGGTCGGCAACGGTGTCAGCCGTCAGTCAATCAATCGATCAATCAATCAATCAGGCAGGGCAGCGGGACCCTCTGCGGTTGCCACCTATGCCTCACAGAGCTTTGCGAAGCTCCAAAGGCCAAGCTTTGAAAGGTGGCGGGGTAACGCAGCCAGGCACAAAAAACACCCGTGTTTCGCGGTCATGCCATACTTTACTTCGAGTTTCGCATTCGTTCCGGCGGGATGTTCTGGAGTCTGGGATACTTCAATTAGCAAAGCTTTAGCATGTTCTCAGCCAGTCTCGCGCCAAGTGTTCATTCAACTGGTCGCGTGCGTTTCTAACCTGAGAGGCGGCCATCTTTTCAGCCGGTCGCGCGCGTTCATGACGGGGAGGGGCGGGGGGGCGGGGGGGGGTCCAAACGCATGCAGGGGCTGACTGCCCGACCTGCCCGCAAGCGGCGCAATATTGGTTCATCTCATACTTATGCCACCTTATACTATCTTGTACTATCTGCTACTGTCTTCTGGTATCGTATATCATCTTGTACTATCTCCTGTTATCCTACACTACCCTAAATTCTCTTGTATTGTCTTATACTGTGTTTTGTTATCGTATATTTTCTTACCTTACCTCACATTATCGTGCATTATCTGGCGTTTCTGAAATCAGCATATTTTTCTTCTGTAATCTTATATGATCTTCTATTATTCTCTATTATCATATACTATTTTATGCTATCTTATTTCATATATGTTATCTGGTCTTATACTGTCTTACATCGTTTTGCGCTGTCGAATATTAGCCTATATTGTCTCAGATTACCTGGTATTATCTGGTATTACCCTAAATTATCTCATACCCTCTTTAAACTTCTTGTACTATCTTATATGATCTCGTGATATATTCAATTAGCGCATACTGTCGTATATTATCTCAAACTGGCTTGTACTACCTTGCATTATCTTACATTATCAATCTCCCATTACCTTACATTTCTCAAAGTTGCTTGTATGATCTTATATTTTACATTATGTTTTGTGATGTTGTATTATATTCACATACTTAGGTCATAGGTGGGTAGAGAGACTGATGGATAGATCGACAGATAGATAGATAGATAGGTGGATGGATGGGTGGATGGGTGGATAGATAGCTAGACAAACAGACACGCACACACAGAGACAGACAGACACACAAACACACAGACAGATCAGACAGACAGACCGACGGAGCGACAGACAGACAGACGGACAGACAGACAGAAAGGTAGGTAGATAGATAGGTAGGCAAGCAGGTAGGCGGGTAGCAGGTACAGATGTACAGACATACGTGTTTATACGACATGTCATGTATAGCGTCGGCTCATCTTCGGACAAGACACCGACACTGCCAACCAACATCCTGGGTTCTTTAGCATCCTCCGAATCATGGCAGGGTCTTAACTCTCAACCAAGCTGCACGCACCCCTGCCCGGCCTGGAACTTCTTGGATGTCATAGCAGTGCCGAAGAAGTAGTCAAGTGCTTCCGTCCAGGCTTCCTGCGTCAGCGCTGAATTAGACCAATGCCTGCTGCTCGCATTGTCTTCGTTGCCACCGGGCAATGCCGGGCAATATCAACGTGAAAGGGTTTTAAAAAAGTGGGAAAGCTTGACGCTAACCCTTGCAACCCTTGCATCATCATCATCATTATCATTATCATCATGAAGCTTATCTCGCCGAGATCGACAGGCCAAAGAGGCAGCCCGCACACCACAATCTCGGAAAGCTGACTCCCGACCGTCGAGGACCTCGAGGCCCTCCGCAGCGATCGTGCAGTTCTCCGTCAGCTTCGTGGTGTTCAAGAGAGGCCTAGACGAATGAGAAACTCGGTTTACGGGGGCGCAGGGATGTTAGGTATACTTCATCGGCACAGAACTCTACGAGTACCTTGCAGCCCGATCGACTTCTTAGAACCTGCTGAACCTGCTCAACAACCTGCATCGAGAGTTGGATAAGCACCAGAAAACCTGTCCAAGTGACCTTGGAATGAGAGTGGCCAAGATGGCCAGTATCCCTCCAAGGACAGAGGTGAGGTTGATGATGGTCCTTGTCTCGGTTCTTCATGCAGCTTCGGTTCAGCCGAGCTCATTTGAGATCCTATTCGGCATGACATGAGGTTTGATGGCCAAAGGCGCTCAAGAAGAGCGGATCATAGCTTCCCCTCCTCTGCCTCGAGGTTCTCGCACTGCTGTGGTCTACCACTCGTCCCCTTCATTGCCTGTTTTGCCCCAAAACCATGCCATGAACGGAGCCACTCCTTCCCTTCACGAGACAGCTTAAAGCCTGAAAAAAAGTCTACTGGGACACCACATGCTCTCGAATGCAGTAGCTGGCTCGTCTGGGAGTCCCAGTAGAGATCCTGAACGGGTCAGGACATCCAAAACATCGGAAGACATACCGGCAGTCCTCTTGTTGCCAGTTGCACATTGGACACTATCAGTGTGGCAGAGTGGCCGATGCCCTTCAACCCGAATTCTGGAAGGCCACAGATGCTGCAAATGGACCCACAAGCAAAACGAGCAATGCATCTGCATCCGACCTACTACGTGGCGGCTCACGGCAAATCATGAATTGAGAATTTCTGCTGCTGGATGATCTGCACTTGCTCGACCAACTTGGAAATCAAGCGGAAAAAACACTGCGGAATCTGACCTGAAGGCACAGCTGAACGAGCAAAAGCAAAGTCGGTCCATGAAGCCGATTGGAATCTGTCCAGTGACGTTTCCCGCGTTTGGATCCTGGCCAGCTCAGCGCATACTGCAGGGATGGTATTCGTGAAAGATTTTCGGCCTCTGTCATTGTCATGCAAGCATCAGCGGCAACATAGGCTCAGGCTAAGACGCAAGGAAAAGTGCGACAGGGGTGGTGGGGGCAGCCCTGTACTAGCACTGCATCACAACCAGGACCCTTACACTGCGACCGGCTTCCACAAGCAAATTTGAATCTGAAAGCAGCACATTCGTTCTTGTGACGACGGATTTTACTTGTATGTAAGGGCGCTCTAGCATCGAGAAAAAGAACGACTGGCAGCGAACTGGCACAATATTCACGAAGCACAGTTTTTGAAGCCTGCATCATGTACAGGGAAAGCTGTCATGCGCATGGCATCGCCTATGAGCACGTGGAGCGTGACCTTGCAAAGCAAGCCTGTGTCAAGCGGACCCTGTGCCAATGCCGAAAGAACATAATCCAAAAAAACAGCTCTGCAGCACGGGGTCCATGAAAGTGCACATGAACAGCCAGTGGTAGGAGAGGCAGAACATCACCATGTTCTTGGGCGCAGTACCTGCGAGTCGTATTTGCAGGTGCGGGCTCATCTGTTCTGTGTTGTCCGTGCTATCTTGCTCTTCTCGGGAAATCCGCGGTTCGCATGCCGTGCAATTCTGGCATGTAGTCGACTTCTGGAGGTAAGACCCCGCCGCCGGATTGATCTTGTCAAACCGAAACATAGAGGCTGGTCTTTGGACATGTGCATCGCACATCATTCGCCTTCACAGGAATATCGTTCAGATATGGTCTCGAAGGTGAGGGCACGGAGTGTGAACAACATCTCCCTATCTGCAACAGACCCCGTAACCCGGATTCAAGGCGCTGATCAGCCACAGCAATGCGAAGCCGATGGCATCCGCCCATGCCACGGCGGGATTGAAGTTCGGATCCTACCATGGCAAAGACAAGAGCAGCGCTCCGACGACGGGCGGAATAACTAAAGCTTCCTGGGGATGACGGAACAGCCTCGACAATTCTGCCCAATTCAAGGCATCCGTCATCACGCAGGACATATACTACTAAGGAGGTCAAGGCGGAGCAGGATTCTTCCTACATCACGCTCCTAACACTTGTTTTGGGAGTGGTAGGGATGATTATGATGTATAGGAGGGCATGAGGTAACCGTAGGTTAGCTGGCGTTACCATCACACGGCCCGTTTGGGACAACATGGGAAGACCTTCGCTCCGAGAGGATACAGCTCGTAGAGGAGGAACACGTTGATCGTTGCCTCAGCAGGAGATTGCTGCTTGTCGGATGCAACTAGATATTCGACACTGGACATACCAAGAAAAGCATGATGTGGGCCCATCTCTCGGATGCACTGCTCTACTGCTACACCCAAGCCAAGCAGGCCATAGCAGGCCTGTGGCATGGGCCGCCACCAACGGTCCCCTACCGTCTCTGCTCTTGCAATCTCAGATGCGATGAATGTCCCACTGAGACCCTGGAGCGTCAGCTGCACGGTTGTCCCGGTGTTTGCGAAGACACTGAAGAAGCAGAACTGCACCACGTTGGGCCAGAAGCCCTGACATGGGAGGCGATTGAGAGCTTGCCTGCAAGCCCCTTCAGAAAATCGCTCTGTGATATCGAAAAATCCACCCCAACACAAACAGAAAGCAAGACACTGCTTCAAGCCTGATAGAAAAGCGAGCGAAAGAGGCTGATTCCGGAACGCATCACACGTGGCGAGCGATACTGGACGTAGAGCCGCGCCGGGTAAGGTCGCTTTAAACTCGCTGCAAACAAGCCTGCGACCATGCTGCATGCTCCCAACGGGACAGATCTCTCCTTCCTGCTGCTAGCATCTGCCAGCCAAACTGTCAAACCCGCCGTCAAACCCAGAAACTTCAGATTTGCATGTCTTGCAAGAATGCCGACTACTTTGCGAACCCTGCAGTCAGCCAGTCTGCCTGGTAGGAACGCGGAATGAACCCGCAGTCGATGAGCCTCATGCGTGACCCAGCGATCATTCACCATTCAACTTTGAGAACAGTGTTCTATTTGTAGACTGTAGTGTAGAGTCTTGCAGAGACCGCCTTGATCCGTGCCTCACATCATCTCCAGTCTCAATCACCACCAAGCAGCACTCAGCACGCCGCTATCATCATACTACATCACTGCAGCCAACAGCTCCCTTGCACGACAAGGTTTGGGACTTCGGATCTGGGTCACTTCACGCACAACAAGCCAAGGCAAGCGATGTGCCTTGCCTGTCTCGGCACTCGGCACAGAGGTTCCTGTGAGCCCGACCTCCCTTTGGTGGTGTAGTCTTCGAGCGTGAGGTCCGCGATAGACTCGACTTTCGTGAGGTCTGGATCGTCCTGTGTTTTGCGAAAGTCTGACTGGGATCGAGTCATCGTCCTTCTCACGGAGACATCGAAGCAGAAAGAAATGTTTGCTGCTGTCGGGTACTCGGATGCCTCATTTCAAGCAAGAGTTGGCTCTTCAGGCTCGGAGCTTGGCTCTGAACAGTTCAGCCCTCGAACTCGAGAAGCTTTCATGCAGAACTTCGGTGGTGGAGGCCAGCAGCATCAGACTTCTACTTTCCAACCCTGGACCGAAACACATCCTGTGGTACTCAGCGCATCAAGATCAGAAAGACGGACCCCAGATGATCAACTCGTAGTTCACAAGAGAGCGTCGCTCTTTCCACACGCCTGCTATACAGTTGGCTCATTTCCATGTGCCACAAATCTGAAGCGTGGCAGGTCCTCTGTACCTTTGTTCAAGTAGAAGCCCGTGGCAGAGAGCTCGCATATGTGATGTCCGAAAACCTTTGACATGCAGGGCAACGATGCAGCCGCACGACTGATCATCACATTTTCTTCCTGCCCAAAGTGCTGCAGCTGGACCTGCAATCTCTCTGTTTCCAAGTAGAGTTGGGTTTGTGTGCTGGTGTACTTGCTGTCTTCTGTTGAGCCATCTGAGCCTACGTCTTTGCCGAGACACCATGTGCTTCAAATTCGAAGAGAACAGCCTCGAAGAGACAATGCTGTTTTGCTTTCTGGTTTGGGCTCTGAGGCAGGAATAAACAGCAGGGGCATGCAAGAACACTGAGAACCACCTGTCATTGTGTGAATTCACGACAGATGGGCACGGAGGCAGCATTCCTCTGATCGCGCGCTTTCGAGTTGATCTTCACGCTCCCTAAGCCCAAGCCCGCTGCCCCACAAGCACGAGCCTGACAGAGAGCCTCCGAGCCTCCCCAACATCGGAATCCCGCCAAGTGCGATAGGTGCGAGTACGCAGATGTGCTGTCGCATGCTGTCGATGTTACCACCAGGCCTGACGGAGGCCTGCAACAGCTCGGGATGGCATTAGCTTCACCCCTGACATAGCCGAGGGGCGGGAGGCCGAAGATGACCATCAGCGTTGCCGTGCCTGGGAGTCGGGAGGGGCAGAGAATCCAGAAGCTTAGACCTTGGCGGACTTTTGATTTGCTTGGACCAGGCTTTCATTTCAGTTCCAAGGCGAGTTGTGTATCCAATATGCGTGTGTTCAAGCTTGCAGACGGTAGCCAGGGCCTAACCCTAACACAGTCAAGCGCAGCATGTGCTCTCCCAGATGCTCATCGCCAGCAGCAGCTTCCCGGTAAAGATCCTTGGGACATACCACTGCCAAAAGCAGCGCGGAAGACTCGGGGAAAAGCGAGCCTCCACGCTCGGGGTTCTGGGGTACCAGACGTTTTTCGGGCAAAGATTCCAAGATGTGAGGAGATTTGAAACCTGCCTTCAGGGGGAACCGCAGGCTTCTGGGCGCAGCCAGCTCGGCAGTTGCAGCTTGCAGCCACTCCAAAATCAGGAGGAAACAGCACCTTTTCAAGCTAAAGCCAAAGCGTGAGTCCATGATCCTAAACTTATCAGGGGAGAGTGTGCGCAGAACTTTGAGCGAAGGGGTCTCGCTACAAGAGATCCGCCTCACCAAGGGCAGGCGGTAGCTTGAGGGATACTCTTCGGCCCAGTGTCCTTGAAACAGGGGCCACAAGATGCCGCGCCTTCTCAAGTAGGAATCATGACATCAGAAACGAAGGCTGCAAATGACTGCTTGGCTGCACCTCGCATGACATCCTAGTGGGAGAGCCTGCGAAACAGGCAGTGATGAAGGTACAAACCCCGGCCGAAACTTCTTGAAACACACCGTTGCACAAGCTCACATCACTGCCCCAATCTGAGGTCTTGCGAAAGCCTGAAGGCCACAAACTCACGACTGTAGCTGGCAGCTGGCACATGGCTAAATCTCCAAACCCTTGATTTCATCCGGCCGAGCAGCTGATTCTGGTTGGTGTATGAAATCACCTGACAGTTGTTATCTTTCAGGGTGCTTGCTAAGTCCTCTGCCAGCCGCGAGCATCTCTGCTGGGGCAGCCCGGTGACGGGCCCGGCGGCCCGGCGGGCCCGGGGGCCCGGGAAAACCCTTTTGAAACTTTAACTTTCGGGCTGGTACATGCATTGTGGAAAGCAAGCCTGAGAGCTCCGAACCAAACTAGATCCACACAGGGAGCTCGATGTCCACAGGTTGTTGTAGGCAAGGCTCGAAAGACCCATAACCCGCCCAAAACTGCGACAACAAGGCAAGCCAATTTGCTTTCTGTGCATGAGGCCAGTAATCTTGCTGCGTTCAAAGAAGCACTGCCGCAGTCACAAGATCCCTCCTAGATCGACAGCCTGTGGTTTCCAAATGGAACATCGTGGAAATCACACTTCCGAAGTTGAAAGCCACGCTAAACCAGGACCCTGTTGGAAGGCCTTCTTCAAACTTGCCTCCGCCTTGTTGTACTTGGCATCCAGAAGCGCTTTCTGCTCATCGCTGATCTGTCACAACCCGGAGGCTTTCGGCTCGAGCGCTGCCCAAGGGGCAGCGCTCGCAGCCGCTTGCTCTCTCTTTCCTTTACCCCGCATGGCATCGAAGCTTCATCTGAGGTGTCCAGAAAATGCATGGCATCACCCGGCCGCGGGCCTCGACCTTGCAGCACGACCCGCAAAGGACACCACCAGTCTGGGCCAGAGCTGACGGTGCTTTGTGGTTTGGGGTGCCGAAGAAGCCAGACTCAACCGATCTGACTGGTAGAACCGAGACTAACGAAGCAGCGAAGTCATCTAAACAACATCTTGCTGACATGTTGTCGGGAAGACGAGCTGGCACTGAAGCAGTTCACCGAACTCCTGTCTCTTCCTGTCACGCCACCTCGTTGGCAGCCATGAGCTGATTCGCCCGGACGCTACCGTGTTCGCTCATTGGACCGGCGTGCCACTAGCAGCGGAGCTTTCAGGAATGGATCAGAATCTATCAGTCGGCCACTTCTGCTTTGAACTGAGCACATCCTGTTCTAGACCCTCTCTGCATGGAGGGTTGGAGCGCCCCAGACCAGGGTGCATTCAGGCAATGAGCGAGCAAACTCTTAGAAGCACTTCGAGTCATATTATAAGGGTACACCCAAGATCATGGCCATCGCGCTTGCCTTCAGTTGCACGGGCGTTTTCACAGGCGATTGCGCTCACGCGTCGAAGAGCTGCTCGCCTCCTTGAAATGAGGGCGATCTTTACGAACCCTCAGCAATACTCCGGAGCTTTGAACTTAGAAGCCTCTTTCAGCAAGACCTTGCACCGTAATTCAAACCATCCGAGATATCAGCCGACAAGTTCATCATGTGCCTTACAGTCCCTCGGATGGAAAACCTACCACCCATGCGAACCTGGCACGGGACAGATGGCCTAAAACACGCATAAGTTCGGCACATGTAAGTCGGCATATAATGCTTACTTGAGCACGGAATAGAATCATGACGAGAACTGCAGACTGTCCGGAAAACTGCTGTCAACTCGACCCTCACGAAGTACGTATGTCAACTGCAAGTAGCAGCTGCACGGAAGCAGGGTTGCAGGTATACAGCTCGTGCAACTTGCAACCCTGCCATTTCGTGATTTAGAAGGGCAAGAGGCCGGAGATGTAAGTCTTCAACTGTGATTGTGCTGCTTCATTGCGGCAAGAACCAGAACAGAATTGCCGCAGCCAATGTGACATTATACAGAAATAGCGCATGCCAAAGTTACAGCTCAGAAGCTTGCAGCCAGCCTCTCACGCTGGAGGCGTTCGAGAGAAGTCACGGGACCTCTCCCACCGAGAGCAGTGGAGCCGAGCAAAGCACGGTGCTCAAGAGTTGAGAACTTGTCATAACCAAACCCTCCCGTATCCCATGCTGACTACAGCTGATCCTATTCCTCTCCGAGATCAGGTTTATCCTGGCACCCAGACAATCACTTCGCACCAACCTTTGCTACAAGTCGGCGTCTTGGATGGCCAGTCTTGTGCGGCCGTGAAACAATCACCGGGCAGGTTCGAGCAGCTACACCCCTCAAGGCTCTACATGCTCTACATAAAGAACAGAGTCCAGATAAACCAAAATGCTTCTCCCGAGCTTGGGACAAAACGTAGCATAGGCATGACGAATGCATGGACTCTCACAGTAGGCATGTTACAATGTCGGTGCGACAGGCTACGGATCAAGATTAGTGATATGTCATAGGCCGTGCTGTCTCCCAAGACTGCGAAGGTGAGCTCCTAAACGCTGCAGGCCAGCATGTCTTGCAACCCAGTTGCAAAGTTAGTCAAATACAGTCGAACAGAACCTCTCGCCGGATCTTGGTGGCTTCTTCATCGGAAGCTCACGTTGCACAAGCACCACCACGACCTCCGAGCATGCACCAGACTCTTGTAGGCGGTGCATTGCAACTCAAAACGGTAGACACATGTTGCAACGTCTCTTGCATGCGTATTATCTCCTACTAATACACAACTACTACTACTACTACTACTACTACTACTACTACTACTACTACTACTACTACTACTACTACTACTACTGAAACTACTACTACTACTACTACTACTACTACTACTACTACTACTACTACTACTACTACTACTACTACTACTACTACTACTACTACTGAAACTACTACTACTACTACTACTACTACTACTACTACGACGACGACTGAAACTACTACTACTACTACTACTGCTACTGCTACTGCTACTGCTACTGCTACTGCTACAGCTACTGCTACTGCTACTGCTACTGCTACTGCTACTACTACTACTACTACTGCTACTACTACTACTACTACTACTACCACTACTGCTACCACTACTACTACCACCACCACCACCACCACCACCACGACCACCACCACCACCACCACCACCGCCACCACCACCACCACTACCACTACCACTACCACATACTACCACTACCACCACCGTACACACCGACAAACATGTGCGCAGGACAACAGTAACGGTAAAACGCATGCACAAGCACGTTGTCTAGTCATCCTGGCACTACAGTCCATACGTGTGCACACGTACAGCTTGAAACGAGAGTAAAGCATTTCATTCTTTGCGCTGATGGTGGTTCCCACACACCGCACACCAGCAAAGAGTACGGCCAACCCTCAGGCAAACAGGACGAAGAAAAATCCCAAACAACGTCGGCTGCACAACGCCGGGCCCCCTCTACCCCTCCAGCATGGCGATTCCCTGCACTCCACATCTGTCCGTGGCCTTGACGGCACTTGTCACTCAGATCGTCAGAGGTGGGGCGGGCTTGGAGAAGCGACCTTGCCGGACATCAAAAGCTGATCCAAGCCATCGAGAAACAAAAATACATCCGCCGCTTCCGCTTGGGCTTCATGTGCTTGCGTTTGGATGCCCTCTCTCTCTCTCTCTCTCTTCGCTTCGCTTCTCAAGGGTAAGGTCCGTGTTCACGGACCCGGGCCAAGGCGCCCATTTCCCCCCACGACGGTGGAAGAAAGGGCTTTGGGGTCATTGGAAGGTGGTTGCTTTCAGCAGTCGGTTTGAGTGGTAGAGTGCGTCCGTCAGTTAACCCGAACCCTTTACACTATCGCGCATCCCGGCCTCGTCTCCGCGCCCTCTAAGGCCAGTCCTTGACCCTCAACGGACGCATTCCCCCCACAGTAACCTACGGAATGTAGTCGTCCCCCTGTAGCAAAAGCAACTAAGGACCGTGCCCATACGAAAACATAACACTGTGTTTGGTGGACGATCTACAGGTTAGCACCGGTGACTGCTGCTTAGCGATTGGATCCCCCGCCTTGGTTGGTAAAGCAACAACGCAAAAACACCAAACGTGCAGGTAACGAAGACGGCGGGTTCGCCTTCTAGGGAGGCTTGTAGTAAGCGCTAGCAGTCAGGAAACTGGGTCCCCCCTATTGGGATCCCCCGCGGCACGTGTTGACTCGAAAACATACTCGAGTCCTGGCTCAAGGTTTGGAGACTCTGGGCAGCACAGCTTGGCTAGAGAACAAGCAGATACAAGGCCATAAATAACACAGGACAAGTGTAAGCAGACCTCCCCCCGAGCTGAAAGATCCCTATCAAGGTTCCTATTCAAAGTTGAGTTTAGTCGCCGGCGAGATTCTGTCACATTGCCAATTTTGTGCAGTCGGTGCAAGAGTGGGTATACGGCCCGTTGGCAGTAGGTTGAAATGGCTCTAGCGGCCCGTCACAAATTAGGCTTAGCTTCGTAAGCTCACCAAGAAGGCAAAAAGGACCTCTCTTATGCGAGGTCGAGGACGGTTGGAAAATTTCCCCCTCACGCTCACTGCTTGTAGCTCGTGGTGTTCTCTCCCCCGTCGTTGTTGGGCTGCATCCGGTGGCGTCGCATGTGCTGCTGTACTTGCTGCACTTGCCACTGCAAGCTTGGGACCAGCCGTACATGGCTTTGTCCCCCTGGCTCTCCTTCTGGCTCCCTTGGCCTCATTGCTCCCAAACGGCGCTTGTGCGGTGGTTCCCCCTCCGGCTCATTCGGTCTTTGTGATCCAAGTGCACACGGCTCATGAGCTTCTGGGTCCCCCTCCTCATTGGCGCTGTCCTTGGTTTCCGCGCTGGCTGGTGTGGCACTCCCCCAGTCGACTTCTTCATTCGGCTCCAGCTCTCCGCGGTGGTCTTCTTCTCGTGGGGTTGCTGCTTCTTGTCGGGATTCCCCTCCCGTGGTCCTCCCCGCCTTTCTCGCATCGACTGTCTCCTCCTCGCCCTTCTGCGGCCTGTGGGTGGTACTTGGTGAACTTCTTCCCCCTTTGGTGGAGGTTGCCGTCCCCCGTCTCGCCTTGATCAGGCGTCTTATTCGGCGGGCCTTGTTGAGGAGCCTCTTGATCTCCCCCGGGAAACGGATCATGTAGGCTCGCGTCTCCTGTGCAACCTGTGGGAGGTACTTGTCGGCGATCTTGGCCAGCCTGTCGGCTTGTTTGCTGTTTGGCATCTTGTTCGGTGCCTTTTCTGGAACTGCTTGTACTCCTCTTGCTCTTTCTCCGTCAAGGGTTGTCCTTACTGGCCGTGGTGCCATCCCCCGTCTTCCTGGACAACTTCACGGTCTGCCCATTTGTCGAGGGGACCAGGTAAGTAGTGTAGTCCGATCCCCCCTGGGGTCACATAGGCTGCCATCTGCTCGCAAGGCACTTGTTGCAGTCTTGCGCGGTCTCCTTGTTCCCCTCTTGCTGGTTGTGGCTGGCTTGCCGTGCTCCTGCCATTCGACCACACTATGTGCTTGTTCCCCCGTGGAACCTGCATTGTGGGTCGGCTCTCTCATGGGTCTTCCTCATGCCCTGTTGGCAAACTCCTCCTCCTTCTTTGCATATTCTGCAGATTTTCTTGCCTCCCCCACCTCTTTTCCCCATGTTCTTCACTATCTTCTCGACCTTGCCAGAGTCACGATCTTCCGGTATTCAAACTCCCCCACCCAGCACAAGAGTTGATCTCGCGATGCTCGTCGGTCTTTTCCCGAAGGTCGTTGGTGCAGACGATTTCCCCCTTTGTGTGCAGAACGTTCACGAGGAGGGTCTTGCAGTCCCTAGGTCGTTGCACTGCAAGTAGTATCACGCACTTGCCGGTCACCTTTATGGCTCGACCCCTTCAGAGCTACCCTGGCGTTCTTAAGCAGTGTGGAGTCGGGTATGTGACTCAAGCACCGCTGGGGGAAATGTGAAGGCTCCCCCAAGGTGAACAGCCGTGGGTCAACCTCACACCTCCCCCCCGATGCAAGGAGGCGGCACAGGCCTCCGAGCAAAGGCGCAGCACTTGAGCCAAAATGGCTACGGTCTCTCTCTCTCTCTCTCTCTTTCTCTCTCTTTCTCTCTCTCTCTCTCTCTCTCTCTCTCTCTCTCTCTCTGTCTCTCGCTCTCTCTCTCTCTCTCTCTCTCTCTTTCTTTCGCCAGGCTGGAGGGCAAGCCCTCACCCAGAGGGCCGCCTTTCTCTCTCTCTCTCTCTCTCTCTCTCTCTCTCTCTCTCTCTCTCTCTCATTCATCAGATATGTTGGAAACCGAGGTCAGCTTCCTAAGCTCTGTGCGTGAGCCGAGCCCCAGCAGATAGAATCCAAGTCTCTCGCCTGACCTGCCTCGCCTTTAAATCTTCAGGTCCAGCGGAAGCAGAACTCCGAGCTGCACGCCGACTGCTGCGGCCAATCCGAATACCAGGGCGACCTGTTGGAATCAGCTGGTCTCTCTGTATAAGATCTTGCCGCGTTCAGGATACGCTTGCTCTGGCACGATGCAACTTTGGTCTGATTTCGCACTGGAGGGCCGGACCATGGCAGCCTCTGCTGTGGCACTGCCGGGCCTAGGTACGAGGCAGGTAAGGCAGGCAAGGTCCACTTTGCATCTCTCTCCTTGCTTTTGCTGTTCACGTCTCGACCTTTTCATGACCGGAGGTTGCATTTCGGATCTCGGATCAGAACTTCTTCGCAAAGCATTGCTGCGCATGTGCACACATGAACTCCACAGAGCCTGTGCTTTCGCTGCAAAACTCCAAGCACGACCAGCCTGGGCCTGACCGCTCTCCGCTCTGGTAAGCAGCGCACCCATCTTCGGAGTCGACGCATTCACCTGACCATAAGATTCAGGCTTATTGGGCTCGGGATTTTAATGGCTACTGGTAACGGCCCATAAAGTCTGGTCGAATAAGTGAGTCCACCCACCGCGGGTGTGCAGGCACCAGCAGCACCGTTCTTGAGGGTGTGTGAGCCAGGGCAGGTTCCAAACGCAGAAGGGTCGTGTAGGGCCAAATATGTCAGACGCGGCTTCGTGCCTCTGCCCTGCCTGAAACTTCCATGAGAAGGCTACCAGTACATTCAGCACGGTTCACCACATTGTCTTGTCGACCATCTGCAGCTGCATGATTCTTCTGCATGCGATGCAGGCAGACATGGAAGCCGAACCTCGGCCAGTGCAGCAAAAAGGACTGACACCGGTCTGAGGGCAGCGCTTGAAAAGGACCAGCCGGCCGCAAGAAGCAAAAGGCATGCCAGGACCCATGCCTCGGTTCAGGGCACCTCTCAAGCCGCCGCAATCGGCAATGCACCTCTTTCAACTGACTCCCCGTTCGGTTCCAGTTGTTCCCCGTAGCGCGGACATGCTGGCAATTGTCCCAAAACCGCTTACCATCCGGACATGCCAGCTACTCTTGCAAGCCCTGACAATTTGCCGTGGTGATTCCTTCCTGGGTGCTCTGCATCCCAAACCATGACGAAAGCTTGAGAGGAAGGATTCCCAGTTGACGCTCGCCTCTGCACCCCGGAACCCAAGCGCCCAAGCTATGCCCTCCAGAGAACCACGCTTCCTTTCCAACAGCGAAGTGAAGGAGCTTATAACTTGCCGGCACCGCAGCCACTACTGCGCAAATGCAGCACCCGACAACACGATTTGCCTGAAATGCGTTTCGAAAGGTTGGACAGGACGGTCAAAACAAGCTCGGCCGCAGAACAGGGTTTCGTTTCACAGCGGCCAGCTGCAGCTGTACACAACCAGTGTGCAAGTATGTGCAAGATTGTGCAAGTGCACATTAGTCCGTCTTGAACGCAACCCTGGCGTTCACACAGCCCGAAAGACCAACGGAGGCCGTGAAAAGCACTGGGTCGGCTGCCAGACACACCCGAGCCGAATTTGATTTCGCTTCACCTGCAGTGCATTCTGGTTGAAGTCAAGCTTGCAGGCCAGGGCTAGAGCAACCCGGAGAGTTGTCCAAGACCAGGAGTGTTTGGTGCACCAGCCTGGAATCCCCGGCCGGCCTTGGAACGTTTGCGCAGAAGAGCTTGAAGGCTTGGACACCTGGGCTTTGCTTCCGGGCAAGAGCCTGCAAGCTTCTTTCCGGATCCGTGCTACCCCATTAGAATGGCTGGACGTGAAGCCACACCTGCCACCAAACCACAATCCAATTCCATTTGTCCACTGGTCACTGGCTTCACTAACTGAAGGTCCCACACTCGGTGCCTTTTGCTTAGTTGTGAGAGAGTCACAAACAAAGACAAGGGAGAGAGAGAGAGAGAGAGTGCGTCCGTCCGTCCGTCCGTCCGTCCGTCCGTGCGTGCGTGCGTGCGTGCGTGTGTGTCTCGCCAAGCCTGCAAAAGAACTCGATAGGTTTTGCGACCCCAAAAATACAACACCCCAACCATAAGTCCCACACACCCCGAATCAAAACACCACTGCAAAAACAGCCACCCCATGATGGACTGCTGGCTACGTCGATCCTATCGACCCAATCGCTAGCACGGACTTTCTCACCGTCACAAGAGCCCGGAGCCCGGCAGGTGCCATGTTTTCTTGTGCCAGGATATGAAGAGCCTCAGTGAGGAAGCTTTGCTGCAGCATGTGGCGGCGGCTGGCATATGGGAAGATCGATCGTGCTGACACGAATGATGCATGGACGGGGCTGCAAAGAAGCAGCTCCCGTGATGTTGTGAAGAGATGCTGAACAGAAAACACATTTGGTCAGTTGAGCGATTCCCAACATTGTTGTGTATCTGCAGATGCTTGTAACTATAGCTATAGGCAGCGAACTTCAGTGAACCATATCTCAGACATCAGGGTCCACTGGAGGGAAAGACGCCCTGCAAATGAAACGGACAAAACAACGTGCCGCCCGGACAGGGAATTCCTGGCATCCGATGCTCTCTACCACGAGCAACCCTCCAAAGCTATTGCATTCTCATGGCCACAAAATGCCACAAACAAAATCTGGCCTTGAGGTCTCGCAAGTTGCCGCTGAATGCGCCCCAAAGCTTTCAGCCAACTGAGAGTCGTGCTTGTTGGATCTTGTTGGTCTCTGCGGGCTCAGAGGTGCCAAATGCCAACTTTCAAGCCAAATCGCGGAGGGAGCTTGCAACGAAAAGCCGGTAGCAATCGAATCAGCTACTGTAATCAATACGGAGCTAAGTTGTGTGCTGCCGAGACATAGCTTGCTATGCGGATCCCGCTTTCGGTGGCCCAAATCCACCTCGGGCGAAAACGGAAAGACTAGTGGGATGACAGCAGTCCCTATTGGCGCTCGGCTGTTCCAGCAGCAACCAGCCATGTCTCCGTTTTCTTCGCAGATGGCTCATGTTACTAGTAGGATGTCTAGGACTCGCGCTCCATAACGCATTCGGAAGGACGTTGGGCACGGCATGGCACAGCAGTGTGCACAACACTGGCAATACCCTCACGCCCACACCCTTGCAAACAGCAGCTCAACTGCACACGTTGCATTTTCCACTCCAGCTTACTCCACTGCTACCTAAGACTATCGTCTTCAACAGCAAGACTCAGCCCAGGCCTAAGATTGAATGTGTGACGAGATTGGGGGTGACAAATTGCAAAACCTGGCCCCGCTGATTCTGCACAAAGTCGACCTCTACAATGTGCGTACCTTGCGATGAGCATGCCTGCCTGAACAACTGCATTTATTCTTTTGCGGAAGTATGGGATTGCATCTCCGCTCGTTTACGTCAACCACCAGGTACTCGGATGCCAGGTCCTATCCCTAAGCTCTGGAGTTCTAGAAAGTCTATGTCCTGAGCTTTGCTCAAAGAGCCGACCAGCAACCCCTGTTCATGCCGCGGCCTACTATCAGGCAGAATTTGTGGGATGACAATTGAAGTTGCTGATAATGCAAAGTAAAGGCGGAGTTCAAACCTTCTCGTCTGGCTGTTGGAGAAGTCAGCAAAGTGTTGTCACGGGCCCCGGTCATTTCCTGCTGCAACAAATGGATTCCCAGGCAAGCGAGGCTACTCTTTGTGGTGGCTGTGTATTCCCTTGAAAATGCTGTTTAAGCAACTTGACACAAGCAGTCAGTCCAACACCTCACATCCTTCACTTTGCTTCAGTCACACTAGCTTCGGCCGCAAGGACCAAAGCCGAAAATGCAACAGGATGGGGAACAAAGTTGGTTGTGCAAAAAGAATACAGATGATGCCGGTGCACACTTTAAGACCTTGGGCACCTTTAGGTCCTAAGTCAGAGAGCAAGTTCTTGTACTACAATTAACGGGCCTCTTACCTGAAGCAAAACGACTCTACCAAGACATGGTTGACAGGCATGAAAGATAGTCAAGATTTCGAGTAGTACGATTCGCGGCTTGGTGCGAAAGACAGGGTAATACTATGACTATGTCGTTTGGGAAGACATTAAATCGAATCCACTGGAAAGTGCTGCGGCCTTCCGTCTCGGTGCTCCCCGGAAAGACTCCTGTGGATGGAAACCTCCTGAGCCACCTTCCCTTTTGCAAATACAAACTGCCAATATTGCAAACACCCCAAAGAACAAATTCTGGGCCACATACAACTGTTATCTTGCAGGTGATGCAAGTGCCGGCTGCAGGTTCCTTGACTAGCTCCCCTGCGGTCTACAACAGCGTTGTGTCTGGTTGGGTCGGGGTAATGTCAACTCACTGCATCACCAATCTCATCCTGCTTCAGCTCGTTTCATGTCTCGTCGTCAATCACGGGGCATGTACGCATCTCTGACAATCCCACATGAAAGCTTGTTTCGCCTGGACCCAGACGTTCACATTGTCGCTGCCTGTCCAGGGCTTGGAGGGTTTCGATTGAATAGCAGAATGTTCAAGATCAACTGCCCAGGGTGGTACAGACTTCTGAGGCACTGTGAAAAAAGTTCTGCGCTGTAGTGGAAGCCGCCTTTTCGAGCATCAAAAAAACAGCCCAAACCGCTCTTTTTGCGGCGCCTCCCTGAGGAGAGCCGCCTTCCGCTCCTGGAGCTGGATTTTGCTCCGGGCGGCCTGCAAGGAGGAACTTAGGGTATCACGCTCTCGGAGTCTCAGAGTCGAGCGGCCGAGCAACGAAGGATTCCTACGGAAGGCGTATTGTTCAACACGCAGAATGAAGTCGCTCCGACCGAAGCCGCAGGTATACAGCAGCGTACACAACATGCACAAGCAAACACACGCTGGCCTTGGACACGTGCGCTGCCGTGTTGACACGATTCTCAAGCGCCGTGACCTTCATCTGCAGATTCCTGGCCTGTTCGGGAACTCATTTCCCACCACGTGCTGCAAGGGGTCAGCAACAGTTTTACGGCTGGGGGCCTTGCGAAATCAGGATGGCTGGCTCAAACTACGGTAGCTACAATGGCTCCCGAAGAAAAAAAACGACACTTTGGAACAAGCTCTTGAAATCGATGTAGATTCGCAAAGCCGAAGCATGTCCCAACTGGAGGATTCAGAAGGCTCAGGTTGACTCGGCGAAGTCTTCACGGCAAATGGAACCCCTGGCCTCCACAGCAGCCATCTGCTTGGCCTTGACAATGCAGCTCGGAGATACTAAGAGATGGCTCATTCCTGCCTAAACGACCGCCATCCTTCTCAAATTTCCACAACAGCAGTTTTGTTTGGAGTTCATCTCTGGTTGCTTTGTGGCTGGACCAAGTCGGACTCTGGACGTCCCTTCCAAGAAGTTGTTATGGTGAATTTCTGAATTCTTGAGTCGGAAACTGCTGCTTGCTGCTGTCATCACAGCCTTGGTTGTGCTTTGAGAGATGTCATGGCCGGCTGGACACCATACCACTAAGTGACTCAGTTAGCATAGGTAGAGCTGTATTCAGAGCAGGTCGGTGCCTCGGTCTCGAAGTTGCTGTCGACACCCAACGCCAAGGCCTGCAGGCAGAAAGCGGCCATTCTAAAAACGAGGACAGAGCATGTCTTGTCTGCGATGGATTGTCTCTTCCCTGCCGTCTGCCGCGATGCAAATGTATCAGAGCTCAGGGAGGCCCTTTGAACAGAGGAGTCCCCCGCATGGGAGCACCTCCAACCTTCGAAACCCAGCTGCCAAATTGATGAATTAGTGACTGCCGTTCCCAGGCAGCCGCTCTCAAGCTCTTTGCGTCAACAATTGGTTGAGCCCGGTTCTGCAAGACCACACATTAGTTTAGACTCAGAGCACTTAAGAGCGACAATTAATTCACGAATCACAAAGCCCCGTCCCAACACCAAAGCCAACAGCCTGAAAAGACCTTCGAGACTGCAAATGCACAGTTGAATTCTAGCAGCTCCAGAGAATGAACGAGGTGCCGGCAGGCAGGAAGACAAAATATGCCCAATGCCTAGTTCCATTCCTGGGTTCCAGTCCTCCCTAGTTCTGAACTCTGGCGTCGCCATGCGTCGCCTGCTCCTTCGCAGCGGCCAAGAAGTCTCTGGCAGCATCGACAGCACTCTCCGCCGCCTCGGTCCTGGCAGAGGCAAAGGGCAGGCGCTGAGTGTCAGGGCTTCATTCCAGACTGTGCGTGATGGCTTCGTTCGGATTGCAAACACTTCTCGTAACTCACAGATCAAAACAGCTGGCAGCTAGCTTTCAGCTCTGCATTTAGCTTTGATCTGGCTTTGTTGAGAGTATCCTCCGACAAGACTCGGCAAGCCATCTAAGCAGCTGCAAAGATAAAGATGCGTCACCCAAATTTACATTCCTCGGAGTGCTAGGTTCTGCCGCAATTCAATGTTCCCACCCAAGAGGAAGCCCGGTGAAGCTCCTCTCGCCAAGCATGTCCAGCATGGTCACACCACGTGTGACCATGGGGCCCAGTATCCGGACCTTCCCCGACAGCGCATGGCGGAAAATTCCTCACTCCCACCCTCCGAAGGAAACATGCTTGCACAAGCCCCAGTCACCTTTAGCCTTTAGCCTGGTAGACACCAAGCCGCTAAAGGGCAGAGTCTCTTTCCTGGAGGAGCTGGGAGCCGCCTGGGCCTCGGCCTTCGCGACTTCGCTTTCAACGCCGCTCAGGGCCGACCTCGCCAAAGGAAGGCTGAGGCGAAGCGGCGAAGCCTCTTGCCTGAGGCAAAAATGGACACCGCGAGCCCGGCAGGATCTCGGCGGAGTTCTTCTTGATCATCGCCATCTGCTTGTCGTTCTTCTCCTTCCTGCGAAGGGTCGAGCCATGCAGAAGACGCATTGGCTGGTCTTGCAGGCCGTCCTCTGCTTGTTCAAGACCTCATTCCAGGCGCCGTTTATCTGCGACCTCGGAATACATCCAGCTGGCTGTAATGACAGCCTTGGCATCAACTCTGGCTACAGCCCGGGCTCACCAGACCCAGAACGAGGGAGACCGTGCACTTACCGAGAGTTCTCACCTTTCTCCCTGACATCCTTGCTTCTGGAAATTCGGGAATTAACCAATACTGTCTGTATTGCGATCTCATGGCCCATCAAAAGTTCTGTGCCCAAGCATCCACACTGAACCACAGAGTCAAAGCACAAGCATCCAAAAGCTAAATCTCCAGCTCCAGCGGCCTCAGCTTTGCGAAGTCCGCGTGCGAAACGCCATCGGGACTCGCTGAAAGGATCTGCGTGAGCTTCTCCTTTACCGGGCTCTATAGTGCTTGAGATCTACAGAAAAGGTTTGGCAGACAAGGCACGACTACTACCTGTACCTGGAATGCATGGCTGCTCCGCAGCAGCAACTTCAAAAAAGCAAGAGCAGCTTTGGCGACCTCTGCAAGCTCAAAGGTGTACTCGCCAGCGATATAAGCCTCATCATCGAAGGTTGAAGTTGCCGACGTTTGCCGACATTTGCTTCACACAGAAAGCTTTGTGGTACTTTGTAGTGGCATCTCCGGCAACTGACAGGCTCACCTGGCCCGCCGAGAATTGCGAGGGACCCAAAGCCAAAGCCACTGGGACTTGAGCTCGAATCTCGGACTCATCGAGCAGCCCATCGCTGTCCTTTCAGCTTTGCTGTGCTGCGAACCCTCCAACCCTCCCCATTCAATTTAGGGGCGCTGAGAGTGCAAGTCCACCGGCACTCTCTAAAACGCGCTCTGATGCCTCAACCCTTCCTGTCAGCACGGTATTGACCCGAGATCACTGCTGCCACTCTTCTCACAGATCGGGAGTTGTCCAACGGATTCTCAGAACGACTGCGGAGACCCTGCGCAACTCTGGCATTCATAGGCAATCGTGTTCGGAGTTTAGTTGGGCATGAGATTCGAAGTAGTTTGCTAGAGATTTCATGGACCCTACGACATACTGACATACCGGCAGCTTTGGAGGGCGTGAGTGCTGGCCCTCGGAGACCTCCCGAGGCGACTGCTGGGAGTCATGTGTTGGATCGAGCGTCGGCCTTACTTCCTTACATACACAAGCGAAACTGGGGCCGCTGCCTGGTCGTACTGCCTGAAGATGGCTTCCTGTGGATACGGCCAGACCGGCCGTGTCCCAACACTCAGCTTCTGTCATGATGAAGGTTTGAAACACGACAAACCACGCAGCAAGCATTGAACGCAATCTGCTTCTTTTGGTGTAGGGAGTTAGGACGGGAAGGTCTCAGACCCAGCAAGCACCTTCGAGGCTGTCGGGCTCAGCGGAAGGACGCACAAGAGGTGACGAAGTCGAAGGATGTGCACGACGCGGAACGGACTCCTCCTTTGCCACTTCGCACTTGACGCTCACGTGCACCCCTTCTCCAACCCGACTTGATGCAGTCCGAAATGGCCCCCCAGGCCTGGCGCGCGGCCTCCTTCAAGGCCTCGGCTTTCCGCACCTTTGCCGGGCGCGTGTGCTGCGCAGCGCAGCAGAATCGGGAGTTGCGGGTGACTTACGAGCGGCTGGACAGGAGCCAAGATTCTGAATCCCGGGATTTGCGAGATGAACTGAAAGGAACGATTCGGTGTGACGGTGACAAAAGATGAGTCACAGGTTGCTGAAAAGCTGATGTGCTGAGTCAAGGGGCTTCGCGCTCGACACGCTGAGCCGCGGTGACTTTGGCAGCACGGGCCTCAGAACTGCAGTTCAAGAGTTGAGGTGCACTAACATGAAGAGGCGTTGGGATCAGGGGACTGCAGCAAGGACAAGCAGGCCTCCCGAACTCTGCTGTTTCAGGAGACTCCGCAATGAAACGCATGCTTTCTTGCCATTATTGAACGGGAACGGAGGTTTCTGGAAGGAGGAAGCCTAAAAGCTTGCACAGCCTCATCAGCGCACAAGCCTTAAAGCCGTCGGGTAAACGTATCCCCTCAGCCTTCAACTGTCCAACGCAGTCGCCTCCCCAGAACCTCCCCAGGTCCGGCCTTCTGCAGCATCTCTTCGAGGCTTGACTTGACCGTCCGCGCCCGATCTTGGACAGATCGCTTCTCAGGGGCTGATGTGATTCCAAGCTTGAAAAGTTCATAGCACAGATGCGGCGCCGCCCAAGGCCTCCCTCTCTGCCATACCACGGAGTCTGTGTACTTCCACAGGTTTCCAAAAATCACACAGCCTACTTCTCCACTGTGCCTATCGCACAGCACGCCTACAAACCCCCAGTGGTGTCGACTGAAAGCATGCTTTCAGCCCCCGACTCGGCCCGACTTTCTCTGCTAGACAAACTGGGCTGCAGGCTCTGCAGAACACCAGCCGAAGCCTTCAGCTCCTGGCTGCAATGACGTGACAAATGCTCTCAAGTACCTCAGACCTGACTGCGGTGCTCTATTCCAGATGACTTCCGAAGTCTTTGACCTTGCAAGCTCTGCCTGCACACACTTCTCAAGTCTCGAACACCAGGTGCCAAACACCCGCCTCCGTTGGTCCACGTATCCTGAGCACGTCGTTTGCTTCTTCTTTGTACGTTGTCGTCGGTTTTGAAGGGCCTAGCCAACAACCTAGACAACCCATGACAACCCGACAGATGCAGTCCGAATGTCCGCATCATGTTTGTGGCGCCATCCATGCGGGCCATGCATCCTGGACGGGCTACGCTTCGAGGAGGTGAGATTCATGTCAGATCTTAGAACCCAGTAGTGAGCAGTGAGTGTTGCGGCCCAACTCACAAGTTGAAGGTTCGTCAGCTCGTTTTGTGCTGGTCGCTGCCCTCACCACGAATGGGTACACGAAAGGTTGCGCGGGATGCAGCATGTTTCCTGCGGCTATGTTTGGAAATGCAGGACGAAGGTCGCAACGGCAGGCTGTGAAGCCGCAGGTCAGCAACATGTCCCTGCCTGCCACAGACTTGGAGGCCTCCTCGCTTGATGTTTCCATCTCCGTGGCCAACCTGATCAGCTCCTGCCAGTCGCAGCAAGTCCCGTCCTGAGCAGCCCTTCGGCCATCGCAGCACACGGTGACTCCTTGTCCAGAGCTCCACCGCCGCCCTCCAGCGTGGCCTTCGCCTTCGATGGCTGCGAAGGAATTTTCCACGTGCAACTTGCAGACTCTTTCAGCTTTGGCTCGCGCTGAGCGGTGTGATAACAGAGCGAAGAGGAGCGAGTTGCGAACAGTTGCAACAAGGGGCAAGGCTGCCAATCTGCCAATTCCCCGCTCCTCTCGCCTCTCTCGCCCTTCTGAAAGTTTCCGACCCGTGGGGCCGGCCCGCTCCCGAGCTACCTCCGCCTCGGCAGCTGCCTGGGCCTTCAGCACACCGGCCTCGCCAACACGGCTGTGATGTCGTTAGTCCATCACTGCAGGCTCCCGGAATTGCTCTGTTCTGCGTAAACTGTACGCGGTTGTTGGAATCTCGCGGGCTGGAATTGGGTCTGCAAGGTCCTCACGAGCGTGACTGCCAAGGTTGAGATGCACAGCTGAACAAGGAAAAATCTACTGAATTCCTGTTCCCCACAACCCGCCTTGGTGCACTCTGTCCAACAACACAAACACATCCCTATGTAGCTTGCTCGTCCCTTCCAACATAGCAGGTTGCAGCGCTTTACACGGGTGCGAATAACTTCTGGGCGGCTTTCCCCAACAGCATCGCCCAATCGTGACTGTTGTTTCGAGATGGTTGGGGACAAGCTCCTACACACCCCCCGATTGCATCAAAAGTCCGTGCCTGGGCTGACTTGACCTGCTCCACCTGGGCAAACTGTCAAGGTTTTGGACAACGAGCGGATCTTGGCTACTATTGGAAATGAACAACGAGACGGCCTCGACCTTACTCCGCAAGTCACTGTTGATGAGTCGTGCACAATAACCCTAGTGACGCAGCGATTTCTAGCATCCAAAGCGTCTCGAGCAAAAACTGACCATCTCATTTCCCGCCGCGCCGTCACACCCGGCAAAGAAACTTCGCAGTCACCGACGGCACGTGACTGGAGACCCGGAAAGGCCCCACGAGACGAACCGAAGCTCTGCACGACCCGCTGTTGCTCTTGTCTGCGTCTAGAGGCATGTGTTCATCACCGTTCATCTATCATCAACCGAATTTACCTAGCACATCCTAGCACTTTCCCACATGGCTCGCAGCCAAAGTTTTGCAAGCTCAAGAGACGGAGCTGGAGACGAAACTTCACCAAGACTTCCCACCGGTCCGTCCTACAGTTATACTGCCCGATGCCACTACACTGAATGCGAGCCTCAATCTCGGCGGCTGCGAGAAGGGTGTCCAACTCTGCCTCCCACTCACAAGTGATAGCTTTTAGGCATATAGTCTTTATGGAAGCTGCGTTGGCAAAACAAACCTCCAACCAACTGTGGCCTGCAGTGACTTTGCGGTGATCTCTTCCCGGGCCGGCTTCGCCTTGAGCCGCACCTGCGAGTCGCAACTGACCAGATAGTGACTTGTCTGTTTGGATGTTTGCCTCCACTTCCAACAAGCTCCACAGATGTTCCCTATCCAAACAACACTCCCGGGACTGGCGTCGCAGCATGCCACCCGAAACTCCGCTAAAGCATTAGGACACCCGGGTGGCCTTCGTAGCGGCCTTCTCCGACCCAGCTTTGGCCGCGTGGCTCCTGGAATTCTCTCAACGTATTCAAACGTCCCCCGACCTTCCACCTGAAACGTCCGCCTAGGAACATCCGCAGTACGAGCAAACTGCCGACCAAGGCTTGGGTGCCTCTTCAGCAGCGAGGCGCAGTTCGACATCGTGGCCTACGCAAAGAAGTGGGCAAAGTTGCCGAAAATCTGAAATCTAAACCTGCTCTGAAGCGAACTGCGCGTTGGGGTGTTTGTGCAAGTCTTGGCCTCCGTGTTGCCTTTCAGTTTCATGTGCTTCCCGTCCATGAACTCCTTGGCTCAGGTCTTCCGATCTTTGTTGGACCCATCCCTAGCACGTTCCCTCTTTCTATAATATTTTCCTTCCGGCTCTCTTTTCTCGACTCCTTTTAAGAGCACCTGCTGCGTATTTAGGAATAGAGAAGCCAGAAAAGCACATGCGCTGGTAGCCATATGTGCAGTCGTCCTGTCACGCTTCTTCCATGGATGCTCCGTCGCACGGTAAACACTGTAACATGGACGTTATCATCCTTTGGGCATGGATGCTCGGTCCCGCAATACAAAAAGCAGACAATGTGTAAGCATCAAAAACAGCAAAATCTTGGTAGACAAACTCGAGTTTCGAACCCGCAATAGGCAAGAAGATTGTGCTAGCAGATCACATAAAGAGTAAAACCAAGCCCAACAAACATCGAAAACTCGAGGGAAATGCACACGGCGGAGCAAAACTGAGAAGCAGCAAGAGTAAAGACACTGAAAAAGAGGGTCCGGGTGGCAGGTCAGCCAGATGGCAGAAACAAAGCACTGTCAGGGGTGCATACTATCCCTGGAGAAAATGGAAATCGACATATAGTGCAGCAGGACACGAAGTTCGTGATGACCGCCGCAAAACTTTGACTAGGGCCGGTAGGCTGCGCGATATGGGTGTTGAGGAACCGAACTTCCAAAGTGATTCGAAGTCAGAATAGTACAGCTGGAGTTTGCTTTGTTCTTACTCTGACCCTCCTGCTTGACAGGTTTTTGGCCTTGGCTTGCGGCATCCAGATCAAAATGTAAACAAGTGGGCTCAGGGAAGAAGACAGTTGGGTCATCTGCCGGCAGTTCTGACGAGTTGTGGTGACGAGGTTCTGCTGCGTTCTGGCTGCTACGAGTGCAAAGTGGGATGTCTCCGGCGCACTCGGCGGGGGGGCGGGGTTCTACCAAGGGTACCAGTGCCGGTCCAGCTCTTGACGAACATCGCCGCACCTCATAACCTGCCGCAAACAGCAAGGCAAACACCTGACGTGCCCAGCTTCGAAGCACGCTTTCACTGCGGTGGCAGCGGAGAGGCTGACGACCTGCTGGGCAGCCAAGTCGTTCGAGTTTGCTTCGATTTCAGAAACGACAAGCATGGTGCACATGTCCAAACTGCTGGCCGCAAGCACTGCCGATGGAACACACATGCTCACAAGCTGGATGCTTGTTCTAGACCTCTCGGATGAATCGCCAGGCTTTCAAGCATCCGTTGAGAGACAACATGAGTGCCGTTATCGCGTTTCAAGATGGCACGAAGCTGAAGGCCCGGGATGTGCATAGCAGGAGACACCGCAGCAACGGCTCTCAGAGACTGTCTCTTCAAGCCTCGAAATCCTCTGCCACTTTGAGCAGCTCCTGGGACCAAGTCCGTTTTCAGAGTCAGAAAAGGCAAGCTTTGAGGCCGCCGTGTGCTGAAAGCCCGTATCCGCAATCACTTCACAGACCAGAACTCACCACCTTCACAACAAGCGGCCTCCCGAAATAAAATACACCTGCACGTCTTCATATCCATCGACGTCCTCGCACTGCTTCGGCTCGTCGATTTTCTGTGCTTCTGCCTCGCGACAATCTCCAGGTGAATCGACAGAACCCCGAACCGGATCTAACGTCGGAGCTACACTTCGGCATCGAGCAGTTTTGTTGTACGCCACGTCTGTGAGCATTATGCCTTTGATTTGTAAGAGCTGCAACCCAGCTCAAGACAAGTGTCTGGCAGAACTGGAGGTCGCAAACCGTCAGCTGTACAGGCAGCAAAATAACCCGTGTGTTGGATGCAAGCGGCCACCCACGAGAGATGTGGCTACTGAAGAAGAAGCATAAGAGCACAAAAACAACAGACTCATACAGTGGGTCATGCATGGAGACATTCATTCGTTCGTTCATTCCTCCGTTCGTTCATTCGTTCTGTCAGGCATTCGTCTACTCATTCATTCGTAACTCACTGATTCATGCAGGCGTGGGTGGTTCGCCCCACGCTTGGCAGGGGAGATGACACGCTGATAGGCAGAACTTTGGGTTCAAACAAATTCGACAAAACCTCGAAAGCATACGCTACGGCCGTCGCCTTAGCTTGAGTTGATGGTTGCTGGATTGATTCCTGTGTTGCTGAAGGCTGCCTCCGCTTAAGCCAAGACTTATGCTGCTGGCCCACAGGAAAAAGAATTGTTGTCCGCAGAGATAGTGAGAACTCTCCCGGAAAGCATATGACATTGGCGAGTGGTTCTCGTTTGCAGCGCAATCCAAACTGAGACAGCTCGTTAGTTTGCACCCCCGAACAAAAAGATGCAAAAAGTAGAGCCTGAAGTGAGACTTGAGTTTGGTTCGGCACTGAAAACAGAAGCCCAATATTGGAGGAAGCGGCCACGGCAGTTCTCCCCGCCTCGGCCATCTGGACCTCTAGCTCGGCCACCTGACGCTTCGGGGCGAAGCAAAGCACTCCCGGATCCTCCCCGAAACCACAGGCAGCACATGGCAGCACTAACGTCTTATCCCCTACCACACGCTCAGAGTCTTAACCTGTCAGACTCCGATGCGACCTCGATGAGCTTCCGCAGCTCGTCCTGGAGACTCTGCGCCGCGTGGTCGGCCTCCTCCCTTGGACTTTGGAATCTCGGAATGAAGGCAATGTGGTCACACTGCCGGGCAGAGAACAACTCGCCACCGCATAGTCAACTTCCTGAGCTCCGGGCTTCAGTCGCTTGCGCTCCTCCTCCTGTTGCCGCCTCTCAGCACCGCATCGGTGTCCAAAGGCCCTCAGAACCCTGCAGGGCCTGCGTGCTACTACGCGTCTGAGTGCGAGTGAAGCACAACTGAATCATAGATGAGACCGGCCGCTACTCTGAAACTTCAGAGCTGACATTCAAGATGACGAGCTATTGGCCGAGCACGTAACGATCAGAAAGTTGTGACGAATAGTGACGAGTATATCTGGATCCGTGCTCCTGTGAATCTCTTTGGAACCTTCTTGGTACCCCAATCGGCCTAAGCTCCTCGAACTTCTGGCGTGCTTGCTCCTGCAGAGGTTCCGGGGCCGAGCCAAAAACCAAGGGTCTTCCATCCAGCTCGCCTAAGGCTGAGGCATTTCAAGGCGCTGCCGTGGAAACACGACATGCACTGCAACAGCTCTGTGACCACATCGTCTGACAGCAAGTTCTCCTTCTCCTCCTGTCGCCGCCTCTCCTCCTGCAGCTTCGTTGCAGGCACAGGCGAAGCCCCGGCTCTCCCTTCACATGCCTCCTGTTGCTTCTGGGCTAGCTCGTTCTGCTGATGGAGCCTTGATCAAACATGATCATTCCGGCAACATCCAATACTTAAGACAGGGCCCGGGGTGAGTACTGTACATTGTAGATGCTCCTCCAAGAGGTGCTTCTTCCGAGTCGGCACGATCCCAGTGAGTTGGGCGTGCATGCTCGCATTGCTCAGAACCGAAGGTGAGTGAGCAATACTGCGTAGGGCGTGGGACACACAGATCGTGCTTTTGCAATCTGCCGCCGCTTCGGCTGAGCACCCGCGCTGAGCCGTCTGCCGCAGAAGCTCCTCACCTCGGCCTCGGGAATCCGAGGTGTCACATCGGAGTCGTTTTGAGGCTTCACATGCAGCTATATGAGAACTCTGACACTGAATTCAATTCGACTGCGAGACGGCTGTACAAACCGAAACTCCTGGTTTTAGCAGTGCAACTAACTATGCTGTGCTCGGCCTTGCGATACATTGGATGTCATCAAGAAGAGCCCCTGAATCAGACACCCGGGTCCTTCACTTAGTCCTTTCATTTCCTTCAAATCCCTGCGCTAAAGGTCCATGCAATGTTCAACAACAGTCCAGCACGACGTCTGCAAGTAAGATTGTTCAGCGCTGCCCAGCATGCGTTGCTGAACAACACCCGGCAAAGGAACATTTTGTTAGCGCAATGACCGGTGTTTGCCAATGCCCTCCAACGTGCTAGACCTGCCCCTTGCGCCTGAGCCAAGACCAGACTTTTTCCGTCACATAAAAACGGCACGAGGTCCCTCCGTCCGCATTGGATGTCCGGCCGCTCATCGGAAGCCAACGGCAGCCTGCAAGTAGCCAAGGTTTAAGGAACTTTTTCCGAGCAATCAGAGAGCTTTGAAGTCTTTGCTCCCAGACCTTCAGGGCCTAACCGAAGCCCAACCTCTGCGGGGTTTACATTGCTGTGGCCTGCCACAGGAATGCCAAGAGGAAGAAGAACACCGGAAGGATCTGCGGTAGTTTTCAAGGGCTTCGTGGTGGGTCGCAGGAAGTGGCATGTTGGATTGCCGAAGCAGGCGATGAGAAGCGTCTTTACCACCGGGAGCTCTGTCAAGCTCAAACTTTCAAAGGCGCTCGCAGCGCTCATGTTCGTTGATTCTCCCTATGCCTAGCGCATCTTAAATGCTCATTTCAGAAACTCAAGCCCCAAACTCCAAACATGCAGCACGGAGAACAAAGGATTCCGCACAGGAGTCTTCTGAGGGCGCTGCTGGGAGCACGTCAACGATCGGGGCAAAGATCACGAACTCCTCCGCTCGTCACGGTAAGCACTCATGGGCACGGCAGCCGCAACCGGAAGTCCTCGGGCAGCCGGGCATGTGCCGCCTCCGGCGTGGCGAGAACAGCGCCCACGGCAGCTGCCTTGGCCACATCCTGGGAAACCTTGCGAAGAGCTGGCGGGTCGTTTCGAGCCTTGAGGCTTCGAGTCCTTACTCGGCCCTACCCGCGAGCAAGGGTCGAAAGTCGAAAACCGCAAGCATGCCACGCACCATGGCCGCAACACGAATAACGTAGCAACCAAACAGAGTGATACCACGACAACAACGACCCAGTTCCGAAAATCACGGGGGATCTCCAGTTCACGCCTCACTGCGCAGGTTCTGGCTGCCGCTAGGGCTGACGAAAGCACTCCTGAGTACTGCCAGGCATTTGCAGCTGAGATCGACTGACTCATATCGCTTCACGCGCTTCGTCGAAACCCTCGAGAATGTATTGTATCAGCCTGGTACAGGAAGGCTTGGGAGGATCCCCGCTCGATTCGAACCCTTGAAGGGAGTGGAGAATAGCTGCCGAACGCCAGAACACCTAGAACACGGTCAGGATTCTGCAGCAGGCATAGAGCAGCCAGGGCCGCCAGGAGGACGAGAGCGCTGGAGCCTGCAGCGCTTTGTTGGATGCAAGGCTCGTGGCTTACGTCACGTAGCAGATGCCCCCAAATGTCCCTTGTTCTACTGGTAGTCTTCAGGTTCAAGCACCGTCATAGATTCAAAGCAGTGTTGGAGTGGATAGGAGAACATGCGTAGCGTGGAGGGTTGGGGCTGCGGACGGAAAATCGTTGGGCCCAGTTGCGGCGTGCGGCCATTGCGTCTGGTCCAAGCAGTGGGAGGTCGGGTGCGGACAGGTGAACTCGAGCCCGGCAGCTTCTCAGCGTGGGTCCAGAGCGCCCCTGGTGGTGTCGACTTCGATGGTTCCAAGGCATTAGAAGAAGCCCAAGAAAAGTCTGGGACATTGTGTGGGCACTGGACGAAACCATGCTTAGCAGAACATGCATTGCAGCTGAGATTGGTAGTCAACACAGAATCTCAGAACAGTACTGCGCGCGACCTATGGTAATGAAACAAGTCTCGAAATGTGGGGCCAATGCAACAACTGAATTGCTGCACCGTCTGTGGCGAAACAACTCGACAGGTAACTGTTGCGGTCAGCATGCAACACACCGCACGAATCGCAAGACTGTTTTCCGCACTCGCTTGCAGCATTGCTGCATTGCTGAGGTATCGAAGCGGAAACGAAAAATCTCGAGTCCTGCAGCAACGGTGCGGTGGGCGAGGATATGACGAGGAGGCCTAAAAGGGTCGAAGGCACACTGATCGCCTGCAGCAGCGAAACAATATCACGATGGTCCCGCATGGTCATTTTGTTACTGTGGATGAGACTGGAAAGTACTCAACTTGCCATGCTTCATGGCCGGCAGCTGCGGCTCTTGCTTGGACAACCTGTGCTTCGACGTTCACTCTTAAGGCCATACGGCTGACACGGCAAGACCAGTCAGTCCTCGTACCCGCAAAGCTTCCAAGTCGCTCAGCGAAATCCGACTGCCGCCTCAGGCACCAGAGCCAGAGGCGGCAGTCGAGTTCAGTGGAACTGCAATACCCCACACGGCCCCCGGAGAGAAAACCGCTTCAGAGGAATCCCGCTCTCAAAGCTCGGAGTAAGGACTCACTGGCCTGCCACAGGAACGCCAGCAGGAAGAAGAACACCGGCAGGATCTGGCAGGTGTTTCAATTCGGGTGCGCATCTGCCGATGTGCTGCCACTTTGAAGCTCTTGGTGCTCGAACGCTGCTTACACATCAGCCCGAGCACCAAGGACAGAAGACAGAACTATGTCCTGATGCAAAACAGGAGACATAGACTGTGCCAGAACTCGTGCCGAAGGTACCGGCAGTACATCCACGATGGGCGCGAAGATAACAAACTCCTGTTCACACTTTACGAACGGTTGTTCGTCCGTCCACTGCAACAGCTCAATCCCTGTAGCGCCCTTCTTCGGTGAATGGCGACATCAGCTGCAGTTCCTGTATCTTGTGATCGTGCCTGTGAGCAAGGGAAAGCTTGACCTACTCTACGAGTACACATTACAAAGGAGTACGACAGCTGCTCATGCCGAGCCCCACACACTTGCTATGAGTGAGCATGACGAGTACGCTGATCCCTCGCGACGAACACCATGTGACCACTATGTTTACGATAGAAACGACAAGACTGGCAACAACGCTCCCACGACACGGAAGGCTAGCCCGACGACGACGATAGCGGCTTCGACAGCTTGGAACAGCGGTGGCGAAGACGAAGGTAAGCCAACAAGCGGACAGACGAAGGAAGTATCAATCACAGGATCCAGAAAACATGCTCTGCAGTGGGAACAGGGGAAATTGCAAAAAGAGGCCGAAGGCTGGCAGCCCTTTGCCAACGAGAAACGTTTCATAGCAGCAGTGCCAGAACCTTTTCCCAAGTCGGCTGCTGCAAAGTAGGAACATGGCAGCCCTCCTCCGGAAGTCGCGCGTGGGCTGCTTCCGGCGCGGTCAGGACGGCACCTGCTGCGGCCACCTTGGCCATGTCCTGCTGCGAAACCTGCAAAACAGAAAAACACTGGCCGCTACTGAGCAGGGGCTGCGAAGTCCAATACCTCAAATTGTCCAGCGGACCTCAAGGTCCACCTCAAGGTCCATCCCAAGTTCTCAGCCCGAATCCTCTGAACAATCCAAATCCTCTGATTTGCATCTATCCGACACCCTGGGCCTGACCGCTGCGGCTAGGGCCCAAGAAAGCCGCCTAGCAGAGGATGTCTTTGGCGAGGCTGCTGAGGGCTGGGACGCTACGTTGCATCTAGCAAAAAGCAGGCTCCGCACACTCAAGTGCAAGAACGAAGACAGAGGCTTGTAAATCCAGCCCAAATCCTTCACGAGCCCTCCATAAAACTTGAGAAGAGGGACACGAAGGCCACACGACTGCAACCACGCGTGGCTGCAAGCAAGCACGTATGTAGCGCCATGACGCTTGAGGCGGCAAAATGACAGCATTATTCTCCTTGACACTGGCCCAAATAAAGATGCACTGTTGTCGTATCGTAGTGCCTTGACCGACCTGATTGCGATTCGGAGTGCCCCTGCGTCAGCAATAACTCGGCCATCTACGAGCAGTTTTGATCTGTCCCGGTGGCAGCTTAGCCAATTAGACGCACTCGGCCACGTGTGCACAAAGCGCAAGTTGCCGTGTTGCTTAAACAGATGAGCCATGATGACACGACAGACCTTGAGGCCCCCCCCCTCACCTTACACAATGTTGCCGGGACCTGTGGTAGGGGCTCTAAACCAATCATTTGCATGGTGGCACCGCCCCGAACGGACCGCTAATGTCCCGCACACAATTTTGACTTAGTTTTCTACTACCCAAGCGAATGGTAAACGACAACTCCCGCAAGCTCCACAGAGCTAGCTTTCGTGACTGCAGCTCGGCTCCGCAGGAACCCAGTCCCGATGCCCAACGAACCAGATTCGTTGTTCCTGGCCTGGAGTGCCAGCAGAGTGCACAGGGCGGCAGCAAGGATCAGAGCCTGCGGTCACCAGGCGAATGGCACACAAAAGGTGTGCTCCTCCTTTGCCCCTGCGCGCGGAAGTTTTCAAAAAAAGCTTCCTGGGGCCCTCGAAACCCTGGCACAACATGAGGCGAGCGTCGCTGGAGGAGCGTCGGGCCATGATTTGGAAGTGAGCGTGGCAAGCGGGATCAGGATCGGCAAGCACAAAATTTGCTTGAGCAGAAAAGCCGCAGGCCTTTGCCTCCACAACACGCACGTCACAAAACCCTAGAGCCTGTAATTTGGCGGGAAGCTAAGCTAAGATTCGCAAAACATCGAAAGTCCGAGTCTACATCAAACAACACAAGATGAACCCGTGGCCCGCGCGTAGGAGCTCTGTGGGCGACGCCGACGCTTGCCCCATGGCCTTGGTCATTGGTCGGGGATCAACCATCCTCAAGCCTGCAAATGCTCGCAAATGCTCGCAAGCTCGACGTTCACAGCCCAAGCCCAAGCGTCCAAAGCCACACTAACACAGGCCTCGCACTCGAATGACTACCACAACACCACAAGACGTACTGAATTGTCGAACATCGAATCTCTGAACTTCGGGGTGCGGCAGATGCGGCTGCTGCTGCTTTGGAGAAGCCTGAGGAGTGGCCAGTCGACACCCAGCAAGCAAGTCTCCAGGCACACCCTTCAGATCAGCTGAACTTCGTGCGAATGCAGAGGACCAAGAAGGAGCATGCAGTCAAAATTAATCCAAATAGCAAGAAGGCGTAAGGTCCTCAAAAACTGTTGCTTAGACTCGTGTACACCCTGAAACCGTTGGAAGATTCCCAGCGCCTGCAGAGCCGCTCGGCGGGCCCGGACCTTCAGCGACGGAGCTCAAAGGCTCAAAGACACCCCCTGTTCGCTGAACACGGCATATCCTCCACTCCTGTTCCAACAGCTCAGCGTGTCTCAGCCCTTTCTCTGAAGTTACTGTACCGTGTGCTGGCCAAGAAGCTGCTTGTGGCAGCTGGAGCTTTCCACGGCAGTCCCTCGCAGACCCGGGTCGGGTGCAGCCGGTGTCTCTGAAATTTCGACCGCGATTATCAATCCAAGAAACTTGATGCTATCACCTCAAGCAGCTTAGCTTATGATCAAGATCGGGCTCGAGCGGGGTTCAGTTTCTGACAGTCGTCTTGGACTTGGAGCCCAGCTCTCAACCTGCTGACGAGTCGAAAAGATTTCTGAAGTCTTACTGCGCACCAATGTTCTTTGATGCTCAAGACGGGCGTTCAAGCCGAACCGCAGATGAGAGCTTGCTGAACATTCCCAAGCTGAGGGCCCTCAATGGCAGGCTGTGAAACACGACGTGTAGACAGCTAACAACCAACAAGATGTTGCTATTGCCATGCAGTGTGGAAGCCTACTACTTCCGGCTAGGCCCAGATTTCGCGCCTGGATGCCGGGCATGGTCTGTTGCTTGGCCATGAGATCGTTCGGAGCCATCTGCGGTCAAGAAAGGGAACGGGAATTAACATGGGGCAGGCGGACACCACGCTGCCATGGTTCCTAAGAAATCTCCGACTGCACCATCTTGGCAATGTACTTCTTAAGTATGGCAAGATGCGATGCTACCGGGTCAGCAGACGCCGAGGCAGCGAAGCAAGCCGCAAGCTGCAGCAGCATTTCAAGTTTCAAGACAGCGCGGACGCCGGAACCAAACGCCACGGAGAGCAGAGCCGAAGCGGTGCAGAAAACTGAGAGCCCTTGGGGGTTTCTAGCAGCTCCGTACGAAAGGACAGCGAAGAGAAGATGGGGGACCTGCCTAAGCGACTTCGATGTCGCGGGAAGAGCAACGTGCCACGTTGGAGAACGAACCTACATTACCTTTGTGTCAGAAGTTCGACCGCTGCTGGCCAAGATAGGGCATGTCTCCGTTGGGATGCCAGCGGGAGCATCTCACAAGTCACGAGACCCGTGGCGGCATGGCCCACCACCACGGGAGCCCCGCGGGATGCCGGCAAAGCAACGAAGGGCTCTGGGCGATCGGAAGGGTTGAACTCGAGGGCCCTTTCATCGCCTCGACCAAGGTCTGGGACCACATCGACCAGGTATCACAGAGGCACATCCAGTCGCACTTTGCACTCCAATCGAACACTCACGCAGATCCTGGACGATCTTTGCAGCTGCAAGACAACCGAAAGCCCTCAACTTGGGAGTTCCCCCACGTTGCCTCACCTGCCTTGGATCAGTGCCCTGCCTGTGACTTGCAGGGTGCCACCTCCGGCGACGTTTCCGCCTGGCAGGCCAGGCAAAAGACCCACACAAGCATGCAGAGAGCACCAAAGAACTGAACGTTCGGCAGGTGCCAGGTCCTACATCGATATCATCATCGCTTTTGTAGGAACCCCAGCAGCTACCCGGCCACACGGCACCTTTATTGATTCCGGACTCATGCTTGGCGGCACCTTTATTGATTCCGGACTCATGCTTCCGACATCTTGGTTGCGGTACGATTGCACACTCAATCTTCTAATCCCAATCGGGCATTTCAAGTGCACACTTCCATCCAGGCTGCGGGATTATTTCAACGTCTATGAAGTGCGGCAAGGTACCATTCTCATTCTCTCGCGTTCTGGGACTCCGATGCCGGGTCTTCCTGCAACTTTCAGAGAACGTCCCGCGAATTGGAAACCTTGAGCTCTGAAGTCTGAAGCTCTATCGAATCGAAACAGAAGACGGCTTCGACTTGTCTGGTGCCTGCGCTGGCGGGCCCTGCTTGGCGATCAGCGCAGGTGCTGCTTTTGGTGGCGGCGAGGAGAGCTGGGCCGGGGGATCGTGCTTTCTGCTACTCGGGAGGGTTCTTTTGGATTCTGTGCTTCATTACCATATTTCAGGAACCTCGCTGCTTCGAGACAAGATTCGAGCTCTGACATGCACCTGCAGCCGTAGAATTCAAGAACGATTCTGGCACGCCTCTTCACCTTGGATCCTCCTTGCTGGGATAACTCCAGATTGTCCTGGTCCTACTAGTAGCCATGTCATGGATAGTGCGAACTTCTGCATGGCCCTAAACACCTCGAAGGATTTCTCAAACCTTGTCTGACTGAGTTCTGAACAAAGCGAACCCCTTGAATTTCCACTTCACAGGAGCAGCCATAGCAGCAGCAGCAGCAGCAGCAGCAGCAGCAGCAGCAGCAGCAACAGCACAAGGCAAACGCGGGGCCTTCCACGGGGGCACCTGGGAATGAGCGGCCAAGCTTTGCGAAATGTGCTGCTTCAGTTTCAGTTGCACGGATTCGTGAATTATCCGATCAGCCTTTCACTGGCAGCAACGATGAGTTGTGGCAGACTTCGAACCGTGGCACCAAGCAAAAGATCCTAGCACTCCGGTCGTGATCTAAGGCTCTAAGATGCTCTAAGGGAGCAGTGCTCCCTCCCTGTGGCACTTGACCTGGTGTTGGTGGTCGGAAGTCGTGTGGGCAACACTGCAGTGTGTACCTTCGTGCTGTGTCGACATCCAGAAGAATCACGCTGCCACAAGCTCCGCAATGGCGTGCTTCAGTCAGGCGTCCCCAGCTGAGCATCTTGAGGCGATCTCAGAGTGCTCGACACTTTTCGAAGCGAGGGCCAGGCAGCTGTCAGTGGGACTTACATGATACGATGAAATGCATTCGAGACGGAAACCAAATTACCGAGGCCCACACCGACATTGGCAGCTCCGAAGGCATAGCCCCGTTGCCGGAAACCTCAGGAGAAAGCCTAAACCACGAAGCCTCATGGAACAGACTGGATCTCTGCAGTCATGGGAGCGTCAACCTTTTTCCGGATTCCACACCATGACTTCAAAGCCGCGCAGATCCTTCTTCGGACTGCAAGCCCTCACCCCGGGCTGCACACTGCACGCGAAAATGAAAGCGGTGAAGCCCTGGATGATCAACATCGAAGCACGAAGTGCCGCACCCTCAGGTAAAGGAGACCGACAACATCCTGCACCTTCAGCATTCCACAGACTCATTTATCCTCTGAGCGAGGCGCATCTGGAAGAAGAAGCCTGCAGTGCCATAAGGTCTCTGGATCTTAGGATCGTATGGTCTCTCTGACCAGCATGACTCAGCGATCCATTCAGTGAGCATTAAATAAAAGGCCGATGGCCAGGATGCCTATACACCCTGGTGGTCAGGCTGCTGGAAACCTTGTGCCTGGGTTGCCCCGAGAGCGTCTTGTTTCATGTGTGTGCTGGTTGCGGCAGCCGCGTCCCGGCGTCCCGGTCCCGGCGTATGTGAGAGTTTAAGGGTGCGCCAGGCTGATCTTCCTTCGCTTGTCTCCCCTGCTGCGACCGTGTTCCGGCTTGGCGTGGGATCTTCGGCCGCCCTTTAGGCTTGGTGGTAATGCAAGGCTCCCATACGTATCGTAAGTTTCGCGATGGACAATCTGGCAGATCTATGATAAGGACTTGCGAGATCACACAAGTTACATCTTGCACATCGCAAACAAGGGCAGTAGGACAAGCCTCGACGGCCGTTCTGTGTCGTTCTCTTCTCTTTTTATTGCTGTTTGCTTAACAAGAGCTCACAGGAACGCTGCAGAAAGAAAGGCGTGGAAAGCCTTACAAAGGAACTGTGGCATGGCAGTCGCAAGAAAATGAGAAGTCGCTCCCATCTCCCTCCTGAGGCCCTCGCCCGCCCATGGCCTTAGGGGCCTTGGGCGGCACGACGCTGCCCGGGGCAACTGGCGCAGTCACTTGGGATTCAACACAGGAAAGGCGGGAGTGTCACTGGAGTTATACATCAGCTCTGGCTCGGATATGTTGCCTTTTGGGGGTTCTTCTGCTCAGGCTTCCTCGGACCGCACACTTGACCATGCTCCGGCACGCATGGTGATGCTATCCGAAGTAAATCCCGTCATGCTTTTGGCCGATCGCGATGTCAGATTATTCTCTCGGGTGGAATCACTGCTGATGATTCCGAGTGCTTCGGTCGTGGTTGAAACTGTGAAGTGTTCGCCAGGGCCGAGTCATCCAGCGCAGGGGATAAGTTGTCTTGGCCCGTGGTGTACCGCCGACCCTGGCGGCGTGTTGGATTGGTTCGGAGGTGTAACCTCCCGTTTTCCGAAACCCCCGGTACGTTTGGTGGGGTTCCCGGCAACTTTTTCCATGGAAGCTTGAGGCGAATTGAGCCTTCCTAAGCAAAATCGCACCCTTCCCACCTGTCTCCCAGCACCCCCCCTTCCGCCTCCTCCCCCGCATCAGATTTTCTTGAAGCTCTCAGCTTGATCTGAGGCGGATCTCAGCCTTCCCTCCCCACACCCGCTTCCCCCCCTCTAGACCGCTCAGCCCGAAAACTTGACCCTTTAAACTTTTCCGCTGCAAGCCTAGCGCCCGCATTCAAAGCCAAACCATGCACTGAACCTCAAACTTCTAAACCTCTCCCCGAGCCCCCCCGCCCCCCTCCCTACCCCTTCCTCCCTGCCAGCCACTGGCACAATGGGTGCTTTCCAGGCCGTCCACTTTCTTCCTGAAGCCCATCTGACGTCCTTTCCTGTCCCGCCTGCAGGGTCTGTTGCTGAGCGAAAGCTCGGAACCCCAACAACTTCAAGCACCCGGCACCTTTGGGTGTATCACCAGGCCCCGCCGGGGCAGCAGGACCGGGCCTCTGTGAAAGGCTTTGGGCAATTGAGGTTGGGAAGGATTCCACCATGGATTCGCCCTACATCTACCTACTGTGTTGCAGGCTCCACGCGGGCTGCCGTTATCCTACACCTAAACCCTTCTGCAGGGCCGCTGGGAGGCTCTCGAGGTTTGAAGCCGGTTACCGTAGCTCAACAGACCCGGGTACCAGGGCCCCAGCTGAGCCAAAGAGCACGTCGCAAAAGCGTGTTCATAGGTGCTCCACACCATCTCTGAGCCCGAGGCTTGAAGGGTGGTGGCATACCCGGCATGCCGGGGATTGGTGGCATTCCTGCCCCAAGTCGTTTCCGATTCGGCGTTTCGAGCGGATGCTGGGGCAACCTGATGAGGATTTCAATTATCAACCCCTGCTACTTACTACTCCGCCCATGCTTCGAAAACCCTGTACAAGAGACGGGACCAAACCAATGTACTTCCGTGCTGAGCACTTGGAGTGTTGCGCAACTTGGCATGGCAACGAATTGAGAAGGGCCTACGCATATACAAGCAGACGAGAGACAGGGGCCGGTGACGAACTCATGTGTCTCGTTTACACATAGCCTGTGGTTGCTTCCTGCGTCCTCACGACCTGCTTTGTGTGTGTGTGTGTGTGCACGTATAATATACCTGAATTAATATAGACGTAGACCTTGAAGACTCATTCCGACGGCATGGCAAAAGCTGGCCTGGCAGGGATGCCAGTGCAGCTGCCGCCTCGTGGCAAAGAAACTCCACCCGGCTAGCTAGGCTGCGCCCTCGCCTCTTGCAACGTCGCATTCCCCAAACTCAACAGCTAGGAAAGGCACAGGATTGAACAAGGCAAGGCAGGTTAACCGTCGGCCCGCCCTTTCTCCAACTAAGTGCAGCCTTCCACAGCGTTTGCAGCGCGTCAGCCCCTGGTGGAACCGCCTTTGGTAAGCAGAAAGCAACATTGAACATGGCTGTAGTTTTGGAGTCTATATTCACAAGCAATGTCTAAGGCTACCTCTTGGCAACGGAAAAAGGTACAAGATAGTCCGGAAAAGTTCACAGCCCGCGCTGGGGTCGCGACCATTTTGCCCGGTGGCATTCCGGGTGGGAAGCCATCTGCCTTGCTTCCGGTCTACAGGCTTCTTGTGAGCATGAGTGCCCAAGAACAGTCGACCACCCTGCACGGAGTTGACACACTGGTCATAAAATCCCATCTGCACTGCCGAGTCGCTGCCCGCTTCATGGCCCGGAGAGGTAAGGGACAAAACGAGATAGGCAACTAGCCTGGGTCGGCTCCTGAAGTCCAGCCTTATCCTAAGTCTTGGGAGTCCTAGGTCCTAGGTTGTTGCAATGCATTGCCAATGATCATGATGACATGGGCCATGGAACCCACAGGCAAGTCGCTTTGCCGTGATGCTAAAACGGGGCTCCATTGCACCGACCTCTTGAACGCCACCTTGCAAACCAGGCTTCAGCACAGGCTTTCGCCCGCCGTTGCATTGTACCTACAAGTGCCCCTGTTGTTTCAAGCCATTCCATGTCATTGCTGACCCCTTTGAGCATGACACGGACAGTAGATGCCAGCAGCGACGGCAGCGAGACCCTGTGAAAGCTTGTGCTCTCCGAGCCTCGGCTTGACCAAGTAAGATTGGTAAAGGTGCGAGCGCTTTCGTTGAAAACACAGAGGAGGTCGGCGCTCCCGAATGCCTACAGACTGAAAAAGGTGCAAGGACAACGGCTTACATAGAAGATCACAAGCCGAGATAAAGGCAAGAAGGTCGAAGATTTGAACGCGAGGGACGGAAAGGCAACAAACTGCGACGGCGACTTGATAGCGCGCGGAAGCTGAGGAAGGCTTTCCCGAGGCTGTGGAGGCTTCGCGCAGCTACACGTCCAATCCGGGCTGCGGCTCGCTACCGCTACATCAGAACATGCCTCATGATGCATGACCCCAAAAGCAGAACGACTCGCTTTCGAGCTCCAGGCTATCCGTATGGGGTGAAACTGGGCATGCCATTGTCCCAACTCCTGGGCTCGCACCTAAGATCAGGTCGCCTCGAAGCGAAGACTGGAAGACCCATTTTTGTATCCTAGAGCCTCAAGCTACTTTCTGGAAGTCACGCCGCCATCTGCAGCTGCACCTCACATATGAGGGGGTCGGGTCGGGGCATTCGGAGAGCTGCTCTTAAGCGGGCACAGCACAAAGGCAGGGGGTGGGGGGGCTCCAAACCCAGCCAGCAAGTCGCGTGCATCATCTCATCTTCAAACCAACCTTTGAAAAATCCTCGCTCGCTTCGAAATCAGCCCTCACAACGACAAAGCCGCAGCTACCCAATCCGCTCCCACATTGCCAAGACTTGAATGGCACATAATTGGAACTTCCGGGATCCGGAAAACGAACATTTACAGTTTCTGCGGCTACGAAAGATTGAATGAGCGATACTTCATGCCATGTCACGAAAGAACTAAAGGCAAAAGCTACAACATACACACCTCTGTCAATCCGGTTCCGCTGGCGGGGTGGTGTAGCGATGCCTGGCGGGAAGAACTTCCAGTGACGTGACCATCGACCAGCGCAGAGCAGAGAGCCAGCCTACCTAAGAAAACACTCGCAGCGAGGTACAGCCATGTTCTGAGGTAGTCTAGACAGTCAAGGCACAAAAAAACGGAACACGTCAAACGGTCACGGCCTCGGACTCTCGGATCAAAGAAAACCCTCGGTCCGCCGCCTCGCCCTGGCACCCCGTGGCCCGTCGGCAGCCTGCGGTCAACTTCAAGTCTCCGCCGCGTCTAAGTCTCCGGGTCGCCTCTGAGCCCGGAGGTCCCAAACATTTTCCTCCGGAAATGGGCTATCAGATCATTTACGACGCTCGACTTCCCGACACCTGGTAAAAGTGTGATGGGGGAGGCACTGCTCAGTGTTCGACGCAGCTGCGGAATCGTGGAAGTGTGGGTGTTGGTTCTCCAGGCTGCCAGTTGCAGCATTCTGATTCCATATCTTGTCGAGCTCGATCCCTTAACCCCGACTGCCGACATCCGGAAACGGCAGCTAGATCCTCCAAGCTGACGCAGGACGACGCAAACCCTCCGAAAACCACCAACAAAAACCCACTTCTCAAACCGCCTAAATGGAAGCAGAAAGCTGCACAGAAGAAAAGCGTCTGAACTCTGAGCCAGCGGACGGGTGGGAAGGGCGCAAAGGGAGGCTCAGAGCCCATGGCCGCCTGGATGCGTGAAGGCTGCATAGGCTAAAGTATCTGGGCCGTGATGGGCCTTCTGAGGATGTCAGGCTGCCTGCGCCTTCTGACTCAGATTCTAGACGATTTAGTTGCATGTTTTTTGCTCGGCTGTCTTTTGGCATGGAGATTCAGATGCGGTACACTGCACAAGAAAACGACTCCCGAAAAGAAATGGGCACAAGCAGCATCCATATCTCATCTGCAAGGCATGCAGGATACTACAAAGACTGAAGCATCGAGACCACCCAAAGAAGCTACCAGTAAGGACGGAATCATGAGCCTCTTCGCTTTCCTCACCCGCAATGCCCAAGCTGCTGTTGTCGTCGATCACAGACGTGTCCTGGAACGGTTCGAGCTTTTGTGCTAAGCCTCAGGCTCTGAACACCGGGCCTGCAAGAAGATATCACACCATGTCAACAGGCTCCGGTGGTTTCAAGAACGTTGAAGGGCCACAGCGATGGACATGCTCTGTGCCGGAGAAAGCTTTAGGCGGCTCGTGTGAAGAACCTTTCCGTGCTACCTGTAGCTGCAGCAGTCTGTCGGACAGAAAGCCATGCAGCTGAATGAAACATGCTGAATGCATCACAAAGATATGATGCATTTCAGTTTCTGGGACAGAAAACTTCAGGAGTTCTCAGCCTCTTCCCCCGGTGCCTCTTGGCTTAATTCGCCGTAGGGATCATCAGCGATCGCAGGTTCCGTGTAGTCCGGCCTTTGATGATGCCGCTCCCTCCCTTTGACATGCTCACTGGCTCTCTTCTTCAGCTCGGCCAGAGAAAAGTCGCGCGAGCTTCCCCCCCTCGCTTGGCTTCGCGCACCGGGGAATTTGACCCGAGGAACGACTCACCGGTTGACCACCCCAACCCCCCCTCACTGGCTCTCTGTCCCTCTCTCTCTCTCTCTTTCTTTCTCGCTCTCTCTTGCTCTATTTCTGTTTAGGTTCTGTCTGAGGCAAGAGGAGGGAGGGCGGTCGGCGCAGAGAGAACTCTGGACAAGTCCGCTCCAAGGCCAGACCAAGCGTTCAGTTTCCGCGTAAACGTTATGGTAATGACGGTCTAGAGGCTCGGACAGTGACATCATGTGCCAAAGTCTTCCTCTTTTTTGCACTCAGCCAACCCACCCCCCTTCCCCCGGAACACCGATGCGCCGTGGGTCCTCCCTGGTCCATCGGTGTGATGCTTCTCGGTCCAACCACCCTGAGCTCTGCCTTAGATCCTGCCTCCGCCTGTCGCAAGCCCCCAGCACGTTTGCTTCTCAACATGCTCCGTGCGAACACTCTGAGGAACCCCACAACACACTGCACTCTGCTCAAGACAACTGCGCGCACACGACCTTGAGTTTGCGGTTTGCTGATGTACAGGCTGGCAGCTGCGTTTAGGCAGCTAGCTGGCCTGATTCTGATTTTGGCCCGCCAGCTTCACACCCTTGATGTTGATGGCCGCTGGGCGCTCTAACGCTCTGGGATCCCTTTTTTGGCGGTCCCGTGAGCTGGTGACGGCATCGGGCGGGTGGTCTCGAGCCACCTCCTCTCGGGCAAGTCTCCACCCCAGAGTGGGAGAGACCACCCTCTCCCAGCCCAAACCGCTGCCGAGCGCACCGCTCAAAGAGGAGGACGCGGCAGATGAGTTGAGCTCTCTCTCTCTCTCTCTCTCTCTCTCTTCTTCAAATGCACAGCCTGCAGTGCTGAGCATGGAATGCTCATGCGGAAGCTTGCAAGCAGACTCTGCAGATGTCGTCAGCTCACAGCGGCATATCGAAGCAACTTGCCTTTCGGAATTGCAACTACTCGCACCAGGCAGCCGGCGGTGGGGCCGACGGGTACGGCAGCGGCCATGTCCACCTGGCGACAAGAAGCCATCACCAGAGCTCAAGACTCAAGGTTGAGGGCTCGGGGGCCGGTAATCTTGTCACCAGGAAACAGCCGAAGTTTAACCTCTGCATCCTACAAGCTTTAAGCCCGCAACGATCCTCGTCTTTAAACCTCAACTTGTCAACATTGGGTCCAGGCACCAGGACGCGCCAAAGACAGCCACGAAATGGTTGTAGAATGTCGACCGCGTCCCATGTGTTCGCTGGTACCTCGCACTTACACATGCTTGAGCCCTCTGAGCGAAAAGCACTTTCTCCAGAGGCGTCATACGTTGTAGTGGGTGGCGCACGTCTCGACCAACGTTGAGTTCATCTGAATCGACTCCACTTGCTCCTTGCATTACGGTGTGGCAGAAACTGACCCTGACGGAAAATTGGATCCCTCCTGCGACCCGCTTTGACATTTCGGAAGGACAACCGATCGGCCTACTCGCATTGTATTCAAGAGCCCGGTGATATTCTGCGCACGATCAGATCAAGAACTTCCAGCATATATGATCCAGGTTCGGCCGTCCCCCGCCCCTCCCACCCAATAATTCACCCACCCCCCTCCCTGTCATGTCTTGTGGTGGGGTGAGGTGGGGTGTGGTGGTGGATTGTTTCCCCCCCTGGCGTGGTGCTGCTCTGCTCGGGGTGGTTCCCCGCTTTTTCCTGGTGGCATGGTGTGGGTTCGGGTTTTCTTGCTGTGGTTCGCCCTGCATTTTTGGGTCTGCTTTGGGTGTTTGGTATATCCATCCCTATGATGATAGTGATGATGATGACGATGTGGACAATGATCACCATCATTATCATTAACTCACACATCTTAACGTTTCTTTGGCTCGTCGTCGGGCGTCTTCTGCCCACGTGCCAGGGTACGATTACCGTTTTATTCATCGTAGGGCCACTATCTTCGTGACAGCTGTCGCTTTGGAGGCAATTGCCATGAGGTTGCAATGGGCCAGCTGTCACAGGTATCGGGCCTGTCAGGGAACACGGTCCTCATGACGGTTGCCTTGTTACAGACCCTCATGTCGGAGTCGCCTTGCTTTGGGAAGTGCTTTGGGAAGTGTCCGCAGTCACAAGGACCGGGCGTGTGTGAACGCGCTCCTCGTGACAGTTGACGGCTTTGGCGGCCTCACATGACATGTGATTCACATTGTGAATCGCGCCGGAAAAAATTGCACTGTCACACGGATCGGGCGTCTATGGGACGCGATCCTCGTGACAGGTGACGGTTTTGGGGCCCTCATATGCAAAAGTGTGCGCACAGTCACACAGAATCGACTTGGGGAGTGGGTGGGTGGGTGGGGGCGGATACCATTGGAAACCGAGAACCGGGATCATATATATATATATATATATATGTCTCTCTCTCTGTCTCTCCTTCAGCACAGCCAGAGAGGAGGAGCGTGCGCGCCTCCCCTCGCGCGTTTCCGCGCACTGGGGAATGTACAGGAAAGAAAGAGCGACCGAGACTTCTTTCGGCACGACTCACCGGCCCCCCACCTTAACCACTAAACTAAACCCCAACCCGCCTCGACGACGGCTAAGGCCTGAACCCCCCTAAAGCCGGTGTCGAAATTCTGTCTCAATCTGAGTGCCTGACGGTTTGTCCCCCCCGTATTGGGGGTTCTCTGGTTTGCCCACTGCCGACTCTTTCCAACAACAACACTACAAGAACATTCTCAGCTCATGTCGACATGTGTGCGATCGTCAGTTAGCACTACCAAACTGTCAAAAACTGTACATCTGAGGCCCTGGCGACAACCACTGCACGGCACACTAACAAATATAAGCAATATTCTGCACGACTCAAGCAACACTCTGAAGCGGTAGATAGCATGACTTCTCTCAGTGGTGCCCCATTATCAGCTTACTGGCCCCCCGAGGTCGCCTTCCTAGTCGGAGCTTGCAGGGACCCTTCTGCGACTCTCCAGGGGACTCAGTAAGCGCCTCCTGGAGCTTCTGCCGTATTCAGCTAGCTCTGCTTCCACTTGTTCTTGGAGGAAGTGAGACTCAGCGAGTTCGCTCCCCGTTGGCCCACTGCTGTGAGTGGGCCTTTCGGTAGAGGCATCGCGTTCTGCCAAGGATGCAACCTCCACGGTGTTCATGGCTTCACGTCGGTTGCAGTAGGCCGGGACCGTGGCCACATTGGCTTGGCTATCGGTGGCCGTCTCCGGCTGCTCTGGCACTGTGTCACCCCCGTCGGTCTTGATCGGTGGGGTCTACGTCGGGCGTCACTGCTCCTTCGCTGTGGTTCTCCCCCTCGAAGTCGTGGGGATCTCCCAAGTGCACGGTCTGCTCCTCCCAGTTTGGTCCCCCTCTCTTCCATGGCTTGTTGTGGTACTGGTCGAGGTGGGTCCCCAACCAGCTCGCCTCCTGTTGAGCCGTTTCCTGTGTCTCCAGGATCCCCTGGCTGTCGACGAACAGGGTGCTATGTTCCTGCCTTTGAACCCACTGCAGCAGCTGTGCAAGCAAAGCACGCATGGGTTCCCCCTCGTTGGCGGTGAGGAACGGTAACAGTCCCCCAAGCTCCTTGACGTAGTGCCTGAGTTTCCAGAGTGGGGACATCCCCTCCAGCGACTCTTCTCCCCTTTGTCCAGCTCAACCACATTGTTGGGATGGACGTCTGGTGGAACGTAGAGCAACTCCATGGCCAGTCCCACGGCTTCTTGAAGTAGGCTTGCCACAGTGAGTAGCCAGCCCTCGCTCATCCAAGTTCTGTCCCCCCGCAGAACTCGATCTCGGGCTGCCGACATCGCCTTGAGGGCAGTACGGGAGACTTCCACAGCTTCCGTCACCTGTAGTCCGGCTTGGTCTCGGGTAGAGCTCTGCAGTAGGCGGATCCCCTGACTCAGCGTAGCTATCCCCACAGAGAGGTCTTCTGCGAGGTCATCGTCATTGAGCGTGCTAGGCAGTCTTCTTGCAAGTCTTCGAAGCTGCTCCACCACCTCGACTTCCCCTCACAGTGCGTTGCCGGTCCCCTCCAGGCTCTGAGGGTCGAGCATCAGGAGGAGGTTTTCGACTGACTGCTGGAGTTCCATTTCCGGCCATCTCTTTCTCCAGGCTTGAGGGCATGCCCCCGCTGGGGCAGCCTGTGCTGTTGGTGGGATGCACGGTTTTACGTGCAACAAAGGTTCGAGCTCCCCACGGGCTGAGATCAAACATCCTATTTGTTAACACAAGGTACACTGCGCCCTTAGAAGACATTACACACGGCTCATGCCCTGCTGCCCCGCTTGATTCGCAGATATTCCGCGAGCGCTCCGGTTGCTGTGCGTGGAGTCTGCAGCAGTGGGGGCTTCTACCGAGTCAGGTCTGGGCTTCAACAGGACACTTGCACACATGACCACATGCGGGCCTCGCCCCGACTCGCTACTTCAAAACTGAGGCGGCCTTGCCCCGATTTCGGCGTGTTATACCTCCCTGTGAGCCAAATTCATACAACAGGAATAGGTAGGTACACTGGGCCTCGCCTCACTAGCAGTTGTTACCCCCCCGGCCATCTCTCTCTCTCTCTCTCTCTCTCTCTCTTCCGGGTGTGGGGGTCGCAGCAGCGTTCAGGCCGCTTCCCCCGCGCGCGAACGCACTCCCGCTATTCGCGGAGTGTCCTTTGCTCCCCCCAGGGGTTCGCCCCAGGTCGGCTCGGCTGTATAGGTGGACAAGTTTTGCCGAAGCATGAAAAGAGAAGGCCTGTTGGTGTTTCGCGTGCATACCCCACGTCACATGCGACCGAACAACAGCATCCTAGCATGACATGAAAGCCCCATCCCCCCCCACCCACAGGCCTTCTGGGGGTCGAAGGAAAAGCTTGCATTTGTTGTCCCGCTGTGTATAAGCAAGGACCACCATGGGATTACGAGGTTTGATTGAAATGAATTACGGCCTTCTGTTCCCCCCGAATTCGTTCAAGGCGGCGTGGTGAAAAGACACTAGGATTGCAGGCCAGGTCGGGCCTGAGTTGAACGGGTTTACCTGAGAAGGATTGGGAGACGATATCCCCCAACTCCTGCTTAAAGAGTTCACACCGGGCATGGCAGGAAAGTCGACTGGTACTATCGAAAGGTACATGCAAGTTGGGTCCCCCCCGCTTGGCTTTCGCAAGCAGAAGGCGGGACAAGGCACCTGGTTTGGCATCAAAGCTCAACACCGAACCCCAAGACGGAAAATTCCCCCTTGAAGCACTGGGTGCAGCAAAGGTTTTCCTTAGCGCTCACTTCCGTTCAGTACGTCACCTAGTCGAGCTCTCTGTCCCCCTTCGCGAGGCCATGTAGTTCTGGACTTGGCGCACTTGCCAGTCGAGGTTAGGAGAAAAACGTACTGGTGCTCGTCCCCCCTTTCCTGGCGGTCACAGCGCGGTGGCTCCCCCTCAAGCTCACGGGGTCTTTCCACGGCTGTGTTCAGTCTGGCGCTCTTTGTTGGTGGTTCCCCCACCGGCTCACTGGGCCGTGCTGCGTGTCCTCCTGTGGCTGTGCATCTGTCTGGCGGCCGCCCCTCCGGCCCCCACGGCCACTGGCTCATCCTCCCCCACAAAGTGCGAGGGTCACTAGATTGTCGGCCTTGCCACTTTCACGATCTTGACGTTCAAGCTCTCCCCCGTCCAATATGCTGGTACACAGTGCGAAGCTTGTGCCCCCCCGGGTCAACGAGGATGGTCTCGAGCACCGTCCCCTTTTCTTCGGAGAAGCGGAAGTTGAGGCCCTTGCAATCTGGAGGTCGCGTTCTGGGCCGTAGCACTGCAAACTTCACGGACACGAATATTGCGTCCCCCCCAACACTCTAGTTTTACTTGATGAGAGGGCCTGGGCGATCCGGTCTCAGAGGCACAGTCAGAGACCTTCACCCCCGAAACCGCCTCTCGAGCAGACGTCCAGCGGGGTGGTCTTGGAGACGCTGTAGGCACCTTGAGCCAAAATGGCTACTCTCTCTCTCTCTCTCTTGTGCGGCAATTTGCTGTAGCAAGCATACATTGTAGACCTTATTCCGCTGAGTGCGAATCCGCAAGAAACCAGACCTGAAAACCATCCTTCGTACGTTAAAGCAATGCGAAGGCTTCGATTCTGACATCCACTGTTGGCATGCCAGACACGATCCCAGGCAACTTCAAACATTGGCGCGTGTTCTTGGAGAAAGTCCGAGCACATGCCAGGTTGCCGGAATCAACTGCCTCTTACCTTGCATCCTGTGGAGACAGATACTCTTCAAGCTCCCAGTGCTAATCTCCAGCCTGGAGGAAGTCACTCACGAAGAGTACGGCAGCGAAGCACTCGACTGCCACCATCCCAGTGCCTGGGAAGAGGAAAACTATGCCATCCCAAGCCCCAGTGTGTCATACCAGGGCCCAGGCAGATCAGCGACGCGGAGCCCGGAGGTGGTGCATCCGACCAATTTTTTTGGCTCTGGGCACGAGGCTTGGGATCAGGCTGAGGTCTTTCTTGGCGGGGCGTTGGGTTATTCTCCGACTATTCATGGCACGACACGAAAACAGAAAAGGCACAGAACACTCTGAACACCGTTGCGCACTGCACGCCGACGGCCCCGGTACCGTCATGAGAAATATCGGAATAACTGAAGCTCCCTCTCGAAGCCGAAGGCTGCAAGCGCTAAATTCCGGGAGCCCCTGCCCACAGCCAGTAGAAGGCACTCCCGGCGAGGAGGACCAGAGTGAAGACCGCGCTCGCGCAGGTGTAAACTGCAGGTTCAGCCAAAGTGGCAGTTTTCCATTTCAAGCTTCGTCCCATGTGACAGGGCACCCCGCCGGAGATCGGGTCTGCAACCCCGAGTCGAGCCAACTGGAAGCCCCCAAAAAGACTGACATCTACTCCGGAGGCCTAGGAAGAGGATGAACAACTTCTGGTTCGACAGACCCACGCAGTTGTTGATCCAGGGACAGTGGTGGTCCTGCCGCAGGACCCCTGCAAACGACATGGGCTGCGGGCTCATACGTATCTGCACTGCGCAGACCAGCGACATAAAATGCAGACTTACTTTGTAGGCCCACAACTCCTATGGTCCTATGGCCTCCAGTATCCGGGGCTTAGAATGGTCCAGAGCTGGCGGTTCTCACTGCGATAGATGGCTAAGTTCAGAAAGGCCGCTGAAGTCCAACTCGTTCACAGGAGTCGCTCTTGCACCGTCGCGGACCCTTCACCGTTCACCCTTTCATGTCATAAGACAACAGATACCCTCTGACCCACTACACGGCAGACGCAGTCCATCCGAAAGATGCAGCGCTTGCACCTTGGCAGTTGGTTCTCGGTGTGTTGCCGTGTTGTGCTGGTACCAGACTTTACGGTTCGGCTCTACCGGAGCCTCACGTCTCGCCTTTCAACAATAAGGCTGGTCTCCAGGAGTCCTGTATGCGACTATACTATTTATGCACGTCCGAAGTTTGAACTGTAGTCTTTCCAGGACCTGGCTGGAGACTCGAGAGTCGAGCTTCTGAAATCACTCTAGTTTAATCCCAAACACGACATCACCATCCACCTTTTGCGCCTCCGGCAGTGGAACTCCCTAAAGGCTTTGCCCCGATACGGATACATTGTGCTTGTGTATGCCTGCAGACCGTGGGAGGTGTTGGTGAATCTAGACGTGCTTGGAATTCTAAGGGTATTCGGCCGTTTCAACATTTGTCAGCCTGTTCAAACGTTTCCTGCTTGGAATCGGCAAACACAAGGCCTACGCAGCCCAGTACGAGTACGACGAAGACTCCCGGAGTTTTGAGAGCATTTCAGAAATTGCAGATCAAGGGGCGTCTTGCAATGATGGGCTCTGGGTGGCTTCCAGCGGCCCTGCAGAGCACTTGCTTGGGTTTCTGCCTTTTGGGGGCCCCCGTCTCTCCGAAATCTCATACATGCTCCCTTCATGTACCGTCCTTTCGTCGGACGAACAAACGCACATGCTCCCTGCCTGACAAAGTTTGCAAACCCGCGGATTTGCGAAGTCCGGCGGCGCGGCACTGACAAAGGGCACAGGCTGACGGCTCGGGCACAAGCTTTCGAAAAAGCTGTTCCCTGTGTTTGCGGACTTGTTCTTGGGGCTTGCGTCTCCCGACAAGATAGGATATTATGCATGATAATGCAGGCAGGGCATCTTGGCAGGGACACATGATGGTGACTTTGATGCACGGTAGTCGCTGCAGCCGCAGCATGACGTGGCATGAAGCCTAGGCACCAACATCGATGACAAGAAACTGACTGCCGTCCTGAAGCAAGCGATCCCCAAGAATTCTCTCAAACTTCACTGCCAAGCCAGGAACGAAGTGTTCGAATCATGGACTCAGACATCTATCGCGCCACGACCCAAGGCATCAGCCTAAGTCAGCATAAACTGCCAAACTGACCCACCTCACTGGTATAGTCCCGGGATCTGTCGTCACAGCACGAAAATGTGAAAACCTCGGCAAGCAAAGACTTCACAGTGGCTTGAGGCTAGTAGCCCTTCATGATCCGACAGGCTCCACGAGAAAACACGGCTCAAGTGAGCCATCTTCAAAGGTTTTGGATAGCTCCTGCTCATTCGTTCCTACTGGCTGCATGCAGTATGGAGCCTGCAAAAACTCTTGGAGTCTTGGACCTCCAAAAAACTATTGAGCACCCCGCACGCATATTACGGGAGCTTTGCTGACACAGCGAGACTGAACCTGCGCTCCTACTTTGTCTACTGTACTTGCTGTTAGAGCTGTCTCCCATGAAAACTTCATCCCATCCATTGCGAGGCCAAAACGTCCGAATTTGTTCACAACTGGATGCTACAGGAGAACGCAAACAAGGACAACCTTGACCTACACGATCCTACATGTGCAACCGTGCCTTTGACAGATCGACCAAAGAGCCGCTTCTCTCTGGGCACGCGGCCAGGACAAACCCAGCAGCAATTGGTACCTTTCACGAGATTCTCTGAGATGTTGCTTGAAGGATCTCTTCACACGACATATCTTCACAATTTAGCAAACACTTTTTTCTGATTATCGAAGGCGCTGAACAAAGACTGAATACGAGGTTCTCGAATAGGAGCGGCACTAATAACGGCAATGCAATGCAGGGCGGCGCCATTAGCTTCTCGTACAAACTTGCCCTTGAAGACTGCGGGAACGCTAGCGGAGTGTGCAGTGCGAAGTTTGTGGTTTATCATCCCGCGCAGTGCAAAGACAACGGCGAGCACAATGCAAAGAAACAACTCAGGGAAATTGAGGGCTAAGCATCACGAGCAGTGCAGAGCCCAGATCTGTGAGCGGGACCTAGGTTGCAGATCGGGCCCTGTCCCGTTCTTGTTCTTCGCTGCTTGGCTTCAACGGTTCGTACTCCTCGTGCTCTTCTTTGCCCTTCGAAAAGGTGTAATGACACGGCCAAAGTTGAGTGACTTTGAAGGTACAGGCGACTACGAGCTTGCGCGACAGAGGACGAGGGCGATTCCTGGCTTCGGCTGCGAGGTTGGGTACACAGGCGTTCAAGGCTGAAAAGCTCTTGGGCTAAGGCCGGCTGGCGGTCTTGGGCGCAGAGTCTTGCCGGATCTTAACTCTCAGAATCTCCTCATCACCCTTGTCCTTCGTCCACGACGGCTACATGCGATGAAAACCTCAACTCAAGCCAGGAGAATGTAATCCCGACCCGACCCTTTGCACAATCAGATGTCCTAAACCATAACCAGACACAAAATCGCGCACAAAGCTCCAGAAAGGCCACCCCCACATCAGAGACCCATTCCAAATTTTCAAGAAGTCCTTCGAACCTCACCAACTAACCAATCAATGTGCTCAGCAACAAATTCATCGCAGCAAAGTGGCCAAGCTAAATCTTGGTCGACTCGTAGAAAACCAAGCATACTGCGCAAGCAGAGCTTTTGTTCAAGGAGTTGGCATTAGTATGCGTTAGTAGTATGCTCTTCGAGGGGCCGCAATTCGGCCCGGGGCACAGCGAGAAGTAGCTGGTGTCGGCCACAGATGCAACGTGCCGCAAGGACAAAGTGCGCACAAGCTGGCAAGCACCGTAATCCACATTGCTACAGAACTGGCTTGAAGCCGACACTAATAAGTTATGATTAAGCACTTACTACGGTGCCTGGAACACATTCAAAGCGAGTCAAGTGAATTCATGAACTCAAAGGAAGATGCAAGCTCCAGAGCTCAAGGTTCACCCACCCCCTCGAATCAACATGGAGAAGTCGTCGGTACCGAGACTGTCTGTCCCGGCCCGGGGCCCCATGGTGCCCTTCATCTCTTAGGGCCCCGGCGAGCACATAGCGGACCTAGGCCATGGCAAGAGTAGCTGCTGGCGGTTTCGGGGATTCTGCATGTGGAGGAAAACAGCCCTTTTTTTCACAGCAAGCATTTTCCCCACGCCACATGCTTCCTGCCGATTGGAGAAACTCAAAAGCCAGAGACTCTGCTGCTGAAAGTCTCGACACGCACACCCTGCAAGAGCATCTGGCACAGAAGTCTCTCTTCAAAATGGGGCAACTCTCCGAGCGCCCCGCCACCACCCAGTCCGTAAAGCATAAGAGCGCCCACGTGAGAACCCTGGCGCAACAATACTGCCCAGTCACTACGCATAGTAAACATGTCACCTAGCTCGGCCCGAGACGTATGAATCCGTATGCTGTCTACATGCACACTCACAAACGTACGCATTGTCTCCAACTTAAGCAAGCCTGCGCAGCCCTTCTCTGATCTCTTGGCTCTTCAACTTGCTATTCAAGTCCCACGACGGTGACGACGTGTGGTTTGGAAAGTTTGCTTCCACGCTTGAAAACCTCCGCTGAGACATGGCTACGGGTTGACTGTTGACGTCCGTTTAGACTTCTAGCTGCAGCCCTGTCAACCAAGAATGCCACTGACGCACATGCACACATCGAATCGAAATCAATGCTTCCCAGATTTTGGCACTGCATAATGCCCACGCGGTAAACTGGTTGGGTTGCCGTGTCGATGTTCGGGCTACTCTGGAAATCATTCCCTAGACAACTGCAAGATTAGCCAGAAATGGCAAAATCCATACGTGATGAAATGTGGGCGCGTATTCCAGCCGAGGCACGCTAAGGCTAAACCAAGAGCGTCGCAGTTCATCCTGGCGCGATGGGCCCAAAGTGCTTGGCGAGGGCCAAGGGCATGATAAGCCTTTGCATGGCTTCTTGAGCTTTGGGCCGTATGTCTTGCTGTTTATAGAGAAGACCCTCTGAAGCAGGCCCATGCCGAAAGACTCCAAGGCCACGCAAGACCGGACTTTTAACCGAGCATTGCAGAGGGATCTTTCTCAAGAGCAGTCTCACCAAAACCGTACATCGCGAGCACCGTCTCTTGTAGCAAGGCTGAACATCCCCTAGAACCTGACGTGGCCTGCAACCTAATTACTCTGCTGCAAGACTGCTCAGCATGGAGCTTTGTGCTTGAGAAAGTGCTGTCCCAGCGCACATATAATAATCAAGGAGGCAATTGGGGCCAGGTGCACCCTTCGCCCGAAGCGTTAACAGCAATCGCAGCCAGGTACCGTCTCGTGCCCTTTGGGCACAGCGAACCCAGCAGCGTTCTTGGGGGGGCCCGACGCCGACCAAGTTAGCCTTGTGCATCAGCGGTCAACTTCACATCATACCTAGCCCAGGCCTGCCGGGCACATAATTCTGCGAGTCGTGACCCCGAAGTGAGATTGCCGCGAAGAAACTTGTTCGGGAAGTCCGAGCCCCGCGCACCCCCAGCGGGAGCCTTCAAGTGCTATCCAAAAGCTTGCGTGGACTGCCTTACCATGCCTTATCCTTCCCCAAAACCCTGGAAAACTGCACAGCTTCGCCAGACCCCGGAGGCATCATGCGCCTTGAACTCAAGACAGCCCTTGAACCCTAGACGGCTTAAGCCTTGAACCCTAGACGGCTTAAGCCTTTGCGCCACAATCTTTGTCGCTCGCGTCTGGCACTCCCCAAGACAAGACATGACTATCACGGCACGGCAGGAAGCAGGCCCAGGGCCCGCGGCCCTTGCCTCGCGCTACGTCTCCTTGCTTTGGCTGGGACGCTGCACTATCCATTTGCAGACATCCTCAAAACTAACAGAATGCAGCGCCAGAGCGCACGCAGCACCCAAATCTTCCTGCTCCACTCTTTGTTGGAGCAGTAGAAAGCTCTGAGCTGGCGATGTATGGTCGGAGTTTGAAGACTGTGGCTGCTCAGAAGGATCCTGAGAAGGTGTCCAGCTGCCGGGTAGTGGGCAGGTGCTTGAGCTTGCCTGAGATGTTGTCGCCACATGAGACGAAACCCAGAGGTCCTCCCACGGCTCAAGCCGAAACGCCCAAATCACTACCAGTAAGTGCGACTCCATAAAGCAAGAGTAAGGAGCATTTCTTATCGCTGGTCTTACGATCTTGTGGATTTGCTGGTGAACCCCATCTGGACTCAGGATCAAGGATCGCAGCTGTGACCGACCGTGCATGCCGAGCGTAGGTCGGCCAGCAGCGTTTGATGGGATAGGTGGGTTCCACATACAGTGATCCAACCTTCATGCATGTTGAGAAGGTTGCACTTGTAGCTGGCCAGTTACGGTAGCAAACAACCTTCGACAAATCCGTCAACCCATCTGTAGCCAGACTTCAACACCTCTCTTTGGCTCACGACACGAAGCATCACTGAAGGGCATCATCAACCCCAACGCGACAGAGCTCTGTGAGCACCCTCCAAGAGCAGACACAGTCACGGAGGCTGGTCAAGCCATCTGGCTTCGATGCGCCTGCCAAAAAACGTGAGCATTTCGCGCATCTGTGCGGATCCTGTGCCTGGCTTGATACCCGCAAGCCCCCTCATTGCCCCTCGCCAAGCCTTCGCTGAGCAGGGACGGACCATCGCGAACGATGCGCTCGCCCTGGGGCAGCCCCACTCCACGAACACTTCGAGTCCACTTACGGGGCCCTGCAACAGAAAGCATACAGCATGCCCAGCATGCATGGCATGCATTCACAAGAAGGCGAAACCTGGCTTCAACGACGTGCTGCACATCAAAAGGATGGCATCTTCGGATCAATGACCCCGAGTCCGAGGACACGCCTTGCAGGTGCCGCATGCCACGTCTCCTGGTTCAGTCTCAAGCTTGTAGGGTTCGGTGAATGCTCTGAGTCTGGGCCCTTGAAGAGTCCTGCATAGCTGAAGGCCATGCTTGGCGCACCCGCCGTGCGATCGTAGTGCACTGTGTACTCCTCGACCAAGCAAGTTTGCCACGAGACATGCGCTGCAAATCAAACTACGCGGGTTCTGGTAGGACGCGCAATGCAGCCTTGAGTTCCGTGTAGCAACAAGTTAAGTAGTGCAATGTTCTGGCACCTATGTTTGCCTTGTTGCACTTGTTCTTCCCTGGCTTATCGTCTGCCGTGGCCTCGGCATGTAGAGAAGTTTTGATGCACACCGCAACAGCCGTGTGGGGTTCTAAATAGAGTTGACATTTGATCACCTTGTCTGCTTCAGCGTACAAACCGAAAATGTTCAATGGGGTTTGGACAGTTGTGATTGGCTGCGGATCACGGGTGAGAAACTGTCAAGAGTTGCCGTGCTGAAATCTGACTGCAGGGCTTCCCCAACTCAGGCGGGGTCATTGTGAACGACCACGGACTGGCATGAGACGGGTGAACTTGCTGTCTGTGTGTGACTGTGTGACACTCTGGCTTTAGAACCCAGCCACGGGACCCCTTTGCCATGTATCAGCTGCAAAGCCTAGCGACGATAGCTTGCGAAAAACCATAGATCACCATCCACTTCAAAGCACTGCCAGACCACAATCTCAAGATTTCCATGGAAGGACACAAGATGGCCAAGATGCGTAGAACAACGGTGTACCCATGATCCACACATCTCCTCGATTCTGGATGTCATGGATAGACAAGGGCTTGCGTCAAAAAGCTCAGGACTAAAACTGGAACATGCCTGTTCGACACAGATCGGAAGGATGATGCGAAAGAGAACACTGTCAACAAACTTTTCCTTACGAATAATTGCCATGCTTCCGTTCTTCTCCGTGCGGTAGTCGTCCACCGCAAAGGCCGGCATGCAGACCTGCTCCTTCCTTACTCGACATGAACGGTTCGAACTCCGGTCCTAATGGAGGGTCTGATGGATGGATGGATGGACGGACGAAAGGACACAGGGACGGACGGACAGAGGGACTGATGAATGGATGGATAGACGCATGGATCTATGGACGCATGGTTGCATGGATGTATGGGCGCGTGTGTGGGTGTGTGTGCGTGTGTGTCGGTGTGTCGGTGTGTCGGTGTGTCTGTGTGTCGGTGTGTCGGTGTGTCGGTGTGTCGGTGTGTCGGTGTGTCGGTGTGTCGGTGTGTCGGTGTGTCGGTGTGTTGGTGTGTCGGTGTGTCGGTGTGTCGGTGTCGGTGGTGTGTGTCTGTGCGTGTGGTTCTCGTTCATGAACTTACGGGAGTCACGTCCCAGTCCATTGCAGAACTGTCCTCTTGCGGCAGGGGGAGCGACAGAGTATTTGGGATCGCTGCCAGCGAAGAAGCTCAGTTACTCTAGTGATGCACTGGGAGACGTCCTGGTGTACCTGCATGGCCAGCCCAAAACACCCCTAAAGGATTTGTTGCTCCCATCATTGGCCAATCCGTGAAAGCGCTACAATTTGTCAACCATGAAGTTCAACCTGGCACTGCAGTGAGTGCGGCAGGGCTACTGATGCTGACAGATTACAGGTACTAGGTGATGCTTGGCCTTGACACACACGCATGTCTGCCACAATCTGACTCACGTACTTTCTTGCAAGCAGCAGCAGACAGAACAACGTCCAGCTTTCGAAAATAACTAAATCCAACCAGAGAGTACGCCCAGCTCGTCAAGAGTGTGCACAGAAAATCGTCATATTCCTGTATATATGTATGCACAAACATGCAGTGTGCATGTGACTATGATGTGTGCAGTGTATATACAGGTGGAAGCTGAAACTGACGAAGAGAGCAACACAGAACTGGACCAAGCCTGCCTTGATCTCCCCATCTCTGGTCAGAAGGCTTCAAGATTGGAGGGACGTCATAGCTTGAAGTCTTGGTCTTTGAACAACTTCTCGTTCAGGGTTTGTGAGTAGGGGATGGAACTGACAAACAACAAGCAACAAGTTCAGCGCATAGCTGCTATTGCAAAAGGTGGATGGCTGTGGCTGCTATGACAATGACCCGCAGATACATGCAACATCAGCGTTCAACACGAGTTCCGTACATGAGGGAAACAACAAACAATAGCCCGTCCAAGTCTTGTGCCCAGGCGCCGAGTTTGGAAGACCTGCACGAGCGAGACGTCTTTGGGAGACTCCAAGCTCAAGGACTCTGGGAGCCACAGCTTCGCACGTTGCATGATTCTGGAAAGTTTCAGACGTGCATGCGCGAGAGAAATCTCGTGACGTTTCGCAACAGTGATTGTCCGCTATGTCGTCCTCTTTTGGAATCCGCAAGGGTCGCTTGCCCACATCCTCGCATACAGGCACCCGAAGCACTGAACCGAACGAACCCCCCCCCCTCAAAGCTTGCAGTCGGAGCTTCTAAGAAAAGGCTCGTCATCCAGCTGTCTCAAGCTTCGGAAGGAAGGCTTTCTGAATTCTTGTCATGTAAGAAACCAGCCTTCAACCTTGGCAAGATGGGTTTCCCATGCCTCCATCGGAAGGAAGCCCAAGACATTCTGGACGTGTGCTGATGCCACATCCATATTTGCCTCTGTGTGTGTGTGTGTTGCAGACGGAACAACTAGGACAAGGGATCCAATGTCGGCACACACGACAAGTTCTATCCACAGCATGCGATTAACTAAGGCAAGGGGTCCGCGACTGTAGCACATGGTCTTCAAGCAACTACCATCTCTTCAAATCGCAAGATGTAAACCTGATCGCACAGGGCTAGTGCATAGCATAAGATGGTAAGAGACCTCCATCTCCGACTCCGAGGGCCGAACCTGCAGGACATAGGAGGCTGGACGCAAGGTCAGCATCTGCTCTGCGGCCTTGGTGAGCATGTGCTCAGACATGGAAACGGCATGCTCGCCCTTTCGAGCACCTCTGCTCCAGCCACGTGGAAGCTGAGCTCTGGCAGTTCATCGTCCACGTTGACCTGCTCCTCGGTGGCTGCGGCTACACGAACCTTGCTGATGCTCGCAGAAACTGCCCAAGATCCCTTGCTCCCTGCATACCGACACCCATCCGCTCGAGCCAGGGGTCGATCCACTCGGCACAATGGCGCAGCAGCAGCTGAAAGGTGTCTGAGGGCTGGAAGCTCAGTGCTTGCCTGCCTGAGAGATTTGTGGTAGGTTTGGAAGTGCAGCACCGCACAAGACAGATCCCTCCCCAGACTGAACCCTGATATTCAAAATATGCCTACATGAATCACGAGAGTCTTCCCAGTCTGCCGAAGTTCATAGAACAGCTACAGCAGCAAATGCATCTGAAGTCAATCTCCAGGGCGGTTAAAGAGGGTGCCTCTACAAGCATGAGTATTGCCATCGTCACGCCTGTCGTGGCTTCACCAGCACGTCTTGGAGTCTCGTTGCGCTGCAAATCCAGGGCAAAGAGACGACGGCTTCCTTCAGAGAATGGTTGCCGTATTGATGCCCGGACCAGAAACGGCCGTTCCATTCTCTTCGTGCTTCCACATGGCATCCACCAGCACACGGCAGACAACCGGCCCCATGCCATCCCTGAACCCTCAGGATATCCACCCACGACACTACCTGCTTCCAGCAGCATCAGGAATTGGGCTGGGGCACCGGTTGGTGTGTCTTGGAAACACAAAAAGCAAACTGCAAGGCTTCCAGGCCCTGAAGATTGGCTTTGCTTAGCTCTCGTCGTGCTTCCAAATCACATCGACTCATGGAACAAGACCAGCCGCTTTGACGCCCGCCCCCTCGTTCGAGACAAAAACGCAAGAACAAGATTCGTGACCTGATGTTCTGGCACCCTCAGAACACATCGTAGCCGCACACCCTGAATGCACGTCGTCGACTACCTATACCGAAAAAAGTCCCCAACGCCTCGCTGGACTGTCTGTGTGCGGTTGGCCGCAGACGTGGCATTGGACATCCTGGACGCGGCGAAAGTGCCTTTCCGGGTGCAGCTGAAACGCGGCTGCTTTGTGGTGGAAAGCTTCTGTTAAGCGAAGTGTACCCTTCGACACTCCTTCCCACCTAGGTAATCCTCCCCCTTCTGCACACACCCCCCGTGCAAAAACAATCGCAAAGACTTCGACCTCAAGCATGGCAATAGCAACTGGCACGCAGTATTAATCTGCGAGATGGTCTCTGCTTGTACTCGCAAACGTTGTGGACGCGGAACACCCAAACCACAGCGGGGTACGAAGGACATGCACGGGGGTAGAACCGCACCAGAGCGAAGGCTGCACCGGAGGCACCACTCTGCTAGGCAAAAAATTGAATAACACCACCACCGCTACTGCAGTAACAAGGACAATAAGCACGACAATTGCACTAACAAATAAATACAACCATACCTTTGTAAGACACACTGACGTCAGCCGCCGGGGAGGGTGGGCAGGAAAGCAAACCTTAATTACAACACACACACACACACACAGCATGCGACGAGATAGCGGCTTCTGCTTGGTTGCATGCTGGAGCAACACACACGCACACACACACACACACACACACTGTGGCTCGGCACGAACTGATGAAGGAAGACAGACAGGACCAGACAAGACTAGACAGATTGCAGTAACCGTGCCGTTTCACTGGAGGCCAACTGTGGTACCAACAGCAATCTTTTGGGGGTATTTTGGGCGGCATTTGTGCAGGTACGTCCAACGGCGTCCCTTTGGATATCACCAGCTCTTGTTCAATGTCTTCGTTGGTGCAAGACGGAACGAGCTGCTTGCACCCCCTGCCTGAAACTTCACGTCGGCACTGAGCTACTCAAGAAACAGGCTCGAGCGGTCACCATGTTCATGTGTGCACACACACACGCCCTGAAAATTCAGGACTGCAGCATACCCTGGCAGGCAGAAAAGAGAACGTATGCAAATGCAGTTGCAGGTGTGAAAACCCGCACTCCCTTTTTTTTTCAATGCAATTACAGCGCCTAGCGCGGTTGAAGGTTGAAGACTTAGGCACCTCGACATCCTAGCCGCCACCTGTCGGGAACTCCACGGAACAGTGAGCTAAGTCTGAAACGGCTTCTGCACCCCCTGCACCTCCAGCTGGCGGCGTCCCTCTGAAGCTCGTGGCTGGGATGCACTCCCAAAAGCCGGAGGTCGTGGCCACTCTGCAAACACGGCAAGCTAGCAACCCACAACATCTTCTGCTTAGCCCACTTGGAGGATACCACGACCCCGCAACCTCTGCAGGCCCTCTGTCCCGCTGCTGATGTCGGGCCCCATTGATGCACCGCATGAGTCTCACTCAAATGGGCCAGGAACTGCAGTTTGGTGGGGGCCTTTGGGCCGTGCTGCTTGGTACTAGCGTGCTGGCCCTGCTGCAACCAGAAACTCGCTCTCTCGAGAAGGAGCTTCTGCAGCCTCCAAGTGCGACTATCAAGCCACCTATTGTACTCCTTGTCTAAAGAGTGTTGCAAGCTCTCCTCGACTCTACTGCTGGCTTCGCCGGCTAGTGCATCTGCGAACTGATTGGCCTTGAAAGCCCAGCGAGGCAGCCCTAAATCGACCTGGGCAGTTTGATGCGACTTGATCCAAAAAAGCTTGACCCGGCGGTCCTGAGTTTGCTGTTTCACTCGGACCCACAGGTCAGGGTTTGAGAATGATTTGAGGGCCTTGCGATGCAGATGTCGGAGTTTCCGAAATCTGCGCACTGAAATAAGACTGTCAGTGCAGCACTGCACATTTCCAGTGGTGAAGGTGAGCAACATCAGAATCGCCCAACCTTCAGCACGGGGAACGGTTTGAATGTGCCCTGGCAGTGGGCCTGACAGCTTACCTAAAACATGCTCGGTGACAGGGTCCAAAGCAATGACCGCCCAAGTACAGACACGAATGCGTTTGTCTCTGGAGCTGCTACCCCCACTGCCGTCCGTGCCGAAAACTATGCTATCACCAAGTACGTGCAGAGGACTCTGCTGACAGAAAATACCCTCTTTCTTGACATAACTCATGTCAACTTGAGACTCCTCGTCTACAGGGTGTTTTGAACGCCCTGTCCAGAAAGCTGGTGGCAAACCCCTGAGCCAGTAAACTTCAACATTGCAATCAGCAACGAACTCAAGCCAAGCTGACGGGGTTGGGGAAGTGGCCTCCAGCATGGCCTCGCACTCCCATAGCAGGTGCTGCAGGGTGGGAATCTTTCCACACTTCGGACAGACGCTGCACATGCCATTATGGCTGCTAGGGAGGCTGCCTTCAAGAACAGCTATCAAGGCCGGTAGCTTTTCGGGGCAAGTTTTCTTAAGGAGCTGAACATGTTTCTTGGCAACATGAAAATCTATCCCATGTTCAGCTCCTTTCCCGCCCTGGTGTACGCTAGCATGCTCCCAAAGATCGGACTCTTGTCTCTGTTGCACTGTCTGTACAAGCTGGAGCAGAAGAAGCGGGTCCTCTAGCTGCAAGCGGAGTGTCTCCTCAGCTTTATGCCACTCAAGGAGTTTTGGTGCAACCCAGCCTGCATCTTTCAAGCGGCACATGGTGGCTGTCATTGGGCCACGCGCATAGTGCCAATGGAACTGCTTGTTCCAAATAACACTTTGCTGCACACTCCAAGCCTTGGCGATCAGTTCCTGCGTGTGCTGAGGCTGGGCGAGCAGAAGGTTGAACCACCCTTCAAGCTGCTGCTTCATGACGACGTGCCTAGGGTCATCTTCAATGCCCATGTGCAGCCTCAAAGCTGTAGTGAGGCAACCCAACTTGTGCCTGGCCCGAGTAGCTGCTGCAATCTGCACCGTGAAGCTATGCAACTTGGTCTTACTCAGCCCTTGCGTGTGCTGCCCCCATAAGGCTGTCGGATAAACATTGCTTTTGAGTAAGGCAACTCGCTTGCCTGAGGGCAGGTCTCGCAACTTGGCAGCCCGCTTCAGGCCCTTGGCTAGCCTACCGCGCTGAACCTTTGTGCGTCTCAACCTCCCCAAGCTGCTGTCGACTCCAAGGTCCTTCATGGCATCTTGGACCTGCGGATAGACTCCTTGCTGGAACTCCTGCTCCTGCAAGACTTGTTTGAACGCAGCCTTGACCTGCTTGTCCGACACCAGGAAGCCTGTCTTTTCCATGCTGATGCGCATGCGCTTGTTCCTCAGCCGCTGCTGCAAGTCTGCGAACAACCTCAAGGACTTCCTGGCCAATTCTAACGGCCGGTTCCGTGCAGATCGAAGGAGATGTCGTCGACGAAAGTAGAAGCTTGGGCTGGCGCTTGTGCACGGAGCACACCCTCAACTGGCTTCCACAGGTAAACCTTGCAAAGCGAGATAGACAGCGGGCACCCTGCTAGGATGCTCCGCTGCGGTTCCAGCGGCTCACTGGCACATGATTCCGCGACCAGAATCCTAGGGCCGCTGTGTACTGGCATGGCCATTGCTAACAGTAGCGGAGGATATTGTAGATCTTCAGCATCTGCTATCAGCTGCTCTCTGTCAATAGTATCATAAGCGTTCTGCAAGTCAACCAGCAGTGTAACTTGGTGGATGCCGGTGTGGCTCAAGATCTGTGCAAGGACTTGCCGCCAGTGACTGGAACTGAAAGTGTCGCAGCCTTGGATTGCTCTGTCCCAAGGACTGCGCGGGTTGACCTGATCCAGCCACTGGTTTAGGAGGTGTCCACGCATGCACATGTATAACCTATACACTGTGCTGGTCAGAGAGATTGGTCGTTCAGCCTTCTTCGTCTTTGCAAGCAGTGCTACGAGGACCTGCCTCTGTGCTGCCGGCCATTCTAGCTCCTTTTCCGCTTGCTGTAGAAAGAAGACGAGCCCGGAGATGGCCTCGTCTGGCAACGATCGCAAATCTGCAACCGTCCAAGCATCTGCTCCTGGCGCTTTGTTGCCCATATGCTTCAAAGTCTCCTTGACTTGGGCCGAGCTGATGGGCTTTAGCTGGGCCTGCTGCAGTTTTGCCGCTGCCGCGAGTTTGTCTAAAACCTCCTGCTGCTGCTGTCTGCCAACCTCCGTCTGTTCGCCCCAAAGGTCCCGCCAGAACTTCCTGCGACATTCTGGTCTTTGTTCTAACGGCTTGGTGTCAAACGGCCGCTCAGCCTGCGAGGGCTGCTTTTTGAGGTGAGCATGCATGGCTTTGAGGGATCCCGTAGTTTCCTCAAAATGCTTCTGAAGCGCCTTCCTCCTGGACTGAAACTGTTGCTTTAGCTGCTGCTGCAAGGCGACTTGGACTGCCTCTGCCAAAGTTGGCGTAGCTACCGCCAAAATCCTCAAGGCATACTGCAATCCTGGGAGACTGAGTCTTGCGTTGGCAGTCTGACTCCAGAACTTGACGCACTCAGCAGCCTTGTTTGCAATCATGCTGTAAAAGCCGCTCTTTAATGTAGTGTCCGCATTGGCACTTCTCACCGCTTTGACGAGCCTCTGGAGGGTGGCCCAAAAATTGAGATTACTAGAATCCCACACCGCTTCTGGCACTGATGGCGCCACTCTGGGCTGCGGTGAGATGCGGATGATTCGTCCTCGTCCTGCAGT